AAGTAAAATTTTTTAATACGGCAAATATTTTTTTGCTACATACCTTAGCAGTTGTAACTTTACAAAACATAGTTTTTCACCATTTTTTTCAGGAATTTTTCAAAGCAAGTAAATGTAGTATTTTTCAACTTCCTTTATACTAGATAGATAGGAAAAATAGTTACGTTTACACCACTATTTTTAGTTTAGCGATATTCCAATTAGTTTTGCTACTACAACAGTTTTACGCCGTGTCATAGGCCTGTGCCGAGTAGCCCCGCCTGTCCCGAGTAGCCCCAGTTGACGGTAATTTTTAATGAAACGCCATTTATTCTGAGTAATGAAAAACTATTTACAAGCCACAAACTTATTTACAAGGTTGCATGCAGTGCCATGCACGTGTTACCCCCATATAACTAATTTTACCCTAAAAACAGTCCGATTGTACAGCAAGTGTCAACTGAACATGTGATGATGCAGTCTGACTGCTCTAATGTGACTGCAACTACATTTTGTTTACATTTTTTTGGCGGGAACTCATCGCAACCAATTTCCAGACAAGCTTTACTGCATCCTGATCCATCCAGCGTACAGGAAACCTTACTTTTTTCTAAATAGTTGGCCAAAGACTGACAAATATATTAAATGCAAGAATTACAATCTAAATGTGTCGGCAAGATCTTCTGAAGGCGTAAATTTTGCTACTGATGCGTCACCACTCACCAAAGATCCTGCAATATTCATCCGACATCCACTCTCTGCACAGTGGCTAGGATACATACTTTGCTCAGTTTGGAGTGCTTATAGGACTCAAAAGTGAACTTGAGCCTTTGAGGGAGAGTCTAAATTCTAAAAACTCTCTGCTTTGCCACTATCCTTAGTGCTAGCCTAATCCTATGCCCTCTATTACTAGTCTGTCAATTAGATTAGTCTATCTGTAAAAAGTTTTCTATGAGTATGAGTTATTCCAGACTCCAGAGTAGGGTAAACGCGGTATATTCCAACACATTAAGGACGCATCGAGAAATGAAAAACTATAAAAAAAAAAGTATGCGTTACGTAAGTTCTGTTGCCTTCACATGACTCAAAACACTTCACTACGCGTCAGCAACGATGAAACGTCACAAAATGTTGCCATATTTATTAAAAAGCCTTTAGGATGGAAACCTACCAAATCCCTATATTCCGTCACTTTGTGTGGCAATATTCGACACGTGGTGAGTCGTATTGCATCAGCGCTTCAAATTTAACTGATACGTATTGCCGACATCCACGTGTTCGAATTCCGTTTGCTGTGTGAGCTGTATTGGGAAGTAGTGGTTAGTGTCCCCAGGTTCCTGGGCCTGGTGTGGGACTATCTGCCCTGGAGTGGGGCTATCTGCCCTGGAGTGGGGCTGGCTGCGTTGGACTCTGGAGTGGGGCTGGCTGCCCTGGAGTGGGGCTATCCATAGTGGCAAACCAGAGCTTTTTTTGGAATCAGTTCATTTTTAATTTTCCCAAAACTCAAGATTTAAACCAATTTCTTAAGTATGATAATGCTGGTATCCATGATACTTTACTGGTCTACTTATAGGACTCAAAAATGAACTTGAGGGAGAGTCTAAAAAATTCTCTGCTCTGCCACTATGGGGCTATCTCAGGGGTAACACTCAAAAGCTGAAGACTGACCCTTATCTCAGTATCTGCCCTGGAGTGGGGCTGTCTGCCCTGGAGCAGGGCTATCTGCCCTGGAGTGGGGCTATCTGCCCTGGAGTTGGGCTGGCTGCCCTGGAGGCTGGAGACTCCCAACTCCCTCCTGAGTCCTGACTAGTGTCTAGTGTCTACTGACCTACTGTCTGTCCAGTCTAGTGACTTAACTCTGAGTAGGTAAACTGACTTTAAATGTACATAGTCAAAAATTGAAATTCTCCTTTGCATATCCTCAGAGTTTCCTTAACCAAAACTGTCCCAAAAGTTCCCCTTAAGTAAATTGTGCATTTAATACATCTTGATGATTTGATCTTAGGTTAGTTTCAACTTTTCAAGCTCGTGTCTTCAGGTGTCTTTCTCGGAAGACGCTGAAGATTCTTCTTTTCCGATTTCCGGGTGTCCACGCTGGGTGGACTTAAAGCCACAGGACAACCGCAAGGATGACCGTTGGGCCTGAGAGCTGCTGCAGTGACGCTGATGAGCAGAACACATAACGAACAAAGGATCCATCAAATGCGGCGGAGCATTGGATGATTCCGTAATTTTGAGAGCGTGAATATAATAGGATATCACTATATATAACACTTGCGAAATAAAGACTTTAATCTTTCATAATAAAATAACTCAAGGCCCTCGACTTGTATCGTTCAAATAAGATGTACTCATTGTTTGCTTCTACATGTTTACCGATCATATGTAATATGTTACATGCATGATGATTGATGCATAACGATCAAATGTGTTCGAAATGTTTTAGTTTTTTCTTAAAATTGCTGTGAATAATTTTTAATTTAACTTTTTGTTAAAATTCGAGTGTGAACTTTTAATTTTTTAACATAATCAGCGTTAGACGCCAGTAAAAGAGCTTCTATGCAGCCTGTATGACCGATTTAAAGGTCGTGACAGGTCAGCACGCACCCAATTCCATATAATATCTCAAGTCACATCTCCTGCAACCTTTCGATTGCGTTAGGATTCAGATGTTTAACGACCGAATCGACACTGTAACTTGGGCACGTAATTACTAAGGTGTAATATTGCCGAGAGCCTATTGTACCTCCTGGACAAAAACGCGGCCTGTCTCACGGCCGTGCCTCAAGAAATTAATCGTACATGGAATATCTTCCAAACTACTAAACCGACTTGAATGAAGCTTGGTATATAGATTCTTGACCACCTAAAGGTGATGTCTAGCCCTTGTCCAGGAGGTGCCTATTGTACACTTTTTCCGGCCGGTCCTACCGCCAGTCTCCAAGGTTCAGTGAGCCAAAGATATCTCCCAAACAAATGAAGCTCGAATAAAATTTGCACACGTGTTCAATAGAACCTAACTGTAATGAATAGGTTGTGATCATTTTTTCTATTCTGCCTTCGTTTCTAAGTTGTACGGTCATTCAGTCCAGAAGTCACAGTGAGCCTAATCACATACCTTCTTCCCTATTTTACAGGTTTGAGCGAAACTTAGAATATGCATTCCGAAACAAAAAATCATGATGTTTAGGTCGTGCAAAGTTTTTCGATATATCCTTCGATCGCGAGTTATACGACTAGACGGAGAAGCGAACGGCATTTTTGTGGCTTATTTTTCAATTTACAGTGATTGTAAAATATCTCCCAACTTAATGAACGCAGCTCGATGAAACTTTGCACATGCATCCATTAGCCCATAACGGTGCTGTTGCAATCATATTCTGGATTTCGCCTTCGTTTCCAAGTTATTACGATCATATACAGTTCAAAATTTGCAGTGAGCTTTTATCCTACTGCACAGATTTAAATATATCTTTTATCCTACTGTACAGATTTGAACAAAATTTGGAACGAAATATTACGTTGCCGATTTTGCGGCCGATTTTCAATTTGCAGTGACTTTAAAATATCTCTCAAATTAACTAACGAAGCTAGATGAAACAGCATACTTGCTCAGTTGGACCTAACGGTTATGTTTAGGTCATGATCATTTTTTTTATTTCTTCTCCGTTTCTAACTTATACAGATATTAGGCTTTACTTCGACATATTATGCCCACTGCGAATTTTGTACCGTAGGACCGTATAACTCGCAAACGAAGGCGACCTCAAAAAAAAATGGTCGCGACCTAAAACCAAAACATCACCGTTGGGTCCTATTGAACATGTGTATAAAATTTCATTGAGCTGCGTTATCTCTCACTGTTTTACGTCAGAGACTCGATTCCGCTCGTATGTTTTGCAAAATATATTTCCATTCACGAATTGCGACACACAAAATTTTCACCTCGTTTTAGTTGAAGTTGGAGTTACATCTGTAAAGGTGGATCCACTGGGTAATTTGAAACAATGGTTGAACTAATAACAATTATTTGAAACCATTTAGTCTCAGAATGAAGGATGTTGTAGTATATATAATATTTAGAAGTCTAAAAAACTACACGCAATTCACATTTTCAAATTTTAAACTCAATAATTATTTTAAGTACTAAATCTTTTTTCTTATATTGTGATTCGTTAAAGCAGCGTGCAAAGCTGAATTTTCCGCCAAATTAAAATAAAAAATGAGCGGCTGTTACCAAGCAAAATCTGCCGAGAAATAATTTCAATTAAGATATCGATAATATAGTCTTGGAACTCTAAATCGTCGATGCCTAATTAAAGGCAGACAAAGGTAAAAAATTGATTTATCCATGCCTTATTCGTTCTAGTTATGCACAAATTCCGAATCAATATTACATATTATATTCCGTTATAATGCTCTATAAACATTTTCCGTTTATATGGTTCGCAGTCGATTTAAATCGCTGAACATTGAACATAAATGCGAACATATTCATTTAACCCTTAGTATTGAGCAGAAACTCGGGAGGTTTGCACACGAAGTGAGTGAGACACACATCATAACAACACTTGTCAGCCCCAGGGCAGTTGATGTCAACTTTACATGGGTTAGGAGGTCCAAAAATTCTTGGGCACACTGGCCGAACCGGAGGACAGAGACCTGGCTTGACCGGCGAAACAGTTGTAGTCGTTGAAGTTGTTGGCCATCCTGTAGGACAGCAATAATATTTAAAGTCTGGTGTTCTACACCAATACCGACAGGATCTTATCGCCGGGACCCAAATCGCACGTGTAGGAGGTTGAGTTGTAAATTGGTATGAAGCGTGGCCGTGGCGAATAAGATTTGGATCTGATGCTAATACAGCAGCGGGTACGACGTCTCCAGTCGAGGCGACGGCAGAGGGAAGATCAGATGACAGAACCAACGGAAAAAGAGACAGAACTCCCCAGAGCACGAGCCCCACACGCAGGTTGTCCATTTCTGTATGAAAATAGAAAACTTAAAATTATTTCATCGAACTCACCATTCATTAATATGAATATCAGGAACTTCGAGTAATAATAATTAATTAAAGCGAAATTGGTTTAATGTTATATTTTTTATCATCAATGATATTATTCATAAGTGGATGTATAAATACGAAATATTTCGCAATATTAAGTTCTCCGGTGCGTGCAAAAATATAAATAAAATACATTTGCCAGACCTTTGAATTTCATGACTTTATAGTCTAATTTTAGAATTAATCTCAATTTTTAAAATATTTTATCAATGAAAGATGAAATATTTCTTTTGATGAAAAATTCTTCTTAAATCTTACCTAGAAACTGTGTGTGCAAGCCTACCAGGAATTTTCACATGAACGTTATTCAAGAGCATATAGTTACCTTAAACTGTAATTTCACAGATAGGATCACCGCAACTCAGGTTGATATCTTGACAATTCTGCTGAAGATCAAGCAATGATGCAGCATTATATAGGAAATCTATGGAAAATACGCAGGTAAATTCCCAAATTAGGATCCATTGTGATGTTAGCAGATGATTAGGAAGTCGTATAATGATCAGGCTCGATTCCAGCAACTCCTTTTGTGAAGTATAGTTCCGTCCGGCCTTAGGCATTCAATACATCTTCCTGTTCGAGCGCACAGATCTGTAGCGTGCAAGTTTAAACAACTTGTCTTCACTGACTTATACGGTTTAAAATAATACGGTGAACTGGTAAACGACTTATTCGGTTATGATTTATATGACGATATGGCAAACGACTGATTTCATTTTTTAAATAAAATTTTCGATAAATATAGTCATTAATATTTCTTATATCTTTTTCTCATCGACTAGCTAGCTATTGTGTGTTCTTTTCTCAATGTAGATTCATTGGAAATGAGTTTGAAACTGAATATAGGTCAAGGCGTTCTCACATAAAGTTTAATTCTAACTGCGCTTGTAAGCATAAACGAGTATGATGAATTTAACAGAAGCAATCCAATCTTGTATCGCCACTAAAACGAAGAAAACACCAATACTTTTCTTTTATTCTTCCGACTACGCTGCCCGTGGACAGAATTATGAAATTTATACTAATGATGAGCCAAGTTTTATTCATTTAGCAACGAATGACATTCTATAATTTTTGTCATACATTTTTATACGTTCACCTAAGGAAAATGATGAGACCAAGTACAGTGAATTTTCATTCATTTTATTAGAAGTCATTGAGGTCTCATGCACGCAAATCCTGTGGTTGTCACGACAAAAAGGTATAAGTTCCTCCTCGATCATCCTTGAATTTAGCCATCATGGTTAAAATTTATTTGTACGGATGGGGTGGCTTGCAGACTCTCTCCTTAAGGCAATTATCGAAGCAGCATTTGTCGACACCGAAGCATTCGAAGTCGGTGATGCACAATTTCGGTGCGTTGATCCTGGGGCATGTAGGTCTCACAGGGGGGCATTCGCCAGGCTTAGGGCCATTGGTTGGGCAACAGACATATTTACCGGTTGGGGATTTGCAGAAATGCTTGCAGCCCCCAGCACCCAAGTCGCCACCAAAGTCACCACCAAGTCCCAAGTCGTCGTAGTCGCCTCCGATCGGACCAATTCCTCCACCGAAACCGCCGCCGCCAAGAGGTCCGCCGCCTACAAGAGGTCCTCCACCAATGGGACCAACGCCTCCTCCTATAGGTCCTGGTCCTGGGCCCAACGGTTTTTTGCCGCCGCCGAATAGTCCTCCTAGGCCACCACCTCCAAAAATTCTTTCTTTTGGAGCCTCGTCAGCCGCATACACGAGAAGTGCCAACGACAAGCAAAATGCAAGCCGAATCTGAGGAAAGGAGGATGTGAAAGTTACTGAACTCAAAATCATATTATCATAGTATACATTTTAGATTTTATTGTTCAACACTCAAAATATATCTTATCATCTTGTGGTGCAACAACTGCAGCATCAATGTTAACTCCCATTCTAATAAATAAACACTTATATATTCCAAAATAACATCCATACTGAAAAAAATTAGGATTTATTTTATGACTTTCCCCTGAGAAAATGTGTATCCGAACGAACATTAAATTCACTCACCATGGTTGCTGAAGACTTTCAACACTATAAGGATCGGCAGCAAGGACCCCAATATAATCCTGAGATAAGGCATAGGCTTTAAGTAGTCAGGCTACGTGGGATTTCCATTGATACGTGGGATTTCCATTCGCAACATCCATCAGGATGTTGCGCCCCAGCAGCCACTTGTTTACGACGGTCCTACGCGAAAACAACCCAGGGATAAAAACAACTTCTACTGATGAACTGAGGAAATTATTTGTTGTTTGCCTGGTTAATTAGTTTTATTTTCATTCGTTTACAGGATAGTCGAAATAAAATTTGTGATGTGACGTTGACTCCAGTTTTTTGACAATTGCGCTTGGGACTGCAGATTATTGCAGGAATTCCTAACAGAAGCAAAATTTAGTTCGAACCCATAGAAGAACGACTAATTTTCAAATTTTGTTTTTAGCTCAATAGTTTAAATAGAAGCAGCCTGTTTTCTGACAAAGTGTCTATTTAGACTACACTGCAATACATTTCGACTCTCTGCTTTTGTCTTTTTTAAGATTCACGATTTCATAATGGCACTCACTTTCTAGATTGAAATTCACGTTGGTAATGATAGGAAAGAAGCATAGTTCGATAATTAGTCTCAATATAGGCTAGTACGTTTTTTTCTATTTGAAAAATGAATTAATCGAATGACGGTTATTATAAATTTGTCACATCCCATATTTTTCAGTCGATTTCATAATTAATTTTTTTCTTTTGTAAAAGAAACGCGTAGTTACTCATTTATCTGTGTCAAAAATTTAAGATAATAAATTCTTGTACGTATAAACGTGTCGGCTCAACAACTTAAATTTTAAAACTCAAACCAAGTACACATGCAGCTAATAACCTATATAACGACAGCTCTGTTTTCGCTGCCCCTGTATAATCTTGCTGCGAAATATAGGGCAACGTGGGGCAGCGCGCCCCCCACTTTTTTTAAACCAAATTTTTTATGAAGTTTTAATTGATACGAGGTGGTTCTTTGTTTTGTTTACAGGTGCAACTAATGAGGAATGTATGATGTGAATTAGACGCCTATAGAGTTATTCAATTTTTAATGAAACGCTATTTTGTAAAAAGTGTCAAAATGGGCCCATTGCCCCACCCCCTGTCTCTTATACACATCTAGATGTGTATAAGAGACAGCATTGTAATACTATTGTATGAAACAATTATGGGCATATCATTTGTTGATGCCACTAAAACAACAGCATTTTCATAGTGTAGGCGATCGCCTCTGCTAGCAGAGGCTGGACATAGGCTATGCATGTCCTGTGTGTAGTAGTCCTTGATAGTCAGTTACATCTATATATGCACGTTGACTTTTGAATACAAGTTATTGCGAGTTGTGAATTCGAATTTTTTTTTGTGATTTTCTGAGTGGTGCAAACATTGCTACAATCTGTCGCAATGCGGCAATTTGATAAAATTTTCTTCTGATACGATGTATTGTGGTGCAAAATGAGGTACAGTAAGATTGTTTATATCGTCAGGCTGTAATATCCTTTATGTAATATCCAACCATCAATTCTCAACGTCTTTAAATCACCCTCAACTTATATACCACCTAACAATTTCACAAAAAACTTTGCTCATCATCACAATAATAAGTCACACAGCCGTTATCAACGCATTATTCGCGGTATTACAGATTCCGCCGTATCGAGAGCTGAGTGCCGAGCAGGCGACGGATTCTGTGGAAGTGGAAGGCTGCCAATGCGAGCTCAGCTGTCAGGGTGTGTGGTTGGCAATTAGGTTCTGTGCGGTGTTCTGATCTTTGTGAGCTATTTTCAAATTACGTAATTGTTATTTTAAAATACAACATAAATATTGAGTTAATGCTTTTAAAGTCTATCGTTTTTTTTTCGTTTAACCTTTTATTGTAACCGTAAAAGCAAGGAGGTCGAATCACGTGGATAATCAACTGAGGCTGAGAGAAGGGAATTTTTTTCACGTGCTATTTCAGCTTTTTTAGTTTTTGTTGATGTTCTGAAGAATCGCGGATGTACTTATTCGATATATTTTTCTCCTGTCCACTTGAATTTCACAAGATTACACGTTATTGAATATTTTTTTACAGTTATTTTCATAGCAGTTATTCGTTATTGTTCTTCTTAGTTAATATTAAATTATATCTGGCCATTCACTGTAACATTTACTAGCTCTTTCCGTAAGAACTCTGTAGCTGTGTATGTACGCTCACTTTTAACCGAAAGTTGACGTGCGCCTGAGTCGTCTTGTCGGTGCCACACTGCGGATCGATTGCGCAACTCCGTGCCTCGGACAGCGTGTTGCTCATTAGGCAAGGTTCCTACGGTATCTTCTTATCATGATAATGAAAGTTAATCCAGTTATTCACGGATCAATGAGAGCCGAGTATATAGAGAACGCACAACTGTAAGAGGATGCTGGTTTGTTCCCTAAAATGACTAAGAAAGGTCTTAGGCAAGGAGCGCGTTTTAGGGTAATGTTAAGCGCTTACGGGATCAAGGATAGTAATTCCGTGGAGTTCGAATTGTTCTTAAACTTGATATTAAAGAATGTAGAACATTGACTTCTGATCTAACGTATAAAACTCTGAACATGTTGTTGAAAGGTCAAGCCGCATCGAATGTGATCGTCGTAGTATATCTCGTAACAGACATTATACCGTTTGCGAACCGTTTTAGTCTTTCCGTTTCTTTAGTCTCTTTAATCCCCGTTAAATAACATGGCACTATGATCAGCATGTTGTTCAATTTATATGAGAAGATGAATTGCCATGCTTTAACTGAATGAAAATCAAAATTTTTTAGCCCGCTCCGTCAGAGTAGGTTATCGAAAAGTTATCAAAATTAATTTTTTTTAATTGAATTATTTAAAGATAAACAGAGAAGGGTCTCAAGAAACTCGGCTCAATTAAAAGACTTATTATTATATGTGCTTGAAATCAGCCATTTTCGTGACAGTGACAAGAAGCTGACTCAGCTGTCGTCATCTGTATGGACGTAGCGAATACTCATTATTGATTCACAAGTTCCCAACAGAAACGTTCCGTACCAGCGAGAGGCTTGAGAGCCCGTAAACCTCATTCCAAACTGACCGATTTGCTCACATGAAGCATCGATTCCTACCCTCCTTGAAGTAGCAAACGCAAATTGAAAAAAAATTGCTAGTGACTCATGCAGTCACTGTTTTTCCAATGATATTTCCGCAAAAAATAGGTTAGTTGCCGCTCACGAGCGCCAATTTTAAATCTGCGAACAAAATTAAAGCAACATCGATAGATATATCCAGCTACCGAGTTCGCAACCATATGTGGCACCTGATAGGTTCAAATCTCGGCACGAGCATTGACGATGCTGCATGGTTACGCGAACATGAAATTCATCTCAACATATTACTTAACAAACTGTGAAATTAAATTGAATGAGACGATATTTTGGTTCTGGCGTCGCTGTGCTTTAAAAGTAAGATTAATTTCATTCAAGTGATGCAACCAGCCAATGACAAAATCCGTGTAATCAAAATGTAATTATCTGCAAGATTCCATTTAAAGCATGCTACTAATGCCGGTTAGTTTTGACTAATGTCAATAGCAATAGTGGCGGCCAATAACATACGTGTTATTGCTCTGATGTTCCAATTCCAAACTGTTTTGTATAAGGGAGCACAAAATTATTTTCTACACAGTATTCTTTAAGCAATGATTGTAATATACATATTAACAGCAGCATAGTTTTAAAGTTTTATTATAATATTACACGAACTGAATATGCACTGCCTAAGTTGTTTTACTCAAAATGAGGATGGTACAATTTATGTATATTCCACACAAATTTTTTTCAAGAAACTGACTGTCAAACATGTTGCTTCACTTTTTGTGTTGTGTCAGTCGAGATGCTATCTCTCGCAGGAGATAATTTTGTTGTGCGCGATGGCAAGGCCGTTTGCAAGCCGCATGCACCTCATGTGATTGCACGTTTACACGCCGCACCTCACGTTTACAAGCCGCATGCACCTCATGTGATTGCACGTTTACACGCCGCACCTCACGTTTACAAGCCGCATGCACCTCACGTGATTGCACGTTTACACGCCGCACCTCACGTTTACAAGCCGCACCTCACGTTTCCAAGCCGCACCTCACGTTTACAAGCCGCACCTCACGTTTACAAGCCGCACCTCACGTTTACAAGCCGCACCTCACGTTTACAAGCCGCACCTCACGTATCTCTCCACTCAGCAAAGAAAAACGATGCATTCTGCACTGCGATAAAATTCTTCCACCTGATAACGTGAACATCTTTAATACTTGTGCATGCTCACATGTCTGACTAGAAGCAGTTCATGATTTTGTTGTCTGTCGTCTAGAAAAAAATAACCATGATAATTTTTGTGCAGTTTTCCTTTTACGTTTGATTTCATTAAATTTTTAATGTGTAAACATTTTTTTTAAATACATAGTGCCGTAGGTTGAAAATTCATTATTATTTTTCTCCTAAGTTCCTAATTCTGTCAGTTTTTCAGGTATATATCAGTTAAATATCAGTATATCTATAGAATCATCAGTCAATATTTTACTGTGAAATTGTCCTATATGCTGATAATTATGATCAGTGATCATGCACGAGATGAAATTTTTTGAAGATTTTCAATTTTTCATTAGATCGTAACACGTTAAAGTATCCGCTACAAGTGCAAGAACATATATATTCGCAGCCACCGTTATTACAACTTCCAGTATCGTCCCACTGCTTTCTAACGCTCTGCGAAGTGTCATTTTTTGTAACAGCAATCACCCATTATTGCCAGGTAAGGGATAATAAAAGATTTGCGCCACTAAAAAACTAGCAACCTACGTACAGTATGTACCTATCCAACTTGTCTGATGCCATGTCTGTTTCACTTCTCTACAAAGCCTGGTTTTTTCGTGATTTAGGATTTGGTAGTCATGTACGTATATACTCATTTGTCAGAAGATGAGACCAATATAACGGAATGTGTGCCTTCGATTATTAGGTTTACATTGTGATCATTCTACATATTGAACAAGTCATTAGATTTATTGATAATAGACACGAGACAGTGCGCTGGTGAGTGTCAATAAATGGTGTGATAAAGATAAGAGGTCATTCACATCAACTCTTTCTATTCAGACGTCGTTCTCTTGTTTTCATGCTACTTAGAAACCATCTCTTGAAAGCCAAGGTTAAAAACGTTTCGGGCAGTTATGGACATGATTCGATCCGTAAATACGCCTACTGTATACAACAAAATGAAGCTACTTAATTATTTCAGGCTATCTTAAGATGATGAAGTGATATTGAGCCTTAAGAGCAACTACAGTACAAGCATTAAATAATGTACCGCACACGCATCATATAGAAGACGCTCGCGTGGGTTGATGGGGTATATGTACTGAACTCAAATGCCTCATGTAATGTAATAATTTTTATTAGGCCTCAAGTTAAATATCTCTTAGTCGTTAATGTGGTCTTAATGTTGTTGATATTTTTATGATTGCGTACGGTGATTTGTTTTTCGAATGGAGTTTTTATTTCAGCTTGCTATTCGCAGAGTAGCGAGTCATGAGTCGCGTAACATTACCGCTGGTGATAGGAACGCTGGCAGCGGTGGTGGGTAGCATACTTCCAGCCGGCCATTCGTTGGGCGTCATCAATACGCCAGAAAAGGTAAGCGCATTACTTTTCTATTTTAATATTCGTAAGAGAAATTAGCTTTAACAAAACCAGACGAATTCACAAAAGAAATGCTCGTAATTTTTAGAGGGAATCGTGTTTGTAGCTTTCGTCTGAATAGCAGTCAAGGCACATGGACTAATGCTTGCAAGCATCACAAGCAACGGGTTCTAATGTTAGCATCGCTTAGCCGATCTCTCTTAGACATCGCATGCGAGTGACAACGATGATTTTTCAGGAGTGCCTCTTAGTTTTGAATAAAAGAAAACGCTGTCATGGCCATTATTATTTTGCGTAAGGACTATACTTCCTGACAAATACTTAGCGACATTCATACAATGCGCTGTTGTATTATTGGCTATGCAGTTTATTTAGCATTAATTGACAACACTCACTCCTCTCGATCTATCAGCTTACGTCAAGAATGGATGAAATCAGTAACTATGCAAAAATACTTGATTCAAATATTAATAATAAATGAAAATTGACAGGGCAACGTCAGTATGTATTTACATTACACAACGCAAGTAAAAAATATATTTTTAAATGAAAAATAATTAATTACTAGACATTATTTTTTTGTTTAAAACAACCAGATAAGCGCATGATGTTTTTAGCGCATTTTCTCATTTATGGAAAAAATGCACTATTGTGCTCGCCATGTCCGTCTGTCTGTCTGTCCGTCCGTCCGGGACCTCAAGTTTTCGTCGACGAGAAAATGCGCTCTCTGTCACTCACTGCAGTGAGTACTGAGTTATATTTTTTTTAACTTGCCATTCGTGTTCACACCCACAACCCGGTATAGTTATTCCAGATATACCATTACAGTTGTAGGTTGTATATATAAGTCGTCATCACTGTGAAGTGTTGCAGGATGGATGTATCAGTCATAACTGTGATATGTTGCAGATTCTATATTTCAATCGTCATCACTGTGACGTGCTGCAGGCTGGATGTATAAGTCACCACTATGACGTGTTGCAGGTTGGATGTATAAGTCACCTCTATGACGTGTTGCAGGTTTGATGTATAAGTCACCACTATGACGTGTTGCAGGTTGGATGTATCAGTCACCACTATGACGTGTTGCAGATTATACGCGCATGGCTCGCCTCGAGCTACGTCGATAGAGCCTGGGATGTGAGCCCCGAGTTGGAAGTGGTTCTATGGTCGACGGTTGTAGCAGCCTTTGTCGCAGGCGCTGCCCTCGGGGCAGCCGTCGCACCAAAGCTTGCCGACTGCGCTGGCAGGTGGAAAAAATGTTTATATATGATCGTAAACCAAAAGATACGAGCTGAAAATCCTACTTGATTGGTATTCATCACTCATTTTTATTGTTATCCTCGTAGGTACTATAGAAATAGCTTCTGAATGACATGCAGGTCCATTAACCTGGTATACCGAATGGTTGTTTATCTGCAAAATAATTTTCCACGTGTATTCCTCCCAACCAGGCAAAGAAATAGACCACCAATGGTGTCTAAGCAAGTGTTGGCGTTCCTTTACTACGCAAGTAAACTTCGTGTGAATGTATGTGTTATTACGTTATGCTTGTATAAAAATACATAATCATGAATGTAAGACTATTGTCCAGTGCACCTTAAACTTGTCATGTTCACTTCTGGAGTTCAGAAATATTATAAAAATCTGTTCCATAATTGGTAGTCAAAATTTTTAGTTTCAGCTAACTGTGTTTCTTATTTGCAGACGCTTCTCTCTGTTCATAACCCAATTCATCTGCACGGTATCAGCAATACTCTTCGGTGTGTGTTACCTACACGAGTACGTCGAGCTCATGATCCTGGGAAGATTCGTTGCCGGACTCTCTGCTGGTGAAATTAACCTTCTGTAATTTCGATATTTTCTAATAACTTTCTGCAATTTGATGAATTTATACTTTTCTTATAATAAAACTTCATCAAATAGATCAATTGATCCAACAAGTATCAGTCAGCTTTCATAGTGGGGTTGAATGGTATGGAAAATCGTTGCTTTACTCTCCAATTTGTGCCTGCCAAAGTACTTATGCAACAGAGACATGAGCATTAGGATTTTGCTGCCGGTGAGCATTGAGACTTTTCAGAGACTATGAAAAATATCTTACGATAGAGAAAGTTTTGCGAAAAAAAGATTCTGCGCCAAAGGGTTAACTGCAAATAACGCGGCTAAGATGTTTCTACGAAACGTGCTACCATTACATTACAAATACATACATTTTGAATGCCCGCATAACTTACGATTTTGTTGAATTACTGATCATGATGGAACCTTAGAAAATTGTAGCACCGTATAACGATGCATGTACTCCAGGAAAGTCTGGGCGGCCAGCAGAACTTTCAAATGCTAAGTGCGACAAAATATCATATTAATTTTATAATCGGTTATTGGATCCTTAATTCCGTGGTCAGTAGAGTCTATACACAAAGTCAAAAGTGGCATTTAGACGTAGAATTCAGCAATGGTAAATAGTGGCAATTAGTAATCGAATTTTAAACTGATCTCCAGTACCTACTGTCCCCGTGTCAAAGCACCTTATGACTATCGAACAACTTCAAACCACAGGCATGTCGACCTGCATTGTGACGCTCTACATCTCCGAAATTTGCCCGCCTTCTTTGTCCGGCGTCTTCTCGGCCCTTGTGCCCCTGGGCTTTACACTGGGCATGCTCATCTCTTACATAGAAGGATTTCCCTCCGTTCTGGGTGAGTTCTCATACACTGTTAAAAAAATTACCGTTAAACGATATTACCGGCGTTTCAGTAACCACCCGCCACGTGATAATAAACAACGTGTTGCCGTTTTTATTCCAATTTTACACTAGAAACCCGTGTAACATCTGAAAAAAACGGCAATACGGTTTATTTTCACGCGCGGCTGGTTACTAGAAGACCAGTTTAAGACCGTTTTTTCACTGTTTTTTCGAACAGTGTTTAACTTCTGCCTGCGTTGGTTAGACTAGATTCCGCACGTTTTCATGACAGGATTATATTTTATAAATATATTCCAATCTTGCATATTATTTATTTGTTAGTTTATTTTGACGATTTTTGCATGGTTACTCTGCACATCAACGTAGAGAATGGCAGGGCAAAAATGCGCTTCCCTTGCACTAAAATGGCTTTTTGCTGATACATTTACAGTAGTCAATAGTTTACAGTATATATATAGGCATAATAATTGTACGCCATCCAATACTTAGTCTTGCCCGACGCTATTTCTAAAAAAAAAATTCCATTAGATGTTCTGCAAATCGTGCGCAGAGAGCTTGTTGAACTAATGAACATTTAGACAGAAATTTAGTTATGTTTTCGCTTTCGTTTTGTCGGGGTACCTTCTCAAATATTGAGATCATTTGTCAGCTCATTTTGCCTTTTGTTCCTAATGTTCGTCATTTCAATCCACAACAGTCATGTCTAAATCACTATATTGAGGCTTCGATTATTTAAACAATATTTTAGTGTTCATCATATTTTTTAATTTACGTTTAGTGCGATCATCAGCGCTTCAAACCATTTTTATTGAGTTTAAAACTATAACCATAAAACTTTAATCTTCTTTAACATCAGGAAGTTTAAAAGTTTAATTGTAATATATACCCTTGAATTACATGACAGGCAATGAGTGCAGCTGGATATACCTGATGTGCGGCAGCCTACCCTACGTGGGAGCTGGCTTCTTTTTGCTGGTATTCGCTCCTGAGTCTCCAACCTTCACGTACCTCTTCAACAAGGAGTTTGGCGATGCAGTCAAAGGTATTACTTTAAAATAATATTCTTATTAAATACGAAAAGAAATCTTCACTGTTTTCTCGCTTTAGTGAACGAATTTGCTATTTACGAAAAGAGGTCATAACTACAGTGTATTTATCGATTTGACCAATTTTTTTCGTTCAACCTATGAACATTATTGATAAATTCTTTTGGCATTATTTGAAAGTAATTTAAGCAGCAATTATTTTTTCCACGCCAATATGCATATATTACTTAATATATAACAATCATCATCAGGTTAAATTTAACTTGCATGCTGCTCGAGAGAGCTTTTTTATAATGAAATTTAATGTATTGTAGTGGTGAAATTTCAAGCTGTTCCTAAATAGCCCTGAAATTTTCTGGTATGCTGCACACTGTACAGTATTATAAAGTGGTTAGAAAAGTACAGTCGTTTAGAAAACTTCTCACGTTAATGCAGCGTACAATATGTATCTTAGCGTTGCATTGCCTGCTATAATAACTTAGAGCAGCACTTTATTCGCTACTACACTGATAAAGAAACATTGAAGTGTTCGTGTTTTGTTTTAATAATTACAAATATCGTGTCAATATCAGAATTGTGTAGTCTGCGTGGAACATCTGATGAAGCTGAGGTGGCTGGGGAGCTTGCGGCCCTGGAAAGCGCTGCTCAACGGTCCACCAACGCAGGCTCTTGGACGATCAAAAAAATCATGGGCGATTCAAGCTTACGGCGACTCCTGATCTTCGTTTTCCTACTGAATGTTGCTCAACAGCTGTCGGGTGTCAACGCGGTGCGTCGGCAGAGAATTTCATTGGGGAAATACTGTTGCAGAGTGCAATCAAAGTTTCACTTAACTTGAAACTGAAGTTTCAGGCAATGAAGTTTTTAGAGTTTCTGAAGTGTTTTAGAAAAGTTGCAAGTTGTTCTTGTGTTATTTTCGAAAGGTGTGCATTTTGAGAGGCTGTTTCCTCACTACACACATCTTGTCGAGCCAGTGTTCAGTGTCGAGCCTTGTCTCCATTTTCCTGATTCAGAAATTTACACGAGTGATGTCTAATGTGAAAGTTTCACTCAAGAATGAAGTTAGAATTGAACAAAATAAGAAATGATGTGAAGACAAGTTTCTAGCATACACATTATGATGGGGCAAATGTTGTGTAACTAAAGTATTTCCACACCAATGCTGTAGAAGCATTAAATCGGCTAAAATAATTCACATGAAAATGTTGATGTAGACCGCATGCAACGATTTTTTTGTTTATTTCAACTCGATAATGTTACAGTATACGCAATAAATCCTCACTTTTTGTATCGTTATGTGTAATTATTATCATTGTGTTGCAGGTCTTCTACTACTCCACGCTGGTGTATCGCAGCGCAGGGCTCCAGGGCCAGCAGGTCGTCGTAGCCACCTTCTGCATCTTCCTGATGAACGTCGTCATGTCGGCCACGGCTTTGCCTCTTCTACGGTAATTGACTCGTGCCACCATTTGGTGAAATGGCTCGTGCCGCCATTTGGTGAAATGGCTCGTGCCGCCATTTGGTGAAATGGCTCGTGCCGCCATTTGGTGAAATGGCTCGTGCCACCATTTGGTGAAATGGCTCGTGCCGCCATTTGGTGAAATGGCTCGTGCCGCCATTTGGTGAAATGGCTCGTGCCGCCATTCGGTAAAACGGCTCCTAAATATAAAGTACACCTAGCTAATGATAGATCAAAGATTATTACGACATCCGTGTGCAGAATTATAGATTAACTTTACGATATATGTTAAAAATTAGGGTTTTAAACCTTTATTGAGGAGACATTGACAGAAAATTGCTCAAGATTGAATTCAAAGGTTAAACCGCGTACTACAGTCTGGGTAAAATCTGAGTATGTAAAATTAATCATGTTGAATATGAATTGCATCTTGCGTTTCACAATATTTGTGCATTATTCATAAAGTTATTTTCAAAAACTTGAAATTTTATGTCATCAATTTCAATTATGCGCTCACATTCATGACAATAAATGGCTTTAGTCAAACTTTACATGTAAACAGAGTGTCAATGACAAATGTGATTCGTTTTAAGATATTAAATGTTTTTCGAGCAGATACTTTAGGAGAAGAGCTCTACTGACGGTTTCTATGACTGGTACCATAGCTTGCTTTATCGTCCTCGTGGTGTCACTCTCAGTGGTACAAGAATCTTCAGATGATATCCCTTTGCTGGTGGCGTCTGTTGCTCCCGTTGAAGAATCGATCAATTCAACAAATATGACTCGACAAATATTCAGAAACTCGAATATTGTCTTAGACACGAAATATCCTGGAATGGCACCCATTCAACCTGCTTCGCTTTTCAACAACTGCACGGTTGAGGATCCTGTAACAATTAGAAATTTTTCTGCAATGAAAACTTCCGAACCGAGTTCCAATAATAACGACCTACAGTTTGAAGATCAAATGACTGAACCCCAGCCTGATGAAGGGGGTTGGGCCGGTGTTTGTGCGTTGGTGGCGACAGTCATTTTCGTTCTCGCTTACGGTGTCGGCTTAGGGCCAGTGCCGTACTCATATGCTGCAGGTCAGCTCTACTGTTAACACTGATTCGTGTTCATAAAACTTTATGCTGGTTATTGCTTCATCTTCTCTCAAGGAAATTTTAAAAATTTCCAATCCAGTTCGCTTGTGAAACATAAAGTAGTTGCTGTTCATTTACTATTATAAAATACCAGATAAACATTGAGTAATAGGAGAATATAAACTAATATTTTCTTCGATGCTCTGCCAGAAACGTTCCCGGACGGTCCGCGCAGTGTGGCGCTGGCGGTAGGCGGAACGGCGAACTGGGGAGGGAATTTCTTGGTTGGTTTGTTGTTCCCGTTGATCCAGCGACACATGCAGCACTACTCATTCCTGCTCTTCACGACCTTTACCCTTGTGCTGCTCATCGTTTTTCAGTAAGTATTCAGCTTAATATAAGTATACTTCGTTGTTTCTTAAGCGTTAAGCTGAAGTTTATACGACTAAAATAAAATATATGTATAAAAACGTTTTTTGATGTCGCAGTATCACTCGTGTGATTTGAGATAATAGTTACTGTTGTCTCTACAAAATATTTTACAGTAAATTTTAGTTGCTACTCTAAATTAGCCCTTAATCTTCAGGTGGCTGCCAGAACCTAAATCGTGCAAAAGTGGCCAAGAACTCGCCGAGCCTAACCCCGGGGAGAGCTCGGAACTATTACCATCTCGATAATTCCTAAAGCGGCATTTAATGCAGAAAATATTGTCTTCAATGATCACTAAGAATGATCGAGATATAAATAATGGAATAAATTTTTAACCAGTGTCAATCAACCTCGTACAAAATCAAATATTTTAGATCGTTCTTTTGTGATTCAAGAAACCTAAAATTATGCAACACGTCTGTAAAAGACACTGAAACTGAACTTAGAAAAAATCAACTCATTACTAACGACTAAGGAATCTTATACTTATTTTTTACGTGCTGCAACACATGGTGTTGGTAGCTATGATCATGGTTGAATTAATTAATATGGTTGAATGGAATTAATATGCTTGAATATTAATTCAACCATGTCTATGATATTCCTTCCTCTAAACCTCGTGTCTGTGCGCCTCAGTAGGGAGGGACAACTGGGAAGCATTTTGATTTTTCTCGCTTGAACTTTTGTGAGTTTGTAACTTGAGATACGCATAAATAATTTTAACTACAATTAAATCATCATATTTGTTTAGTGAAATAATGTTAGGAAATAGAGGCCAACTGACATTCTATAAAACAACACAAGGCCTTGAGGAGTCGGCGGTATCCTGAAGAGCTTTTGCATGACCTAAAAGGAAACGTTATTAAAATTATTCTTAGACAATTATTTCATCTTATTGAAAAACTAATAGTGTTCAAAGTGTTTTAAAATGAATTCCTTACATAATTTTTTGTTATATATTTGTAATAATTTTGTTCCTCAACCGAGACGAGGCATTTAACAATTGTGAACACATTTATGTTTTAATACCGATTGACATATGCGTTGACATTACCTGATGACATGTAACAATAATCTTCTCGTATATAAGAATTTATTTAATGTTTAACTTGATAGACTGAAATGAATCAATTAATTAATAAAATATAAAGATTTAACTCCCAATTTTATCGCAGAAGGAATCGTTCACCACTTTTCGGGGGGTATGATCGCGAATAACTTGTTCATTCGACCTATTCATACAAAATTAAGAAACAAAATTCTATAATTTCATATAAACACAAAAATTATTGAATATTCCTGAACGGTGTAACAACACATAAAATTTTGTAATGACTACTGCTATATTACCTGACAATAATATAGTACAGCGAACCATCTACTAGATATAAAAAAGTGGGTATATTTGCCAAGATGGATTAAATAGTTTAATACGTTTTTAGCATAAATAAAGAAAAAATTGCATGCTCATGGCGTGGATTAGAGCGATGAATATTCAATGTTAAAATCTAAAGCAACAAAAATATATAATAATTGTGGCTCAATTAAGTCAACGGTCCAAAGTGTTGTCCACTCGACTCACCGTTTCATGATGTATAATGGATATTGTGTCAGTAAATTGTTTTTTTTTTTGTAAATGCCTGAGTTGGACTTTGTTATCAGACTTTTATTATGGAATTTTGGCGAGTTAAAGCATGAACTTGTCATTGTAATTTCTGAACTCGTTACCTAAATTCATTGGCCGCAACCTATATTCAGCGGTTATATAGTAAGTATAAAATTTGTAACTTAAAACCGGTGATCCCTATAGATGCGTGGTGAAACTAGCTGAACCCATATGAATTCGCGAAATATGTTCAAGCCGGGACATGATAGGATTAGAATTAAAATGTTATACAGGGTGTATCAGAATTAACTGACCCTTTTAATTTGTTAATAAATAAAAAACTAAGAACGTTATGAAGTTTAAACTTGTTTTATTTAAAAGAAGAACATTTTCATGGTAATATTGTATCATAGTTACGTCATTATCCTGTATAGCTTGCTAAATTTGTGTTTAATTATCAAGCCTTAAATTTTCATCATGATTCGCTACAGCAAAGAAGAAAGAACGAAAATTCTGCAAACCTACATCAGGACGATGTCAATAACAGAAGTTCAACGTGATTACAGGATCCATTTCAAAACAAGAATCAGTCCTTCAAAAAACACAATTAAATCTCTTTATCGAAAATTTGCGATAAAGAGATTTTATCAAAAAAAGCAACGAAGAGAAGAGCCCTATTTTGTCAAAACAATTGTGGTGGGCATTTAAAAGATATTATATTTAAAAACTAGGATACTATATTACCATAAAAATGTTCTTCTTTTAAATAAAACAAGTTTCAACTTCATAACGTTCTTAGTTTTTTATTCATTAACAAATTAAAAGTGTCAGTTATAATTCTGGTACACCCTGTATTATGATTTTCTATTGCGTGAGCTAGAACATTTATTCCAGCTCATTTATGTACGAAACATTCCTGCCAATCGTTTTGTAATCGTTCGACGTTGTTTATGTAAAATTATCGTTCAATTAGGAATAGAAAATTTATATTTTTTTGTTATATGTTATTAGGTGCTATAGCAATTGCTAATACTTATAATCATATGAATAATTATATTCATAGGACATAAGCCAGACCACATATAAGGATACAAACAAAATACAAATTTCATTGCATTTATTTGTTTCGGATTGTTGACATGAAAATACGAACTCGAGAGCATATGTAAGTTGACATTGTTGGCACAAAGGATATGACATAGTAACATAACTCGCGTACCATTTTAACAACAATTTAGTAGTAATATCATTCAAGTCTTATTTTCGGGAATCTATTTTACGGCAAGTAGTGCAGCAGAACAGAATATATATGCCATTTTTTTTTTTAATTTAAAAGAGAGGTGGTTTACAGACGTGTTCTCCCAGACACTTGTCGAAGCAGCATTTGTCCACTCCATTACAGGCATTTGTCTACTCCCTTGCAGCATTTGTCCACTCCCTTGCAGCATTTGTCCACTCCCTTGCAGCATTTGTCCACTCCATTGCAGCATTTGTCACCTCCCTTGCATTTTTTGTATTTAATTAAAAGAGAGGTGGTTTACAGACGTGTTCTCCCAGACACTTGTCGAAGCAGCATTTGTCCACTCCCTTGCATGCGCCGTCGTTGGAGCAGAGCTGTGGAGCACGGAAGCGAGGACAAGTTGGCCGCACGGGAGGACAATATCCTGGCTTAGCGGCCACGATTCCTGGAGCTTCCAAGCCACTCTCGCAGCAGTAGGCCTGACCGAGGTCTGTCTTGCACCAGTATCGGCACGTGTCGCTCACCGGTCCGGCGAGACCGAGACCGGCGCCTGGGCCGAGACCGATACCGCCGAAGTTTGGCATCGGGCTGGCTTCAACCGTAACCAACACTACTAGTGCAGCGCACAAGAGGGAGCGAATCTGCAAATAAATGACAGGATTTTAAATTAATTCTTTAAAAATACACGAATTTACGAAATAATTTTTACAAAAATATTAGTTGAATATAAATATCCTGATGTAAATCACATATTTTAGCTCCCATGTTATCAGATGATTGGTCACCGAAGTTAAGCGGCAAGAATAAAATATTTAATAGCTTCGGTATGTAAATCATATGAAGTATGGTTATATCAATGATGGTTACTGAAATCATATCAAGCTAGAAAAACTAAAGTCCGCAACGGAAAAATACATCTAATGTTATAACATAAATTTTTTATACTATGCAAATTAATAACAAATATTTCTGACAAATCTAGTGAAAAACGAACAAAATATAGAGACAGAAGGGCAAGATATATTTTGCTTTCGAGTCAGGTATACATACACATATAAATTAACGTAATTACGTGAAATAGGTTAAATTATATAAAATAATATATACTCTGAAACATACACATACATGTATGTTGGTGTAGTTTGGCAGCAGTTTTTCTTTAATGCAGGTTTCATTAAAGACCATGCAGAGAGCATTTCTTATTAACAATTTTCTTATTGTTTATCTATATTCGGCGAATTAGGCTCTTGATAGGAACTGAAAGGTCAAATATCAGCTTTCCAAGGGACATTTAGAGCTGGACTAAAGAATGAAATATATAAATATGAAAGTCATTTTAGACTTTCATATATATATTCATGTATATGAATGTATATGAAAAGCATATAACTCACCATTTTAAGGAGCTGTGGTCAGATAATCGTGTACGCAATACCAGATAGCATAGATCTCAGCACGAGACCTACATGACCATCCTCTTAAATACTGGCCGTATTGAAGGATTTCCGCTCTTTGTTGTTGTGGGACTCGCAACTGCGGACCAGAAGTCTCATTGTAAACAATGCCAGGCCTATCGCAGACAGATGGCCTAGCAGTGTTACGAAAACACAACGAACAATAACATTGTTATTTGTTTTCGACTGATTTTCCCCAACCAAAGATAAAAGAGAAATGAATTGAATTTTAGGACAGCTGAAAATATTTTGAGTTACAAGTGACGATGATACAGGGTGCTTTCTGGAGTGTTATTTGCTACGATAATTTTAAGGAAGGGCTTAATCGAGAGCGCAAACTGAATAGTTTTGTTCATATGATGAGCCGCATTACTTTATTTTATTTTTTATTTGCAGTGCTCATGGAATGAACGAACGTGGAACGTGCTTTTGCGGTTGAGGCATATTTTACCTATGGTGAATCAATCATCGCCACGCAGCGCCACACTTGCTTGATGACTTTGATTTGAAGATTTGAAATGCCTAGCACCATATCGAACTCGGTGGAAGTCTAGTAGCTACTTGAAACTATCGCCAGTCTTGAAAATATCCGGTCAAATGAAACGATATTAGATTTTCTGTAAACAAGGCACGAAAAGGAAAAGAATCGGCGACAGGCCACATCAGGCCTACACTTCAGCACCGAGATCAATATGTTATGTTATGTTATGTTATGTTATGTTATGTTATGTTATGTTATGTTATGTTATGTTATGTTATGTTATGTTTATGACACGCGTGTGTTCTTGAGCGATGTGGCGCACTTTCATTTTTCTGGGGCTGTTAACAAGCAGAACATGCGGCATTGCAGCGCTGAAAACCCACCAAAATTTCATCTACGACTGCTACACATGCAATGAGCTACAGTTTGGTGCGAAAAAATCCCGAGCTGGAATAATCGGTCCCTAGTTATTCGTAGAAAAGGAGAGGCCAGTTTCGGTGACATCTGAGCATTACATGACGATATTACAGGAGCGTTACGTGACGATGTTACAGGATTTCTTCCTACTAAAACTGAACGAGATGAGCTTGGACGATATTCGGTTGCAGCAAGATGGTGCAACTGCGCATACATTAAGAATATCCTTGGTTTTCTTGAGCAAAGCTTTTCCTGGGCGCGTGATCTCTTCGAGGAGCAATCTTCAACGGCCAGCCACTAACGGCCTTGCGTTAATTTCTTGTGGGGACATCCGAAGTCCGTCGTGTACCATGACAGACCCAACAACCTGAACCATCTCAAGAATAACATTCGAGAAGCCGTCGCCAACATTCCAATTGAGATGCTGGAAAGAGTCGACACCAATTTCCCGACGCGACCGATACAATGTATTGACAATAACGGACGTCAGTTGCGTGACATCATCTTTAAAACTGGCAAATTGTAAAATTGTCTTGTTCTTGATTATGCTATAACAAAATTCATCTGTATATACTCAATACTTTTGTTATAATATATGTTCCAAATAAGCAAGTTTGTCTGCCCCCACCCTGTATAAAATAGCATTAAAGGCTGAATTCGATTACACGTTGTCAATGATGATTTAATGTGACACGTAAAGAACTGTTAGCGAAATGAGCAACTTTTTTATTTTACTCAATCAATTTCTATCGAAGTCAAAGAATTATTTAAAGAATTATTAACCCAAGGTTGATTGGAAAGTATTGATTGACATATTTTTCTGTAAATATATTTCGAACAAAAATTTATGAATAACCTTATGTCATTGTTCAGAGTGAATACAAAAATAACAACGAACGGAATGAACAAATTTCGGTACGGCCATGCATATGATAAACTTTTAATCAGTCAAGTTATCGCAGAGTATCTAAATTCTGAACCTGTAGTGTACAGAAATAATATATATATTTAAATTGCTCCAGAAACGTTATTTCTGCGCCATATCTGCACGACTTATCTCGCTTTTGTCGGTTTCCTGTTTTCCCTCAAGACTCGCGCCTTAATGACTTGGGCCAAAACACTTATGAGAGAATGTATTTGTTATTATGTATGTTTATGCCAAAACACTTGTGTATGACTATATTAGGTATCAGGTATGCTTGGGCCAAAACACTTCTGTACGACTGTATTCGTTATTATTTATACATGTGCCACATTTCTTAGGTACGATTGTATATTTATTACATATGCTTGGAACAAAACCTTTATGTAGTAGTTATACGCATCACCAGAATAATTTAATTTGTTCAACCGCTACATTTGGTTTACAATATTATGTGTAGATTATAGGATAATAACAATAAGTGATAGGATATGTATACGTACCCAGCTACAAATCGTCATCAGAGAAACGTTCAATACTAACAATAAATTTGGTCAGAAATATATCGAACCACAATAAGTATTCATGAAAATCTTTTTTCTTTTGTTAATTTTTGTCGCACCTGAATGGACATTGAATGAACTAAGTTTTTCCTTAAAATAAAAATATAAATCTAGAAATATATCATGATTAAAATTTTATTTAATAAGATGTATTGCTCGCTGTTGTTCAACAAAGCTCAAACCAGACCATCAAACATTAACTACTCACCTACTCAATCAAAAACTCAAGTCGTAACTGACGATATCTAGCACTCATGGTTGAATTAATTGAATTAAAATATATTAATTCAACCATGTCTAGCACTGATGTAATAAGTATTCAGGTCGCCCAGGAGCCATAAAATGTGCAAATGAATATTTAGTGATGGGTTTTAAATGCAGCTACTCGATAATAAACGGCAATATACCTAGTCACATAAGAATTTATTCTATCACGCCTTCTAATTTAAGACTCTAAATCCATAAGATGAGTTATAGGATATAAAATTAGATGCATGAATAAAGATGTTAGTAGATGCTGCACATGGACCTGGCTTCAGTCTCTTACCGCTGCCTGTGACTTACCGACACCTTTAATTTAATCTTGTTATGATCGTCATACCGTATAATCACAGCTGGGCAGCGCTACTTTGAAATGTAGCAGCCGCTACCGCTACCGCTACATGCTTTAAATGTAGCGGGCGCTACCGCTTTCGCTACAATTGCTTAAATGTAGCGCTTAAATGTAGCTCAAATGTAATTGATACTAGTAAAAGGCTGAGGTTGACAACATTCCACCGAAATCTTTCGTATAGTTTTATTCTGTAATTTATATTATGTATGTATCATGCTGGTTTTTAAATAATATTCAATACTATTAAGTAAAATCTAAAGGCCTTATCTATAAATGTAGCGGTAGCGCTGTAGCGGCAAAGCCTCGTATCGCTACTTAAATATGTAGCGGGCGCTACCGCTACCGCTATAATTGCTTAAATGTAGCACCGCTACCGCTACTGAAAATGTAGCGGCCGCTAGCGCGCTACTGCCCACCTCTGCGTATAATAATTATTTGTTTATTAATTTATTTGAATCTTTATTTTTCTTTGTTATTCTGAAGTTTTCTGAGCTCATCTTTAATTTTCCTAATTTATTTTGAAAGTATTTTTCTCAATTAATATGAAAAAACAAATGGTTCTTTCGAGAAGGACGTCTCGTTGGGTGAAATTTTTGTAATTTGGATAGAAGTTAGGCGAGTAGTGGAAGCCGAATGAGGAAGGCATATGAACACTGTGTAAAGTTTATGAGTTTACCAACAGTAGTCACCAGTGTCTTGTTTTTATCTTCCAAGTGTAGTGTGTAATACCATGCAAAGCTATACGATTGCACATGGTTCTTATGAAATGGTTTCCACGTAGTAATCACGGTAACGTGTGCGCCACGACAATCTAATATACCGCAACAAACACAATACAGCGAGCCCTCACTATAAACGATCGATTACCTAACATATGAGGCTTCGAAGCTATTTTTAGCGCATTTTCTCATTTATGAAAAAAATGCACTATTGTGCTCGCCATGTCCGTCCGTCCGTCTGTCTGTCCGTCTGTCCCTCCGTCTGTCCGTGACCTCAAGTTTTCGTCGACGAGAAAATGCGCTCTCTGTCACTTACTGCAGTGAGTACTTAGTTATATTTTTTATTGATAAATTATGTAAAATAAATAATAACTAAGTTTACTCGCTCCACATGCAGCTGCATGCCACCATGTTTTAACTCAACACGTGAGCCCATGCAGGAGAACGAACGGATGGTAATTAAGCTGCTAATTTCTCCCAAGTGCGTAATATTTCTGTTTTGAGGGACTCTTAGCATAGAGAGAAGATTAATTTGTCCACTATCCAATGCAACCTAAAAATTATTTAATGATATCATTCGTGTTTCTTAATATGGAATACTCAATTTAAATTAATGCGCCCTATTAATTGAAAATCAATGACTTTTTCTCGATTATTGAATGCTTATATTGAATATGAGATTATATTTTTATCTTCTCCGTTTCAGGAATTCCACTGTGGCGTCTTCGGAGCAGCAATCCTCATTTTAGTGGTCAACAGCGTTCTTCTCTGTAGCGTGGATATAATTTGGATTACGTGCATATTATATTATATATATATAGTTAGGCACTGTGCAACCACGGAGCAGGGGAACGATACAGTGACTGTCTTTGTTATATAGTCATTCTACCTTAATATTGTTGTGACGCTCTGGAGACTGGTGATGACGAACAGGGGCCATACTTTCAAAACTCGCTAAGTGAACGTAAGTACTTACGCTCTATTTTCTTGTCTATGATTGGTGGATTTTGCTAGAAAGGCCGTCAATGATTGGCTGATGAACTTACGATCTCTTAATTTTTTTTTAAAGTATAGGCCCCGCACAACATGCATGATGAGGTATTCATGAATGATACTTCAAAGAAGCCAATAAGGTATAATAATTAACACATTGATTAATATTAGTCGAGTTTATTATGGAATTCCCAGACTGTAATATAAAGACGTTTTATGATAATTTGGGAATAAATGCCCCATAAATTAATAATTTAGATTTTATCCTTACGAACGATTTTTACGTACCAAATGATCGTATAGAATACATATTTCAACGACAAAGCTTTAACAAAGCCGCGATAAATTATCTCTGTAGCTTAGCGACAAGGAAGCACACAAACGTTATTTATTATCCCTTGATCGCCTTCATTGTTTCATAAAAAACATAAAATGATATTTAAATAATACGTCACTATTTAATAGCGGTTATTTATCATCTGTTTTCAATCACGTACACTGAATGGATTGAGTTATCAAGTTTCATGGGATGCTTGGTCATCGGAGTTTCAATGATCGAGATCGCGTATTAACTCGTGATTAAAAAAAAAAACATTATTTTTCGCGTTTTTTAATTTGGCTATGAGTCATATCCAAAATTTGTCCGTTAATATTTATTGATTTTCCGCGTTATTTCCATAGACGTCTCACTATATTGTCAAGAAAAGCTTTATAGTGTTTATGCTGCTTTGAGAAAAATTAAAATTAGACACTTCTTAATGCATCTAAAGCATCTTTCGATGCTTTGGAGAGGCAAAGCATGCTTGTTGACAGGCCACGTTGAAGACCGCCTAAGTGAAAAACTGATTTGTACCTAAAAAAAATAAATTAGGTGAAAGGAGCTAGGAATAAATTAATTTACCATTCATTAAAAGAACGAAACCAATGTAATATTGTTATTTATTCTCCATGTATTTCAATTTTGTTTGAGGTCACAAAAAAATGGAGCCAAAGATTTCAGTCACGTTGGTATGGAAGATCGACTAAATGCTCTCAGACTGATAGAATAAGCATCTATAATTTCTATTCAATTAATGTCGTTATGAATGAGCATTCAGCCTTGGTTCGGATATAAATCAATCCAATTGATATAGTAATTAGTATAATTAACCGTAATATAATGTAACCGTCGTACTATTCAATAAGAATAAAAAAAATTATTTATATTGAAATAATCGAAAATTTCAAGCACAGTTAGTTGTAGTTTATGTTGTTCATTGTTTAATAATTTTCTAATTATGCTCATTCACTCAACATTAACGTGGAAAAATTATGACAATAATGAAAACCTAGAAGGTTTAATAAATAACTTCCTCTTTATAATTTTAAATTTTAAAGAAATGTTTATGTGTAATAGAGGAGATGTTTGACGTACAGATGTTCATTTAACAGTAAATAAAATCGATATAAAGAAAGTCACTTCAATTCCATTCACATACTGGATAGGAAAGCAGATAGTCCCTGATTGCTTGGAACTCGTAACGAGACAACATTTTTCTGGTGGCAACTACATTATTGGTGTAAATTTTTTTAACCTGGATAAAAAGTACCAGCTTGTGATGCATTAATTTGTAGCTCTTTTTAGCGCATTTTCTCATTTATGGAAAAAATGCACTATTGTGCTAGCCATGTCCGTCTGTCTGTCTGTCTGTCCGTCCGTCCGTCTGTCCGTGACCTTAAGTTTTCGTCGACGAGAAAATGCGCTCTCTGTCACTCACTGCAGTGAGTACTGAGTTATATTTTTCTATCATGGAATGACCAGGGTCTGGGGCTACGTCACTTGGTATCTGTATGGGTGGAGTTAATAGGTTCTGTATTACCCTTTGTACCATCATAAGAGGCGTTAGCCTAAATCATTTTTGATTGATCTTCAGTAGAATTTGTAGTCAAACCCACATTTAGCGGATTTCCCTCGATTTTAAATAAATTATGCGCGAAGGAGTTTTGAGGCCATTGATTTTCTATTGCCAAGTTGTCCAACTTTGGATTTTCAAGTTGCATTGACAATTCATCAGTCGGCGCGGTGTTCCCAGGCTCCAAATTTTGTTCAGAGTTCAAATTCGTATTCTTTTTCTCTGTCTCGTGTTGGAGAGAATAATTTAACGGTTGCGTCAATAAATCCAAAGCTTCATTGGCAGTAGAGTCTGAAGTTAATGAATGCGTCAAAGAAGGGGCAACCGACTCGGTTTGACTTTTATCCGAATAACTGCCAATACTTTGTTGAATAGATGAATCAATATTCACTAATGGGTTTAGTGCTGAAGAGTGACTTTGCTGATATGCTTCGATCGTCGCGTGGCTTGACTCAGGGTTACGAGGTCCTTCGGCTGACACATCGGTCAACTTAGGGTTTAGTTGCTCCAAATCTTCTTCAGATTCCACTGACTCGTCACTTTCCTCGAAATTTTGTGAGGAGTTTAGCTGAGGCTCTAAATTGTGGGTTTCATAGTGATGCTCCCTATCAGATTCCACTGACTCGTCACTTTCCTCGAAATTTTGAGAGGAGTTTCGTTGAGTCTTTATATTGTGGGTTTCATAGTGATGCTCCCTAGGAGGAAAGGGTGCTGAAGAACTATCGGTGGAGGTGAGAGACGATCCGGTGTATTCAACCGACGCAGTTCTTTCTGTAGGCTCATCGAGAATACGCGATTCCAAAAAATTATCATTTAATTTTCTTTGTTCTGTTGAGTTTCTTGCCTCTAGGTCCGGGTTTGTTGTGCGGTTCATCTTAGGCTGATTATTTCCTATAACTGACTCGCTAATCCACGTAATGTTTTTATGTATCAAATCGTCATTAGGATCTGCAATCGGATTTTTGATAGTGTCTTCGGTAGAAGATTGTTGTTTCAACGATGAAACAGAAACTTCATGGTCTATGTAATCTTGAGTAGTTACTTGAGGTGAAGAAATATTATTAAAGCTGGACGAATTCTTACATTTTTCTCCTGTTTCCGTTACATTTCCATTTCTTGTGGGAGTGGTGGTACCAGGTCGATCAATTCCATACATGCAGCCAAAGACCACGATCATGCTGGCGATAAAAATTGCCACTGCTATACAACCCTGGAAATAGAATGTTTTTACTATGATTGCCCAAATTAAACATAAAGCTTACTAAAAGTTCGCATTTCGACAGTTTATTAGAAGCACAAGCATGAGCAACAAGATTAAAAATACGGGTATCATTATAAACGTCACCACTAGAGCAAGATTCGTAATCGCTTTTATAAACACATTAAACACATATAAAGGATTCAAACACATTGAACGTGTAATCATTTCAAGCAGAAAAGCAAAGAGTAGAAAATAATACGAGGTAAACTTTTATCAACGAAAGTTAAGATAAATGAGGTCTCATCACAAAAATTTTAATCTACAAAACTGACCTTTAATCACTAAACCTAAAGAAAATTCCTGTGAGAATAGCATTAAATCCAAACAGAAAAAATTTCAGATTTAAAACATATAGATAAATGAAAAATATCAGTATATTGGATTAATTTTGATAAAAAATGTTGTTCATTACAAATGTATCTCTTCCATTGCGGAATGATATTTTTATGGAAGTCAGTTTTTATGAAACTACAATAGCATTTTGTGCCTTGAACTAAACTGAATATACTCTATTAGTAACCGAGCACCTGTTCATAATTCGCAAAAGAGAGTTCGGATTTGCCAAGTGTTTAAGATCATCAATATTGGAAGAGTGAATTACGGGATCGAACCCTTCAGCTAGATGTGAAAATTCAGGTTGAAATTGAAGAGTGTGGTTAAGCAGGGCGACAACATTGGGTTATTAAGTTGTAGTTGTTGAGTTCGAGACTCAAAACAAGCAAATTAAATTTGGCCATGCCTCTATAGAATTGGCGACAGGAGCCGGATCTTTAGTGCTGACTTAACTTACTTGGATAAATTCAGTTATAAAAAAGAAACTTACCTTAAATCTTACACATCGCTTAGAACGAGGCGAACTCTCGCAATTGTTTTCCGCTGATGTTTCCTCAGGTTTTGTGACGTCATATGAACCATAAATCATGATGACTTTTCACTGAACAAATTCTTCGATAAATTTCGTAGAGCAATTGAAATGTAGAGGGATTATCTATTGAGAATCCGTTTACTACATAATCAGGTAGAAGATTTGACAAAGTTTAAACTTTGATCGATGTAAAAAGTTTAAGACCACCAAACTTTGTTCCCAGTATCTTTAGAGCTTACGTTCAGGAACAAGCCCTCGTACTAGACTGCCTTTTATATCTTGATACCTGAACTGAAATTGAGAAATTCAATCACGAATAATGAAAAAATTGATCTCTGTCGTGATCCGATTAAGCTTTCGAAAGGCCACATTTTAAAAGGTATTTGTTCAGCAATCGAGCGCACTACGTTGAAATAATAATTAGTAAACTTGATCTTCCTAATTAATGCAAGGTAGGGTGCCTAAACTGACAATCTATACATGATCACTTAATGAATCGACCGTTCGTGCTCGATTAGAATACGGAATGACGAGTGTCCGGAGAAGCTTCTCACTCTAAACTACTGTTTCCAAACTTTTTTGCTTCTTCTTGGTTATTTTCCACTAGATATTGGTACATTAAATTTCAATAATTAAAATGTTAGTAGTTTAATCCGACATTTTTTGGTCGTTGTGAAGGGTTGCGGATAACCGGACAATATGTAGTGAACATTGAACATTCGCTGAAGTTAGTCATGTTCAGAGATGGCTTGAAATTTAACGCATGAACTTCAGTAATATATCCCCGCAAATGATCCTACGATTCGACCGCAGCTGTGTCCGAACATGAGCGATTTTTCTCTTGAATGGAAGGTCTCCACAATTCTATTTATATTTGATCCAGCAACGCCCCAATGATGGGCTTAAATAAAACAAGTCTCCCACCCAATTATATTGCGTCCCACCTACTTGGGGCGCGCTCCTACTTGCAGGAACTACTGCTCTATAATTTTGTTCAATTGAGATTTTATTGAAGATTTACCAGATAATATTGCTCATGCTTCAATGTCAGAATCATCTACACCTGAAACTTTAAGAGCGTTCGTTCAAATTGCTCGAATTTTTTGACGTCCCCGAATTAGATTGCTGAAATTAGGGTTCGAGCACAAACGATGATAATTAACTTCTTTTACTGTATATTCATTAAGTGTACGATAGATTGGACAATAATTGCTACTTAAAGCAATTACTGCTACGAAAAATTTTCAACTTCAACTTCAACAACTCTTCATATTGAATAGATCAGCGTTCATTTGCAAAATAAATTAAAAAACTAACATTCTTTGCCTGATCCTGCATCAAAAATGTAAGGCCCGAAATGCAGTATTGTTCACATCATATTTATTGTCACTAATGTATGATTGTTTTTTTTGAACCAATTGTTTGGAAAGCAGCATCTTAATAATGAGTGTTTAGCAAGTTTCGATTCAGTTTAGTTTAGACTATAGGCTAACTGATGACATAATAAATGAATTTGAAGGTTAGGTAATGTATTAGTAAATCTTATTCACGTAACAGGATATTGAAATGAGTTAGAAAGTCTGAGCCGAAATGCCTTGAGTCTTTAATGCATCAAGAACTGCATTTGTCGTTTCTTTGAACATATTGAACGAATGCATGGCAATCAACACCGGGTTATAAAACGTTATTATTATTAATTATTGCTTGGCGTAAACCACTTACCGTACAGTTACGGAAGATCGATATCAGTATTATTATTTTTCGCGTATTTTTCTGGTTCACAAAAAACTTTTTCACAGTTTCGTTTGAAAACAACTCTGTGTGTGAAGGCGTGTGGCAACATCTACAGCGAACTTATCTATTACAGTCTTTCTTGTTCATTGGTCATTAAGGCCACATTGACCAGACGCGTGTAGTGCAACATACTCGAGCATATTCCGATAATGGTGGGTGCCGTTCTAGTCTCTTGAAGCATTTAATTAAGAAGTTTGTTTGATGTAAGAAGACGAGTGGATATGGACTATTGTAATACTGGTCGTTAGCGACACTTGTGAAGACTAAGCAAATTCAGATTCTGTGATGAAATATTTAGGCTTGATACGACTCAAATGCTGTTTTTTTCTCGAAAGCATCGCGTTCCATTATCCAAAGGCATGTGAAGTTTATGCTTGGTATGCAATAGTATTCTAAAATCACACTACTATAGTTACTGTGAAGTGTGACTGGATATTTAAATCTTTTGACTTGTCCTGCGGCGCATCGTCGCTTTCATATAACCTAGCGATGCCGATTCGGCTCAATTAGCCTAAACTGTTGAAAATTGTCTTCTCATGTCTTTTGTGATCGCACTGTATGTACGAAGCTGTTCACGAATATACGTCAAAGTGTTTCGGGTTTGTGGGTCGAAAGCCCATAACATGCGTGGCTGTTTGACGATGATTTGCCTGCTTTTCAAGGTTTATGATGTACGTAAAAGAGAAGTAGAACAGAGGCTAGCATTTTGAATGTAAAGCTTTTCCAGCTCTGTAACCCCATCTCCCATAGAGCTCCATCCCTTTTAAGGTTCTGGTAATGTCAATTGTCGGTCTATAGGCCTACTATAGTTTCCATTTTACAGGAGCTGGTTCAGTTCGACATTGTGGATGGTGTGCCTAAATCGTAGATTTTATTTCGAATTAATCCTCCATCTATCTCTTTTCCCAGATTTCCATACGAATGTTTGTGATGGTTGCCACGGGTGTGGCTGCCTCGCTGGTCTCGGGCCAGGTCACAACTACGACGACACCTCGTCCCGTTAACCCCTATGTCCCGCTAGGGCATCACGCCGGGGCATTTGATGGTCAGAGGTTCCTTGGGGGCGGCCATCATGGGCATCACAAACCACATCATGGATACGGGGACGGTCAAGGCTATCAAAGTGGATACGGCCGAGGCTACGGAGGTGGCTACGGCCAAGGTTTTGGTTATGGTGGAGGTCAAGTTGGGAGCTACGGTGATGGTTATGGCCCAGCCCACAGTGGAGGCTACGGTGATGGTTATGGCCCAGCTTACAGTGGGGGTTACGGTGATGGTTATGGCCTAGCTTACGGTGGGGGCTACGGTGATGGCTATGGCCTAGCTTACGGTGGGGGCTACGGTGATGGTTATGGCCCATCTTATGGCGGAGGCTACAGTGATAGCTATGGCCAAGCTTACGGTGGGGGTTACAGTGGTGGTTATGGTCATAACTTAGGAGAATTCGGTGGCGGTTACGGTGGTGGCTCAGTAGGATATGGCGGAGGCTACTGAGCCATTAGCTGCTACGACCACGTCTGAGAACAGAAGATGAGACCTACAGACCAAGATGCGTACATGCATACATGTAATGACGGAGCTAGTAAATAGTGAATGAATAACATGGTATATCTGTTTTATTTGTCCACTACACTATCCTGTACTGTACTTATGTGCATTGAAATTCTTAAGCCTGAATTTCATTCAGTGAAGCGTTAACCCCATTCCTAACCTATGATAGGACGACGCTAGCATGGTTTGAAATGTATTAGTGGCTAAATTTTCTCTGACGATTCAAGATTAAATTAATTATGTCCTACTTACTTGAGACAGTAAGCTTGAAGTAGAACGTACAGGAAAATTTCTAAAATAGCCCATCGACGCTGATTCTTCTGGTACATTGATCTTGCTCCTACAAGGCTGTAAGGAATGAGGTGGGTGCAGCGACTGTTGTACGTAATCCGCACTGACAGATACAAATAACTCGGGATATCTTTATATCGAGTGAATACACCATTAACTTCTGTAGTTGACGACTATTCAGTGCGCTGGAGTCCGCGTTTGCAGTTCTGTCCAATGTGGAGATAAAGCTTAAAACCAGTTTTTTTTCTGAACTACGGAGCTAATTAGTTGTAATACACACAGCATGAAGACGACCTTCAATTACTAGGGCCTTGATGACGTCTAAAGTTGTAGCTCTGCTGCTGGGCGGCTCCTTGCATGCCGGCCAGAACCAAGGTTTGACCATCCACAAGTGTTGTGGGCATGCAGAAGCAAGTTTGGAGTAGCAAGTTAGACCTTTCGGAAAAACTTTGAATAGAGTTCTCCATCACATTTGTAATCGTCATTGATTGCGTTCATGTCATGCCATTAGAGAGTTTGAAAGGAAGCAGGACAAGGACTAGAAGAAATATCCGCATTCTATTTCTCTCGAATATTAGATATTTCGCTATTTAAAGTATTTATTGAAATTTTATAGAATACAAATTATCAGGAGCTGGAAATGATGAGGTTTATGATAGATTCCATTGAGTAAGTAAAAGATTCATAGTACACTGAATACTGTCCTATTGAAGTATCCTGTCTTCCAAGGGAGCGCAGTGAAGTGAATGAAATAAAGCTGAATTATCAAGAGCTCTTCAAGAACCCCCTGCATTGAACTGCGTGTCGATCCGATGCAACCTCGTATATATCTCAACATTACTGGAACTTATATAGTAAGAATGCTCCTGTGAGTATGAATAAGATTTATCCATGTTCGCACAGCCAATTTCAACGCATAATACAGAAAAAATGAACATGGAGTATACCGAAATACTTTAAATTATAACAACTTTGTCCTACAGGTAATGTACACGGAAAAAAGCTATCTAGACTTTCCCTTTCAAGCTCAACGCAATGGAGTATGGAGAGCAGCCTACTTCTTTAGTGGGCTTTTTCTGTGCCCTGAATAAGCGCACCTTTGGTATGAACTAAGTCACGTAATCTTCCTCCGTAGTTTTTTACACACAATGCAAATGTTGAAATGTCCATTGTGATTCGCGGTACATTGCGGGAAGCGGGTTTAATTCATAAATAGCAGTCGATGTTCGTTCCAATTTACTAGTGATCAGTCATGCGATAGACAAACTTAGCCTGGCCAAGCGATATCAATAACCTGCTAACTGCATATATGGCGTCCGTTACCCCGCATGCATAATCCAGCGTAGCAAATTCTTCAGTTATATGCCAGACTTTGATTCGTGTTCCAGGACAACTTGTAGTTCGACGATCACAGTGCAAGGCCTTGTATTCAAGAAATTTTGGTATAGACGACGTATCAATTATATATGTATATTATAGACGTATCCCCAGGGAGTAAGGGAAGTTGTCGAACGACAATAATGAAATGGTTAAATTTAGTTCGAATTCATCACTGCAAGAAGGAACATAGGGTCAATGGAATCAGTGTAAGTTCAGAAACTTGCGGTACAGTCGCTGCCCAATCACGAACTACCTCGTACCCCGCAAGAGAACTGTTCAAGGTTCGCAGTTTCGTCCTCGAGTTTGGTTTCCACCACAATTCGCCAGTAGCGGCAGTTTCGATAAAGAGGTTTCAAATTATTGGAATCTAGTACTCGTATGACGGCTCATGCTGCAATAACTAGAAACAAATCACGTTTCACGCAGGAGTATCAGCAAATTTCCGAACGTAATTTGATTCCACGAATATCGTTGACGGACATTTGGTTCAAGTAAAATAAGTAACATCTCGTCAACCTCGAGCCGAGCCAAAGGTTGTCCTTGAAGGAACGAATGAAAAGCACATCAATACGTATTTTTTATATAGTCTTAACTTAGCTTAATACGCTGGATCGTACCAAGTCCTACTTGGTTCACTGAACGGCATGGAAACAATTTTTTCCTAAATTGCAATAAACTCCCAATTTCCATCGGGGCCGGTACTATATGCCTCCTACGCACTTTACCGACCGTACCCTCCTCCATACCCGCCGTACCCTCCTCCATACCCGCCGTACCCTCCTCCATACCCGCCGTACCCTCCTCCATACCCGCCGTACCCTCCTCCATAACCTCCACCACTACCACCGTATCCACTTCCGTATCCCCCAAGATAGTCTCCACCATATCCTGCGTAACCTACATCATCGTAGTTGCTCCCGTAACCACCATCACCATATCCTCCGTTATAGCCGTAGCCTCCGTACCCGCCGTATCTACCTAACCCTGAACCATATCCTGCGCTAACTCCGTAACCGCCACTTCTGAATTCGGTGCGACCAGGCCGCACGACATCCGATGCATCACGCAACGGATCGTTTGGTCGAGAGGGCGGTAGTCTGACTGGGGGGTTAGGAGGGCCGCCGGGTCTTCCGACGTCAGGTCGATCAGTTATAGGAGGCGCTGGTTCCTGAGGCAGGTTAACAGGATTCGTGGCCCCCATGACAAGAAGTGTAGTAAACAGCACCAGCAGCCGCGTGATCTGAGGGGTGAACAACATTCAGTCAGTTTTCGGAGGATGCCCCTAACAAGACTATATTTACGTTGTTACTGTGACTAGGTAATTACAGTTCGATGCATCACCAGGTTTAGTTCAGTAAGATGCATGTTCAATCAGCAAGGTTGAGCAAGATAACAGGTTAGTATCCCACACCCGCTGCTATGCGTTATTTTCCCGTATTACAATATCTTAATGGTAATTATGGACAGCTTTGGTTACGCGGGATCAATCATTCCACGCTGTGTGAATACATTTAGCCACATTTAGATCGAAATCCACTTCGCACGTGGGTATCTAGTTTGTAGACTAGCAGATGCATGCGTACACCGTATACATGACTAGAAATTTTCACCGTATGCAGTTTCTCAACACAACGTAGTTACGAAGCTTCTTGACCTCTGATTGGGCAGAAAATATCCAATAGTGCAAAAAATCACTCAAAATTTGATACGTAACACGTGTATGGTGCATCAGCTTCGAACCAAAACCACATTGCTATCCCAACTAAAGGCTTATAACACTGTTTCTGTACCGCAAACTGCAATTGCTAAATTTCGCCCCCATGCTTTTCAACATATCCCGAGAGTGCTCTACATTCTCGCTACATACACTTACTAGCAAGCACATTGTCACTTTGCGATTTCGATTCCGAACCGAACGTTCGCCGCCAAGTATCGGGGGTGCTTGCGCAGTGGTTACGGAAGCAGGTCTGGCATTAAAGACACGATAAATACAAATAGCTATTTCGTGTTGGTCTAAGGGATGGCTTGAAAATGATCACCTTAGCTGAACTTGCGCCGTTCGAAAAACTTGGAGTTTTGTAATGATATGATTCTGAGCATAAAATTTCAATAACGAATATTGTGTACCTCTATCATCCATCAATTTTTTATCGTTTGATGTTGATAAATCTTTAGAGACTTGAGGCCTTGTGCGGGAAAAATCGAGTGAAATTAAATTCCGTCCGTTATTTCGTTCAATTTTAATATATTTAAATTATGCAAACTGAATCTTCAAGCAAAATATTCATCGGTAAAATTTTCCGTCTGCATCGAAATGTACCAATAATTACGAGGTCAGTATTAAGTGTCAGTAGGGTAAAAAATGGACCATGAATTTTTTTTGAAAGGTTTCAAGTCGATTGAACTTATAACTATAAAATGCCGACCTTTCACATCGTGCGCCGCGGACTCATAAATATTTGCGCTTACATGCTTCGCTGCCATAAGATAATACTGATGGCAAGTTCATACATTTTTATTAGTTATGCGATCATAATATCACACAGAACAGCTTCACATTTTTTTGCTTTTTCAAGTATAGTGCAGTATTGCGTAGCCAACCTTATGTCGAACTTTCAAACAAATTAGCCACAGACGGAAGTAAATTTCTCAAGTTGCTTGAATAAGACGCAAATAATTAAACAATTAAAGATATAGCAAGCTATGTAAAATTTGAATAAATCATTCATGATTGTTTCTTTGGCCGTAAAATTGTCTTAAATCACCAAATCTGCTTTTCTGTGGGTTAATGGTAAAAAATGGTTATTGGGACTTCAAACAAAATTTTAGCTTCAATTGCCACCAAATTTTGGTTGTTGATTATAAATAACAGCTTGTCGAAGACGTAGCAAGAATACATAAGAAATGGATTTACGTGCACCTAGGATTGCCAGTAATTTCTCTCTTGATGATTTATTTGCACGAGAAGACGCAACCGAGATGACTACTACTCAGTCAAAGCAGGTGTTATTGGAAGCAATGATAGGAAAAAATTTTTCAAACTACAAATACTGATTTTGGAAGCAATTAATTGCTAAGAAAAGTTATCACATTTTCATGAAAAGCGCCAGATTATTCTAAAGTGCAATAACACCTCACTGATCAATCTCAGTTATTCATGGAGAAACTTAATTAGACTGATTTTCATTCGATATTTTTCGTCTCAAAATTACGATTCGTTGCAAAGTTTGGACAATGTTATTAATTTTTGTTTAATGAGCATATAAAAGAGACCCTTCAATAATCTTAAAAGATGTACATCATCATTTGAGAGCATGGATACAACAGACTATGATTATAACTGAACGCCTATTTGAAATTCAAACGAAAAAGTTCAATTTATGAGCAACTGACGTATCATTAATTTTTCGCGTAATTTGTTATTGCTGCAGTCATAGGAAATGTACGACATTATTGATGGCATCTAGAGTATCTGAAAACTTTTAAAAGACAATAAAAAATCACGATATTTGACAAGGTAGTTTTATCGTGATTGGGGTGATTTTGGTGAAGGGAGATTTTTTTAATTCAAGGGTTTGGCACATTTAACTATTCGTCACTTTCAATCTAAATAGCCTATGAATTATTAATTGGCATACAAATGTTTTTGAACGCTTCGAACTATGAACATTATTTAAAATAAGTGGTATTCACTGCCTGGAATGCAGATTTTATTCATTGTATTATCGAACTGATCTAATTTATATATAATAATAGAGTACGAAGCCTATAATCAATAAATTTTGTACACCAATGGATTGTCCAAAGCTTATGAGAATTTCATTTAAAAGCCAACATAGAGAGCAATTTACAAGCTTGTAGAACATGGCTGCTTTACGAGAGACGTTGAAAATAAAATTCGTGATGTGTTCGAAGTTCAAAGGTCCGCTTAGTGTTGTTCAGACTGCTGGAAAACTGAAAATTTTTGAACTTGGAAAGAGGAGGTGGCCCAATGGTTAAAGTTCAGAGTACCAAGATTGACGCACTAGAGAGGCGCGGGATCGATCCCAGCTCTGTGTGCCAGTTTCTGGTCAGAATCAGCAAGGAGGCCGGGCGGTTAAGCACAGCAGAATTGTAGCAGGGAGTTGCGAGTTCGAGACCTCAAAATGCTGTGAATATTCTGCGATGTTAAGGATCAGCGACAGGCCTACGGCCTATAAGCAATAAACGCTGAAACCGCTATTATTATTATAGGAGGTCACGCATTGCTCGTCCAGATAAATTATAATTTAATAGTGCTTTCTTCAATTTTTGTAGTTATTACATGCTCGAGGTTCGTATTAAGAGTCTATTTTGTGCTGGTCGGCGAAAGAAGAAAAGCTCATAATGACCAGAATTCAATTGAATTTTATTGGCTGAGAACGGAGTGCGTTAATCGCGCAATAATGTCTGCAAGGAAAAATTTGTTATATGTATATCCATCGTTATGAGGCGAATTTTGATGCATTCACTAGCTTCAGCCGACATTTAATTTGGGAATGTACTGCAAGAGACGATGCTAAGTTTTCGTTGCAATATCATCAATAATCCAAGGTGTCTCAGCCATAGAAGCTACTAACTACTTTCAGTCCCAACGGTTGTATAGTAGTACATTTTAGCGGTGTCAGCGTTAACTAGGCCGTTACATATGACGCACATACTTAACATCGCAGAATATTCACAGCTTGTTGCGGTCTCGAACACGCAACTCATTGATCCAATTTTGGTGTTTCATATACCGCCTTGCCTCCTCTCCAATTCGACCAGAACATGTGGAGGAAGCTGAAATCAAGCCCATAACTTTCTGCTCCAACTGGTACTCTGAACGATGGTTGAACTAGCAGATATAGTTCAACCATGCTCTGAACTGTGACTACTGGGCCTCCTTGCCCGGTTGCCCCCTGGTACTATTGAGTATTGACACATAGTTAAACTTTAATCGAAAGTGACTTAAAAAAATTTGATATATAATTAAAATGACACTCTCTACATGATTTAGGAATAAAATTCCATCCTTTCTCTCCGTCTCCACTAGATCGAAGAACACGAAAATAAGTGCTAACGGCCAGTAATGGGCGCCGACACTTTGCAACGAAGGGCAAAATTCAAATTTCGCTCAAAGTTGAACTTGAGTCATGCTTGTAAAATGAGCTAACCTCCCTATGAAGTTATTAGCCCCTTGTGCCCGACAGGCTGACAAGATTCACGTTCTACACATATCAATTTCGATTTTCGACTTGATGAGTGAATTTTAACATGAAGTCTTCCCCAATTGAACTTCATGAGATTGAAAGACACTAATTTTCAAATCGACATATTTTGATAACGCACATTACACATAAAATAAATACGATTCATTTCTCGCTTTTAGACGCTGTCGAACTTTGACGGTTTCTGTTGCGTTTTTATGTCAAGATTATTTTATTTAGGTTTCCCATTAGGGAAAAAGTTTAATCGTTTTCTACGACGGATTCTGAGAAAATTAGAGAGAATAAACCTAAATAAAACTGATGTTCTGAGTTCGTCGGAACTAAAAATCTTTTATCTATACGCCCTTTATGTTCTTAAAAAGTCTTTAATAATTTTCAAACAGCAATAATTTTTGCAGAGTATGTTTGAGTTATATTATTGGGCTTGATATTCATCATTTATTACCCCTCTTTTCTGCTATCGTTAACATCTTAAACCCGCGTTTTACACGGCATCATAGAAATTGAATGAAATTCAATTGAAAAAAAAAATTGAATTGAAATGAAAAATGAATCGCAGTTTCAGAGATCGTTGGTAAGTCATGCATTCAAGTAGTATGCTTATAAATTTCTTAGGAAATACGATCACTGCGGAATTTGTTCGAGAATTACTCTGATATAACCTCCAAAAATTATGTTTTGCTTAGCGCAAAAATTATAACCATCAATTTTTACACTACGTATGACAGATCACCACAGAAACCTGACCATTTTTATAAATACAACTCTTCGGAATAAATGGATATCAGTTCTAATTTTATAAAATTTTATTTAAAATCACAATAGATATAGCATACAAGCAGAGCTAAACTCTATAGGCTGGCAATGCCACGAATAAAAATTATACCTGACCCGAAGTAATTCCGCTTGACTGGTTGCCGTCTGCCTTTTTATTTTACAAATACGACAGCAAAGCAACCTCGTCAGCGATATAAGGAGATAATCCTAAGAAATTGTAAGCTAGTGTGAAACCAGTAACTGATTTCAATTTCTGATAATGACGTAGGTATGACGTAGCATCTATACAAGCGAAGCATGCAACCGACATACCACAACAACAGGCAAACCATAACATCGAGTGCGAAGAAACTAAATTGGGAGGGCAGGCTTGCAAGTTTTATGCCCAAGGCAATTGTCGAAGCAGCATTTCAACTTGTCGTCGCACTGGTAGTCGTTGATACAGGGGTTAGGTGCAGCAACTGCGTCGTACACTGGACACACAGTCCTCACAGGGGGGCACACGCCAGGCTTCTGCGCGGGTGGATTATCGCAACAAAAATATTCAATGCGTCCGTTGATTTTCGTGTTGCACCAGGACGAGCATGCCTTCGGGGTGGTTGGCTTTGGTGTTGTCGTCGTGGGTGTAGGGAAAACTGGTCGTCCAAGGCCGGAGACGGTGTTAGCACCTCCAGGGAAAACTGGTTGTCCAAGGCCGGAGACGGTGTTAGCACCCCCAGGAGAAGGACCGGGAGGTACATATGGGAAAGGAGGACGGTGAGGCGGGAGAGGTCGATGCGGGAGAGGTTGAGGCAGGAGAGGTCGAGGCGGGAGAGGTAGAGGCGGGAGAGGTTGAGGAGGAAAAAGTTGAGGCGGTAGAGGGCGAGGAAGGGGATGGTCAACTGGGCTCTGGGCTCCTGCAATGCTCAGGACGCCCAGCAAAATGGACGTAAAGGCGAACAATCCTGCCTGTTGAGTAAAACGTGAAAATTAGCTCATTAGAAAGAAAAAATTATTTATGCATTTTCGCGGATAATTAAATAACCACATGCAGGTGTGTAATGGATGCCTAATTATTTTTTCGGCTGCTGTCCACAGGATAATGAGTGGATGTGAATAGATATTACCATTTCGCTAGAAGACGAAGAAGTGAGCTCAAGACGGTCTGGTTTTTAAATGATAGATTATGACTAAACAGCCTCTTTATATACCTGGCAACAGTTTCACAATCACTTAATCTATGAATAATTGAAACCACTTTCTTCTAGAAAAAACGAGAACGCATCACCAGACCACGATTCCGTGGATACTTGGAGGACATAATAGGCTCCTTCTCTCGATGATGTATTAAGAACATAAAGTAAGAAAATATTATTATTTATTAAAATGTGCAGTATATACGCAGGGACTAAATTCTCAAGCGACACAATGTCTAATCTCCAGGTAAACTGTAATTTAAGTCATTAATAACGCCGCGATCATAGGTGAATGATACAATATTTGATGATCTGTGCTGTTACATAAGTGAACTGTCGTGCTATAAGAGCGAAGATCACTTTATTTGATTTATTTATTCTAATTTTAATAAATTTTACTTACGTCAAAATACTCAACTTTAAGGATTTAAGTTTGATCAATTACCTAATTTTAAAATTTTTCCTATGACCCAGAACCAGCTTCTCATAAAAATTAACAAAATGAAACGCAAAAGTCATTCGTACAAGCAGAGACATAGAGGCACTAGTTTGTCGATTAATACTATATATATATATATATATATATATATAGTTATAGTTCCACTTTACCGGACTTTAATTAATTTTTTTTCTAAATTGCAAAAAATATATAAAAAAAACTTGACCTGGCTGGACCTAACCTCAGTAAAACGGTCTCTAGCAACCTAAAGAAGGGTTTTAGACACTTCAAACCCTAACTCTAACCCTAACCTAACGAGGTTGGCGTTTTTTTGGTGTCCGGTAATGTAGTTCATTTATTTTCGTGTCCGGTTTTTACACATAAATAAGTACTAGCGTCAATTACCGGACTCGATTTTTGTCCGGTTTTGTACCCGATGTCCGGTAATGTTACGAATTGTAATTAATTTTGTCCGGTAATTGTACGAACCATGTTAATATATATATATATATTGTAATTAATTTTGTCCGGTAATTGTACGAACCATGTTAATATATATATATATATATATATATAGGAACAGTGGCCGCACTCATGATCTGTATCAACTATTCGTAGTGCCTCTTGCACGATGCATCGAAATCTATTCTTGCTACCTTATTAATTGATGTCCTAATAGCGCAATGGCAGTAACCATTCACAGAAGTAGTGCCCCAGGAAAAATTTTTCAGAAACCATTTAATTTAAGCGCCCAGATCTGGTTCAAAATTGTTTTCTAAATCAATGTATGACAATGCTGGTATCCAGGATATTTTGCTGGTCTACTTATTAGACAAAAAATATAACTCGGTACTCACTGCAGTGAGTGACAGAGAGCGCGTTTTCTCGTAGACGAAAACGTGAAATCAGGGACAGACAGACGGACATGGCGAACACAATAGTGCATTTTTCCATAAATGAGGAAATGCGCTAAAAAGACAAAAGACTATTGTATGATACAAGAGCAATGGCTGCAGTGGGGATCGCAGATTAAACGTTCGCAAGGTTGTTTGTACAACGAAAACTAAACATGTTCTTTCGACATCGTTAATATGAAGTCTAAACTGCCCAGGCGTAGCGGCAAACGAGGGACTTCTTAGAAACCACTTAATTTTTACAACACGTCTCTTTAACTTCACTTCTTGTTGTCTGTTATAATTACAACACTTATCTTTAACTTCACTTCTTGTCGTTTGTTTGTTTGCTACAAATTTTATAATCGATATTCAACACACTTCTATATCCGTCCAATCGATCTAAAATTTTACGCACTTGCGTAAAGTCGGAGACAATGCATGAATCAATTTACACAATAAATAATCTTGAAAATTTATTTTTTTTCATATATTATATTAAAAAAATTAAAAATGAATTGTTTTAATATATGGAAATAAAATTTGAACTTCATTGTAGATGTGTAACATCGGAGACACTATTCTTAAGAAGTGTTGTCTTTAAAAAGTAATTTTTAAACTCATATTATTTTATTTTTTATTAAACTCATATCATTTCAGATGAAATCAGACAAATGGATTCAATCAAGGTAACCTAAAATCAGTAACAAATTGATAATGAAGAATTTCTAAAGATATCTCTTTCTACAATCATTTACTTAGACTCGACAACATACGAATATTATAAATAATTTTATTATGAAATCTCTTCACTTGGCAACAAATTTACCGACACTCACGTCTTGATATAATTAAAAATTCTTTCTGAAGTAGATTTTTAGGCGAGTGAAAACTTATACGAATTTCATATTAGTGATGGTGCACATTAGTCATTAATACACGTTCCGATCTTATGAAAAGATTCATGTCCATAAAACGTTCATCAAGATACTGCAAATAATGAAAATTTAATAATAACAAAATTGTGCCTGAGATCTAGTCAGTTTTAGTGGCTGCGTTTGACTTACAAAATTATAGTGTGATTATTGAATACATGGTTTACTTAGAAAGGGAAAGGGAGATTCTTTTAATAAGTTTTTGCAATGAGCACGCCGAAAATTTTCACAAGATGTAATGCGGAACTATATTTTGTGCCGTATATACTTAGTATATGTAGTGAACTGCAAAATTGAAGAGATTGAAGTGGTGAACTAATTTAAATGTAATATACATATGACATAAAGGATTCCCTTGAATCCCGTGTTGGATTAAAATAATTTGAGATAGTAATCAGGTTTATTGATGATGAGTTTCAGTTTATGGATAAGACAATTTTGTACTACATTGAAATAAAATTGGTTATCATGTTTAATTAGGAGACAGTTGCAGACAACATAAAGCACCCATCCAATCAGTCAAAGAAGCCAGTCAAAGAGAAGAAAATGCTTAGAAATAAATTCACGTAGGCTCGATTAGTCTTTATTACCATTCACAGACACAAATAGGCGTTTGAATTCAATTTATAGTAGAAACAAATCTCTTTGTTCTGATCTGTTGTAATTTATTATATTTCCATGACACTTACATGATGAGCACGTCGCTTGCATCACACCATGCATAACTAGTGCTGAGCGAGGACCAATGTTTTTTTTTATTAAAAATTACCTTCGTTCTTCGGCATTTTATTAGTGTTGCTGGGATATCTGTTATCTATTTCTCAAAGTTTATGTGTGTGTTAGTTAGCTTAATATAATTATGACACAGCAAAATATAGGGGTTGTTTATGCGCGTATCCACGATACAGAGCTTGTCGTGAAAATACATGGAGCTGTAATTTTAGTTTTAGTGCTGCAATTAGTTAAGAGATATGGTAGAAATGGGGGAAGAGCGAGGGTTGATGCTTGGATTTAAAATTGAAGGTTAGAAATCCCCAGCGTTCACAAATATTGGAACTTTATTAAACAATGGAGTTTATACTACTTTCCAATTAATCACTGTATTTTGAAGCAAATGCATTGAAACATAGTTGGAGAATAAGGTGTTTGAATTAAAAATACATATATTCTTCGGTTCTACTTCATACTCAGTGTGTGGAACAATTAAAAAAATATAACTCCATACTCACTGCAGTAAGTGACAGGGAGCGCATTTTCTCGTCGACAAAAACGTGAAGTCACGGACGGGCAGACAGACGGACAGACATGGCGAGCACAATCGTGCATTTTTTCCATGAATGAGAAAATGCGCTAAAAACAGGATTATTTACGGTCAACAATAATCACTATAAGCCAGCTTCAAGATCATATGATTCTAGTACGAAAACTTCAATTTGGAGTGTCTTAAATTTGAAATTTACAGCAAAACTTCTGTGTGGGTAAGGCCATTTCTTGTAGGTCTGTGAAAATTACAAATTATATTTGATTTGTACTTAATTAAATTAATTTATTGAGATTCTTTCATGGAGTATTCAAATACCCGTTAAATGAATGAAATAAAAATTAAATGTTTTCCTGATTTATAAATTCAAAATTCAATAAAAGCTTGAATTAACCCTTTGCTTACTGACACTAATTCTCGATACCAGGCATTCAAGTACGAATTGCATTGACAAGGGTAAATATCTTAGCTTATTATAAAATATCTATAAAATATCAGGGGTAAATATCTTAGCTTATAAGGGGGCTAAGCCAGTACGTTTTGTTATAGGGACCAAGTGTAAATGGTTTATTACGGGATTTAATAAGAAAAGAATTTTCATTACGGAATTCCATTATTGAGTACAGAATGCAGTAGACACGACATAGAAACTTTAACTAAGGTCCTAAAAATTTAGTACGTATTTGTGACTCTAAATTACGCAACAATTTTAGGCAATTTTTCGCAATTAGATGCGTCACGTGGTCTTAATTTATGATCTGGCAAACTAATATGAGTGATAACTTACTGGAAAATAGATTGATAAAATATTATAACTAAAAACAGTTATTAGTTAAGGGGGATTTGACCCAAAAATCGAAAGAAATTTCTTTTTAGTTTTCTAATCTCATTTAGTATTATTTGTGGAAAAGGTGCGACTATAACGCATCAAACCGTATGTTCTAGTGTGCTTTATAGTTTGTGCGTGAGGCTGTTTCTAATATGAAGAAATGAACATTGTCTCAAAATTGGCACAAAGATTTATTTTAAAGAGTTATTTTTTCAGATTATTATACGCGTTAAAATGGACAAGCATAAGTCTTACGTCGCATACTTTATACGACTCCTACTACACCATACGAGTAATAGGCGATGAGATAGGGCGAGTTGCACTACCAAGAATTTTTAGCGCATTTTCTCATTTTTGGAAAAATTAATGCACTATTGTGCTCGCCATGTCCGTCTGTCTGTCTGTCTGTCCGTGACCTCAAGTTTTCGTCGACGAGAAAATGCGCTCTCTGTCACTCACTGCAGTGAGTACTGAGTTATATATTTTTTATCTTTTACTTCATTCTGGACCTGTTTCAATTATTTGCCCCTCATAAACAATTGAAATTTCAATTTTAGGTCATTTTAAGAATCTACCTCCTCTTTTGATTAGCGAGCTACAACATAGAGAAAAACAATGTTCGATTTGTAATCAGAGGTGGACAGTAGCGCGCTACATGTAGCGGCCGCTACATTTTCAGTAGCGGGAGCGGTAGCGCTCGCTACGTATTTAAGTAGCGATACGATGTTTTGCCGCTACAGCGCTACCGCTACAATTATAGATGAAGCCTTTAGATTTTACTTAATAGTATTAAATATTATACAAAAAACAGCATGATACATACATAATCTAAATTACAGAATAAAACTGTACTAAAGATTTCGGTGTAATGTTGTCAACCTGAGAACCTCAGCCTGTTACTACTGTCAACATGTTAGTTGTTACCAGAGGTTGGCAGTAGCGCGCTACATGTAGCGGCCGCTACTAGCGGCTGCTACATTTTCAGTAGCGGTAGCGGTAGCGTCGCTACATTTAAGCAATCGTTGGTGTAGCTACCACCCGCTACATTTAGAGCATGTAGCGGTAGCGGTAGTGGTCGCTACATTTCAAAGTAGCGCTGCCCAGCTCTGTTTGTAATAAAAGTTTATTTCGACTATAATCACTATATAAATCCCCTATACTGATTTTGCTTTTCTTTCCCAGAGTAATTTTTTCATTCTATCCATTCCCCTCAACTCAACTCATTTTTTGAATATATAATCCAATCAGAAAATAAATCAGAAAAAAATGCTTCTAGTAGTTGCTAAATATTTGCTACTTGAATCGAATGATATGTATCTCGATGCTGTAGCTCGTAAATTAAAAGAGGAGATAAATTCCTAAATTACGCAAAATTTAAATTTTCATTGATCAGGAGAGGCAAATATCTGAAACAGGTCGAAAAATATCTGAAACAGATAAAAAAATGCTTGGCACTGTTTGTCCTCCCATCCCATCGCCTATTACTGGTGTTGAAGTATCATTATCGATCGCAAGAATTATTGTTTGCTCCCATTATCCCCCAGTTATCTTTACATTTCACGTTTTCTTTCATTCCTGAACAAAAATCTACACAGATGATAGCGGCTTGCATTAATGTTCCACAGTTGTTTATTGTACAAAATTGGTGTTGCACGGCTGCGCTCCCTAGACGACACTGAGTGACCTGACATGATGGCTAGACTTCGTTCGACGTTCCACAATTTCTTTGCTAAATGAATTTTAACATGAAGCCTTTCCACTTGGACCTTGGTGACGTAAGACGTTTAAGTGGAAACTGGAAAGGCTTCATGTTGATAGAAATGCTTCATATTCAGTTGATGGAAATTTTAAGCTCAAACTGACATCGGATGGTCACGTACGTTTAACATAAAATGCATATGATTCATCTTATGATTTTAGATGCAGTAAAATCATACGGTTTCTGTTGTGCATTTACATGAATGATAATTTATATAGGTTACCCATCGTTTGATGAGTTTGCACGTTTTCTATGAAACAACTTGAAAAAACCATCCATGATAAACCCCAATAAATTGATTTTTTGCTCTGACACTGGAGCAGAAAATGTTTTCTTTGTACGCCATTATATTATTGAAATCGTTCAATAATTTGTGAAAAAGGAAATAATTTTGTCAGAGTATATCTGATTCACATTAGTAGGCTTATTGTTTGACTCTTATTACTCCTCTTTTATGTTAGATTGTAATCATTACCATCTCCAAACTGCGTTTTACTCCCTATCATATAAATAAAAGCTTCCGAAGTAATTAATCACTCTTCAAGAGATCGTTGATAAATCATGCGTTCAATTAGGATTATGCCGAAAATACCGCACCGTCACCGCGGAATTTATTCCAGAATTACACAGATCAAACCTTCAAAAAATCCAATACTTGATTGAGCGACAGCGTTTTGAGACTACGCAAAACGCTTCACGTATGAAACATGGCCAGGATTATGCTACGTATAGCCTAAAATGGAAACAAATTTCAGTGTTTAAGTATATTTTTTAATAGCACAATAGATACAGGAGACACTAAAAGCCAAACCATATAAGCTACCTAGTTCACTGACAAAAATTATTCCTAACACGCTGTAATGCTGCTTGAGTGGTTGGTGTTTGCCACTGTATTTAACGAATACGACAGTCGATCGATATCGTCGTGAACCTTGGAAAAATATTCTACAAAGTTTAACGAATACCTGGCACCTATTAGAATTACGGTAATGACGGAGGTATGACGTAGCATCTGTACAAACAAGTCATGCTACAACAGACATACCATACCATCGAGTTTGAAGAAACTAAATTGTGATGGCAGGCTTGCAAGTTTTATGCCCAAGGCATTTGTCGAAGCAGCATTTCAACTTCCTATTGCACTGGTAGTCGTTGACACAGGGGTTAGGTGCAGCAACTGCGTCGTACACTGGACACACAGTCCTCACTGGGGGGCACACGCCTGGCTTCTGCCTGGGAGGATTATTGCAACAAAAATATTCAATGCGTCCGTTGTTATTCCTTCTGCACCAGGATGAGCATGCCTTCGAGGTGGTTGGCTTTGGTGTTGTCGTCGTGGGTTTAGGGAAAACTGGCCGTCCAAGACCGGAGACGGTGTTAGCACCTCCGGGGAAAACTGGTTGTCCAAGGCCGGAGACGGTGTTAGCACCCCCAGGAGAAGGACCGGGAGGTAGATATGGGATAGGAGGACTCTGAGGGCCTCCAGGGAGAGGACCAAGAGCTCCAAGTGGAGAACGTTGAGGCGGGGTAGGGAGAGGCGGGGAGGGGAGAGGTAGGGGATTGTTGACCCCTGGGTTTTGGGCTACTGCGATGCTCAGGATACCCAACACTAAGGAAATGAGGTAGAAGAATCCTGCCTGTAGAGTAACACATGGAAATTAGCTCACTCGAAAGAAAGAATTTGAAATTGAGTATTTTCATGTACAAAGAAAAACCTTGTGCTCTGTTATGATGACCTAAAAATTTTATCAATTTGGCTGTTAATAGTACGATAATATGACTGGATTTGAACTGATGTTACCATTTCGTGAGAAGATGAAGAAGTGATGTCAAGACGAAATCTGTTTTCTAAATGATAAATTATGACTCTCAACGGCCTCTTTATATACCTGGCAACAGTTTCGCAATCACTTAATCTATGAATAATTCAAACCTCTTTATTCTAGAATCAACGAGATTGCTTCACTTTAGACAACGATTCCGTGGATACTCTGCGGACATAATTGGCTCCTTCCCTCGATAATGTATTAAGAACATATAGTAAGAGAATATTATAATAACAAATAAAATGTGCGGTATAGTATACTTTACCTTTAATTTTAAGTAATAAATATCAGCTATATTTACTGTGAATGATACAATATGTGATGATTCGTGAAGTTGCAGTAGTGAAGTGCCCTGCTATCTGAGCGAAGAACACTTAATTTGACTGATTTATTAGAATTTTATTGAATTTTTCTCAGTGGCAATAGAGCTGATAGAAATGTACACGTTATGGAATGGCCAAGCCAGTCGCCGGACTTAAATCCGATTGAAAATTTGTGGCGGTATTTGAAGATTCAAATTAAGAAAAGGTCCCCAACAAACATTGAGAATCTTAAGGTGGTGTGCCAAGAATAATGGTATAAAATACCAGTCAGCATCTGCAAATCATTGGTCGAGACGTATAGAAATAGACTGGTATCTGTTGAGCTGAATAAAGGGTATTCAACCAAGTATTAAATTAAAATAATGCGGATTTATTGTTTTGTACGAATACTTTTTTCACCCGAAAAGTGAACATGTTGCATTGTTTTTTGTTGCATTGAGATTTAATTTCTTTTGATAGTATTTTTGAATACTATGCATCTCTATACATAATTCAAATCACTTTTCCTGTTAAGTTTGTGTACTTACATACATTAAAATACGATTTTTCAAGTGTACGAATATTTATTTCCCCCCACTGCATGTTATATACGTGCAATTACAGAGATAAAGGGTTATCGTATGATACTTGAGCAATGGCTGCACTGATGATCGCCGATTTAAAGTTCATAAGACTGTTTGTACAATAAAAACTAAATACAATGAAAACTAAACATATTCTTTCGACATATTTAATTTGAAGGCTAAACTGCCCAGGCGTAGCGGCAAACGAGAAACTTTTTAGGAACCACTTCATTTATAATCCCTTTATGTGGTCGAAGAATTTTATAAAATCAATGCATGACATGGTATCCATGATACTTAACTGGGCCTATACTTTCAAAAAAAGTTAAGTGATCGTAAGTTCATCAGCCAATCATTGACGGCCTTTCAAGCAAAATCCACCAATCATAGACAAGAAAATATTGCGTAAGTACTTACGTTCACTTAGCTAATTTTGAAAGTATAGGCCCTGGTCTCCTCATGGGATTTAAAAATGAAGAGTTGAAAAATGTCTACTTTGCCACAATGTTAAGAGATATAAGTGAAATCGAAGGCTTAAACTGGCTGCGATTTTGACGGAAACCAACAAGCAACTCACCCTGAGACTTACTGCGCAACCCACGACTAAGAATACCTTCTAATTTTTACACCACTTCTCTTTAACTTCACATCTTGTTGTTTGTTATTATTATTATTATTAGAACATTTCTCTTTAACTTCACTTCTTGTTTATTTGTTTGTCTGCTACAAATCTTATAATCGATATTTAACACACTTCTACTTCTCCAATCGATCTGAAAATTTGCACTCTTGCGTAAAGTTGGAGACTATGCTTGAATCAATGGACAGAATAAATAATTTTTAAAAATTTAAATCTATTTTAAATTTTACAAATAAAATTTGAAAATTATTTGTTTATATTTGATAATAAAATTTGAAATTCATTGTACATGTGTAACATCGGAGACACTGGATTCTTTAGAAGTGTTATCTTTAAAAAGTAATTTTTAAACGCATATCATTTCAGATGAAACCAGACAAATGAATTTACTCAAGGTAACCTAGAATTAGTAAACAAATCGATACTGGAGAATGAGGAATTTAACACAATATCTTTTTCTACAACCATTTACTTACGAATCAACTACATTCGAATATTATAAATAATTTTCTTTTGAAATCGCTGGCAACAAATTTACTGGCACTTACGTCTTAATATAATCAAGTATCATATTTTTCAGTACATTTTTGGCGATAAAAAACGTACACGAATTTCATAGTAGTGAAAATCGTGCACATTAATAATTGATGCGCGTTCCGATCTTACGAAAAGATTCATGTCCATGAAACGTTCATTAAGATAGTGCAAATGAAAATAATATATGTTTAAAAATTAATTTTTAAAGACAACACTTCCAAAGAATCCAGTATCTCCAATCTTAAAGATGTACACTGAATTTCTCATTCAATTTTCGAATATTAAAAAAATTAATTCTTCATTTTTTAATATATAAAATTTTTAATATATAATTTTTTTTTTTCAAAATTATTTATTCTATTAATTGATTCATGCATTCATTGCCTCTGATTTCACACAAATGTGCAAAATTTCAGATCAATTAGACAGGTAAAAGTGTGTCAAATATCAGTTATAAGATTTGTAGCTGACAAAATTATTTTTTCAATTTTTTTAATATTGAAATTTTTTTTTTTACTTTTTTAAATCATTTATTTTGACATTTGATTCATGCATTGTCTCCAACTTTACACAAGTGTGCAAAATTTCAGATCGATAGGATAAGTAGAAGTGTATTAAGTTTCGATTACAAGATTTGTAGCAGACAGACAGACAGACAAGAAGTGAAGTTAAAGAGAAGTGTTGTAAAAAAAAACGTAATCGCAACAAAATTGTAACTGAGAATGTTTAAGTTTTAGTGGCTGCGTTTGATTTACAAATTTTGTTAAAGCATCGCCAACTTAGTAGGGGAAAGGAAAAGTCTTCTTAAAAGTTATTGCAGTGAGCAACGCCGAAAACTGTCACAGAAGGTTACCTAGTAACATTCCTAACCTAGTAACTAGTCTACGACTATATAATTAATGGTCGCAAGTCTAGAAACTCTCGGCTTTTCACCTATAGTACCAGACCACGTCTCTATCGAGGAGCCTCAACGTACACCATAAAGTCTCATCATTTCTGATTAATATCTCCAGCTGAAATAGAGGAACAGAATATATTATATATTTTGATTTTGATTATGCATCGTGCGTGGCCTTCCATTTCTACGCTGATTCCTTCAATCAGTTCCTTGAAGTAGAGAAGATGCTTATAAAATAAATTCACGTAGCATTGATTTGTCCGTGATACCGTTAATGGAAACAAAAAAGAGTTTGAATTTAATTTACGGTTGGAACGAGCCTCTTTGTTTAATTCGTAGTAATTGACTAGATTTCCATGACAATTTCCTGATTAATATGTCGCTTGTACCGCACTATAACGCTGCTGAGCAGCGTTAATGAAATGATATTTTTTAATTTCATCTTTATTTGGCGCTTTCAACGTATTTTGGATATTTATTTATATTTGTCAAAATTTATTTCTGTCAGTTAGTATGAAGTCTGGCGCCGCATAATAGAAGGGCTATTAATTGGAGCGCGTATACACGATACAAAACTCGTCGTGATATTTACTTGGGCCGATACTTTCAAAAAAAGTTAAGAGATCGCAAGTTCATAAGCCAATCATTGACGGCCTTTCAAGCAAAATCCACCAATCATAGACAAGAAAATAGAGCGTAAGTACTTACGTTAACTTAGCGAGTTTTGAAAGTATGGCCCCTGGAGCTCAAATAATAGGTTTGTGGTAGAATTAAGAGACATTGTAGAAAGAGGAGAAGATCGAGGGTTGAGGCTGAGATTTAAAATTGAAGGCTGACAATTCCAGCCTTCAGGGTTGGAGAGTGGAACGATATTGAAAAATTGAGTGGAAGCAATTTTCAATTAAGGGGAGCGTCTAGCCTAAAATTGGAAATTTCCACTTTTTCGGTTTTTATACTCATTTTAAAGCTGGCATTCTGCCCTATCAACGGTACCACTGCCATCTCTGTACGTTGATTTATGAATTCACGACATTTCATGAAAGGGGGCGGGTGGGGGAGTTCTTTAAGTAATTAGATTGGAACTAATTAGCTGCTGAGCTCTTTGAATATAGTGTCTACTTGAGTTATGCTGCAGTTACGTGTTTAGTCTCATCTTAAAGCTGACATTCTGGCCTATCCAACGGTACCATTACCATCTCTGTACGTTGATTTATACGTTCACGACACTTCCTGAAAGGGGGCGCGGGGGGGGGGGAGTTCTTTCAGTAAGTACATAGGAGCTAATTCGCTGCCCAGCACTACAAAAACAGTGTTTCTATGAGGTCTGACTCAGTGTGCCTCCGGGCGTTGTACGGAGAGATGTGCATGTAGTCGCTCCCATCATCCTTGAGTGGAATCAAGCTCCAGAAACGTTTAGTTTGGTATCTATGCTACATTGAGTGCCTATTGCAGTGCGCCCGGGACTTTGTCGAGCTCTCCTCAACATTCACACTTATTGTCACGGAAAACCTATCTCCTCCTAGAGTTTTTAAGCTACAACAATGAGACATATACCATTCGATGCGCAACAAAATTATCTACTATTAAACACGGGCGTTTTTCTAATTTCGTTATAGTTTGGATTTTATTTCACAAAAAGGGGGGTAGCGGGGGGGAAATAGAAAAATTTACGAAAAATGCTCCCATACCCACAAAAATGAGAAATCCAAAAAACCGCGTGTGTTCAGTTTTAGATATGGTCTTTATGCATCGAATGATATGTGTTTCGATATTCTAGCTTGAAAATCCTAGGAGGAGATAAATTTCTACGGTACCCCCTTTTTGGCAGTTTTCTAAGATTTTCACGTTTTCTTTCATTGTTTTCGAAAAATTTACATGAACAAAAAAGTCTTAGATTTCTATTTTACATATGTGTACCAAGTTTCAGAGTTATCCGTCTGTAAATAGCCGAGATAAATTTTACCCTAGACGCTCCCCTTAATGTGATATATTTCATATCGAATGCTTTGATACATAGTTGGAAAATGCAGATATTCGAATTAGAAAAGTACTTCAGTTTTCTTCAAAATTTAGTGTTGTGTAATATCTGAAATGGGATTATTTCCTGAAGTTAATAGCTATTTAAGCAATAAATGGCCGCTTAAAATCAAATTGATCGATATTGAAAATTTAACTTAGGAGTGTCTAATATTTTAGTTTTCGCAACCATAACTTTTTTATGGACGAGGCCATTTTTGTAGTTTTTTACAAATTAGATTTACTTTAAAAAATTCGCCGATTATATTTGTAAATGTTCAATGATGTAAAAATGAGAGCTTTTTCTTGTTTTACGATTGCAAAATTAACAAAAAGGTTGAATGAACCTTTTACCTGCTTACTGTAATTTTCATTACCAGACATTACGGTACGAATAGCATTTTGAAGACAAATTAAGATGCTAAGCCAGTATCGATTGTTATTGGCTTATTATTGGATTATCCCTAAAGGAAATCCCATTACTGGGATCAAATTCTTTAATAAGTTAGACAAAGAAACTGGCATGAACTGTAATTAAGGCCTAATTATCTGTTCATGACTAGAAAATATTACAATGTACGGCAAGTTTTCTTAATTAAATGTAACACGTGCTTTTATTTTAACAACTGTAACTAAATTGAGTAATAAATTCTTAATCTACTATTATTCCAGTGAATTATTGCTTAATTTAGTGTACCCATTAATAAATTAAAACAATCTAAAAAATTAAATTGAGAGGAATTTCCTTTAATTTCCAGTCTCGAACAAATAAATACCTTAAGTTAACAAATACCCTTAACATACTAAAGACCTTAAAACAGTTGTTTATTTGTCACACTTAGGGTAGTCAGGGATATCCTTAATTAAGGGAATCCTATTATCATTAAAACCCATAATAAGCCAATAACAACTGTGACTGGCTTAGCCCCTTAGTCTGCAGAGACATTCACGCCTGCCGATGCTATTCATACCCTGAATGTCTGGGACTATACTTTCAAAAAAAGTTAAGAGATCGTAAGTTCATCAGCCAATCATTGACGGCTTTTCAAGCAAAATCCACCAATCATAGACAAGTAAATAGAGCGTAAGTACTTACGTTCACTTAACGAATTTTGAAAGTATGGCCCCGGGTAACGAAAATTATCGTAAATAGGCAAAAGTTTAATTCGAACTTTTAGTGAATTTCGCATCAATAAAATAAGAAAAGCTCTGATTTGTATATCATTCAACAGATATTTACGTATACCGTCAATGAATCTATGCAATTAAATCTAACTTATATAAAACTACAAGAAATGGCCTCACTCATAAAGAATTATTGCTTTATAAACAAAAATTTTAGACACTCTTAATTTAGATTTTCAAACTAAAACAATATGATCTTGAAGTGGCCTTATAGTTGCTTACTAACTTTCTAAATTAATCCTCTTTTCGGTATTATACAGCAGTGAATTTTGGAAAGAACCGAATTTCTTTTAATTCGAACACCTGAATTTGCTAACAATTTATCAAAGCATTCGATAGAAAATTTATTAGATTAATTGAAAATTGTCACAGCACTTTTCTTCCAATTACTTAAAACATTCAATTAAAAACGACGGAAATTTTATCCCTCAATTTCAAGTCTAAGCCTCAACCATTAATCCTCTCCACTTTCTGCAATGCTTCTCGATTTCACCAGTAAAACTAATTAATATTTTAACTCCAGAAAATGTCACGACAAGTTTTGTATTGTGGATACGTACCAGAATAACTCTTCTATTTTCTGGTACTGGGCTTCAGCCTAAAACTCTAACAAACTTTGACAAATGTATATATATTTAATATACCCAATACCGTACGCTTAGAAAACGCCAAAATGAAAATGTGAAATTTCAGCAAAAATACCAAGCCTCGCTCAGTAATCATTATGGTGTGGTACAGCTACGTGCTCGTGCAATAACGTCGAGCTAATGCTCTAATTAATGTCTATATATCACATCAAGAGAAACAAATTAAGATACTTGCTCCAGCTGGAAGTAAAATACAAATGCCTGTTCGGGCTAATGCATGAAAACAAAGACAAACCATTGCTACGTGAAATTTTTTTATAAGCATCTCCTCCTTCTTTGACTTGCTGATTAAATTGATTGTCTACAATTTTTACGAATCAGCTTAGAAGTAGAAGAAAACGTGTGATGCTGAATCCAAAATGAAGTTGTTATAAAGAAGTTGTTGAGAGTCCTAATGTATATAAAGAGGTCGTTGAGAGTCCTAATCTACCATTTGAAAACCAGACTTCGTCTTGAGCTCACTTCTTAATCTTCTCACGAAATGGTAACATCAGTTCAAATCTAGTCGAATAATCGTGTGAACAGCCAATGTCAGCTGCCAATTTGGTAATCATAACTCTTCACTTCATTTATTTATTCGTGAAAATGCATAAATAATTTTTCTTTCAAATGAGCTAATTTCCCCTTATCACTCAACAGGCAGGATTGTTCGCCTCCATGTCCCTTTTGTTGGGCATCCTGTGCCTCGCAGTAGCTCAGAGTCCGGTGGACCATCCTCCGCCTCGACCTCTCCTGCCTCAACCTCATTCTCCTCACCGTCCTCCTTTCCTATATCTACCTCCCGGTCCTTCTCCTGGGGGTGCTAACACCGTCTCCGGCCTCGGACGACCAGTTTTCCCTGGAGGTGCTAACACCGTCTCCGGCCTTGGACGACCAGTTTTCCCTACACCCACGACGACAACACCAAAGCCAACCACCCCGAAGGCATGCTCGAACTGGTGCAAGAAGGACAACAACGGACGCATTGAATATTTTTGTTGCGATAATCCACCCGCGCAGAAGCCTGGCGTGTGCCCCCCTGTGAGGACTGTGTGTCCAGTGTACGACGCAGTTGCTGCACCTAACCCCTGTGTCAACGACGTCCAGTGCGATGGCAAGTTGAAATGCTGCTTTGACAATTGCCTTGGGCATAAAACTTGCAAGCCTGCCATCACAATTTAGTTTCTTCGTACTCGACGTTATGGTACCTATGTCTGTTGTAGCATGTTTTGTTTGTGTAGATGTTACGTCATACCTACGTCATTATCCTAATTCAAATCAGTTCCTGGTTTCACACAAACTTACAAATTCTTAGGATTATCTCCTTATGTTGTTGACGAGGTTGCTTTGTAAAATAAAAAGGCAGACGGCAACCAGTCAAGCAACATTACATCAGGTCAGGTATAATTTTTGTTTGTGGCTTTGGTAGCCTATAGGGTTTGGCTCTGCTGGTAATCTATATCAATTTGATTTTAAATAAAATTTCATAATACGGCAATTGGTTTCCATTTATTCCTAGCATAAGGATAGTCATGTCTCTGATGTGAGAAGTTTACCTATGTGTAAAAACGCCATCGTGCAATCAGTTATTGGATTCTTGTTGGAGTAATTTATTTTATTTATGAAATATTGAAGTAAAAGTAATCTGTCGGAGTAATTTGGTAGCGGTATTTCTGCAAAATATATTGAAGAATCTAAGCAAACGCGTGACGTGCCAACGATCTCTTGAACAGTGATACCTTCCTAAAAGAAGATGCTACTTCTTGAATTGTACGGTGCAGAACGCGGGTGGAAAATCGAAATTTATCGGCCACTGAAGGTCGGTACATAAATACGTAATTGAAAGTTGGTAGTTTTAAATGGAATTACCTCTCAGGATTCAATTACCTTCCTTTAATGAATGGAACACAGTTTGTAGAGTCGTTTTAACAATTATGATCTCAAGATGAATTCTCTTGTTCAAAGTAGAATTAATAAGAAATAAATATCTAAAGTAGATCAACGTTGAGGGGCTGGGAATATTAGATTTTTCACGTGAATCGATCCTATGGCTTAATTAACTATGTTTAGATCCGTCAAAACTTGAAGTAAAATCATAAATTAGAGTTAGACCACCAAAGCCGAACGAGAAATAGTCGTATTAACGCTGTTGTTAGAGATAGCCTAAATCAATAATTTTGTCACGTCTATATAAGTTCTAGACGCTTTTACGTGTCCGTTGAATGCTTAATTAAATGATACCCCTAAATCTGGCGGTCGTGGTAACAATTAACAACGAAGGTTTCCAGAAGATTGGTTTCCAACTGAACAATACATGAATTATATAATCGTTAATAAATTAGCATGTAGCGTTGCGTCAGTGTACGCATTTTTGTTACCTTCTTACATTGTAATGCCATTCGGAAGCTCCAGGTGACAGTTACGGGAAGAACACGCTTCTAGAATTATTACTTCATACGGAAACAGCGAGAAAAAAGGCGCAATTCTAGTTAATTTTAGTGTTAACAATTATTATGGATTCAAAATTCAACTGTTGGACAATCGTTAAAGAATGAAAATGACCTGTTTAACAACGTTAATGAGAAAAGTAGTAGATGGGAACGAGCTCGTTTAAACGTACTTGAAACGACTCGAAAATTCTCTGTCAACAGTTATCGAGAATGTAGAATTTAGTTTTCATTCTTCGTTTCTTTGCTTTTTGAAGGTTCATTTACCTTTCCTTGTTCGCTTTCTACACTAAAACGATTATTTACGCTTCTTAAATCTTACCTAACTTATTTGTTTACATTATTTACGCTCCTTAAATCTTACTTAACTTATTTTTTTACAATAGATGATTAGTGAGTGAGGCCAGGTAACATTTACCGGCTGCGGTACGGTATCTTTCCCTGGCATCATATCGTAAAATTTTGATATCTCTGTTATTGTAAATCCGGTATCTCGGTCGTTACATGCGGGAAGCCCTGCCAATTATAGCTGACTGGTAGCATAGATAAATTGCCTGGAAATTGTTTGCTGACATGTTTTTGTTAGGAGAGACTCTGATATCGTGCCTCATCCGATTGAAAAGACGAAAAAAAAAACGATAAAGGTTTTCGATTCATTTCGGTTGAAGCCAAATATTAGACTGCTTCCAAAGGCTGATTCTGGCTTATCAGATGAGTATCTGATGACATTAGAGTTACCTTTGTATTTAACGGTAATGCTTTACTAGAAAATTAAAAATCTTTTCATGCAGTTGCTTCGAGTATGCAAGAACCACTCCAACAAAGTAACTACGCATTGTCTCCACTGAAATGTTGATCCATTCAACTTGGCCAAAATTCAATTGTATGAAGTTTGGAGATAGAGATTTAATGTGAACATAATTGAAACGGTAAGTGAGTGTAAACTCATGCCACTCATGTTTCTACAAGATTGCCGCTGATCCATGCACTGATTTGTTTATGGAAGAAAAAATTTCCAGGCAATTTACCTATGGTATAAGTCAGCTATAATATTGGCCGGGCTTAACTCATGTGAAGATCGAGGTACCGGAATTACCATAACAGATACGTATATCTAAATTTCTCGATACGGTGCACAGAAAAAATACCTTACCGCAGCTACCTGGACTTACTCGCAAATCGTCCATTAAAAGTAAGGTAGTTTCAATTAAGATAAGTAAAGTAGCAATTCGCTGTCAAAAAGGTGAACAATAAAAGCTGAGTGCATCTTTAAAAGCAAAGAAACAATACAACTAATCTAAATTCTACAATTTCGTTGCATGCTGAATGAAAAATTTCGAGTCATTTAAAGAACAGGCAAACAAATTCAGTTTCATTTGCTACTATTCCAAATGAACATATAGAGCGGGCAATTTTTTCCTCTTACCATCGCTCAACATATTGAATTTTGAATCCATAAATCTTTATTCAAAGGTTAAATCGTTTTGTGTCTGATTCTTTCTTTTTTGCTTCTGTGTGAAGTGAAAAAGCTAGGAGAGTGTGCTTTCCCTCCCATGTTCCCTGGATCTTTCGAATTACTTTATAATCTCACAAGGTAACAGAAGAAATTCATTTCGTTTCATGTTAATTATTTCGCAATTAAATGGCTCATTCGATGTTTTAATGGAAAATCATCTACCGGATTCCTTTGCGGTTGCGACCGCGATCGAAAAAAAATTAGAGTAAATCATTTGAGCATCCAATGGGCAAATACAATCGCCTAGAATTCAAATAGACCTGAAAAAATTAATTGATTTAGGCTATTTCTAAAATCAGGGATAAACGAAAATTTCTCATTTTCCACTGATGGAGGAATTTATGATTTTATTCAAGTCTTCATAGATAAAAAAAAGTTCCATATATGGGACTGCTTGACGTGAGCGATCCAATTAATACTTCCAACAGTTTTACATAAAGCTATTATAGATTATTGTTTCTTCTTTATTCCAATTTGAAGGAAAGATTTCATATTGTGAATGTAATTGTTAGGACAAATTTAAAAATGTTTTCCAATTGATTAAATAATGGACATTGTTACATTATAATTTCGGTTGCGTTAAGAATTCACATGTGCAGACCATAAGATGAAGTTCTGGCCCTATACTTTCAAAAAAAGTTAAGACATCGTAAGTTCATCAGCCAATCATTGACGGCCTTTCAAGCAAAATTCACCAATCATAGACAAGAAAATAGAGCGTAAGTACTTACGTTCACTTAGCGAGTTTTGAAAGTATGGCCCCTGATTGTGTTTTCCAACATACAATTACGCATGCACTTATCGACCTCGACTGAAAAATTTTATATGGGGAAGTAGAGATTTATTGATCTTGTAGATATCAATCATTCAGCGCTTGCCGGCGCTCAACGAATAATTTATCTCAGATTCACATCACAGGGCGAGTAAAATGTTCTTCTAATCTCTGAAGCGGACATAGATTACCTTGCACAATATAAAAGAGATGAGGTATCTTGTTTGGGTACGGAGATCTAAACAGATTTCTTTATCAAATTTCTAGGTTTAATATGGCCCATACAGATTAAGAGAAACAACAGGGTACACAATTTTCGGATAAAGCTGGCCTGAAAAGCAGGTACTTTCTTGGGACGTAATAACCACAAAGCAATTCGATACGATCCGCCTTTTAAAGATAGGTCGGATGGGCAATAGGAGTATATAAAGTACAGGCGCTGTCGATTTCGTCAGTTGTGATTTACAGTGAAGTCCAGCAGCAGCTGTCGTCGACATGGTGAGTGGTGTGAAAATTTTTATTCCAACATTGTTCTAATAGGAAATTTTAAGAGCATCGCTCATCTTCTTAAAACTAATCACTCGAACCAAGATTTAGAGACGAGGTTGGTTGGTTATAGAGAATTAAGCAGGCTTGATATGCATGACGGAGTGACGGTATGGTGTGGAAACCTGTGTGGTGGATTTCAGAAACACCTTCGATGGACTCAAATCTGAAAACATGGCACCACCTTCGTCAGTTTTTCTTCCGAAAGAAGTGTTCATGAGGGAACTAGTGAATGTCGTCAAATAAACCAACATAGGAACGACATTTTGGGAGCAGGCAGAGCATTGGTTGTTAACGGAGTTGTCGCTGCGTGTTGCCTTCTGTCTTCTCCATTTTCAACGAAAATAGATAACAAATATTTCTTATGTAGTATATTTATTTTTATATTTTACCATATTCGTATTTATTCTTATATATTACAACCTGTTTAACAGAGCAAGCTCGGTTCACTGTTATGTGATTTAGCCTGATTGGCTACGGGTTTATTCATTATACCTTCCCTATATATACCAGTAAGATTATATTCAGTCATTCTCCCTAATCACCATTTTCATTTTGCCTGATAAATTTTGTCAGTAATTGAATAAGCACAACAATTCCTTTTACTCGTACGTGGAATGGTGACTAATAAAAGTGACATTTGTAACCGCTTGTAATTATGCCCGTTCTGCCTCAGCGTAGGTATCAAATTCGTCAATATATTACCGTTCGAGGAAATATTTTATTCTCAGAATAGTCATGTGTTTGGCATTTCAACAATCTTTATTTTTATTCTATTATGTTGATCAATTGTGAACACTCTTAACAGTTTGCTCGCACAATATTCGGCAGTTTTTATCGCAAAATTTTTTCTACTTACAGATTTTCAGCAGAGCGGTGTTATTTACACTTTTGTGCTCGGTTGTTTTAGCCTACAATCCTGGAGCAGCCCAGACAGAGTACAATATTGATTATGAATCATTCTTGGCAAACGTAATCAATGGCAAGAAATTTCATGAGCTAATGGATGCCAAAGCTGAAGACGATCTCCATGAAGGCCAGCATTTTGAACACTTACCTACCACCCTGGAAGAGTCAATAACATTTTTAACTTCAGAAGTTGATGACGATGGACAGGTTGCAGTGTCAACGACGTTCAAACCAGTGCTCATGAGATCCAAGTTCACATCAGAAGCCCCGATTTGGTTCCCTGTTAACGCTGGAGACTTTGACCACACTCGAGTCCGAAGAGATTATCTTTCAGACTACACAGATCCCATTCAGGGATTATACAACCCTTACAATACGGAGGATTTCTCTAACTTCAACGCGCCAGGAAACCGCTTCCAAAGTTATTCTGATGCAAGTGGGTTCGATTTCAACGGGAACAATCACTACGTGTACCCTGAGACAGTTAAATGTCGCTACTGGTGTTTGGGTCCTCACGGTGAACCTTACTGTTGTGAATCAACCAAAGATCCCATCAGCACCAGAGTCGGTGTCAAGACCGGTCACTGTCCGACTGTTAGAAGCGTGTGTCCTGAAGCCCACGGCAGAAGAAGGAGTCCTCGTACATGTTCCAGCGATTTTTCGTGCCCCGCGGATGAAAAATGCTGTTTAGATATTTGTATTGGAAGACATGTTTGCAAACCTCCTATAGGACCTCGTTTTTATTAGAAACAGTTTTTGAATAGCACTTGTCTTTGAGAAGACTTTTTCTTAATATTTTAATGAAGGTTTTTGATAGTTAGTTTTATCTGGTAGCTTGCTCGTGTTGAACAGTAAAGTTTAGCATGCCTTCGACACGATTTAAGTTCTCTTGCTATCAAAAGAAATGTTGATCAAAGAATATTCTCTGAACAGCCGAGTTTAAGCAAGTATTTGTACTATTGAAATGAAAATAGAGTTTCAATATTGAAGGCTTAGGAATCACATTTGCCTAATTTCTTATTTTAATGAAATATTACGAAGTTTCTAGGCAGCTCCGTACCTGATAACTTTTGATTGAGATTCTGAAATGTACGCTGAAATTTAAAAATCTGATCATGATAACCATTCTTAATCATGTACTTTTTGTATTCGAGTAAGAACTCGGGAACAAATAATCATTCAATTTCAGATTTTTTTTTGCTCATTGATAACATTCTAAATGTGAAAACCAAACTAACTCGGTTTCTCGTATTTATGATCTTGGTTTTTAATGCTGGTCATGATTGATCCTGTATGATTTGCCGCTTGTAAGAAATGAATAAATAATTCGAGAAAAAATATACAAGTAAATCATTATTTCACCTTTTTATCTCTTTTCGGAAATGTACAATTAATGGCATTTTTGGCTTGAGCTAATTATTCTTTAACTTTGCCGACACTTTTTCATCGATTCCTCACTTTGCTTACCTGAATCAACTCTTTAATTGAATTAACGCTTTATATTAATTCGTCTTCAATCAATCCAAAGTAAATAATGGAGGGAAAGAGGATAATTATTCGTTACAAATTGTGACGAGTCGAAAGCGTGTTTTGAACAACCAAAATTACAATGACTCATCTGTATCGTTAATGCAATACGTGTGATTGCTTTTAAAATTAATGCCCGCTAAAATCGGGCCCGCACCAGAAATTTTATATATAATTTTTACACTGTTATTAAGAAAGATATTTTCGATAAAGATATTTTCGATAAAATTAACGTTTTTTGGAGGAGATGTAGCATGTTCGAAGAAATTCTGCATCAATATCTGGGGACACTTGTCTTCGTATGAAGAAAAAACTTTTGCCCTTAAATTTAGAAACGAAGTATAGCGTTAATTCTGATGCATTTATTTTTCTCCCTGTTTGAAGACGACTGGACCTGAATTAACTTCACTTTATTTTATAATCGATGTAATATTCCAGCCAACTTTCTTCCATCATCTTGGTCTGAGCTGAGACCAAGAGAGACAATGGCAAGCACTATCAGTGGGATTTTTTAGCTCTGATTCGCCTGGTCGTTGCGTGCGGTTTTCGCGAATCCGGTTTGGAAGTTTGGCTACACTGTCCCTATCAGGTGATCTATAATACGAACTGGTAGAGACTGACTCTGCAAGTTCGCTAGCGTGTTTTAAAAATAAGGTTGTGCAATATCTGCGAGAAGGTCAAAGGATGAAGAAAGCGTAGCTCTAAATTAAGTAGTTTTTTGTTATTTGCCAGCTGCTATCTTCTTATAATGAAATGATTTATTGTACAACTGATAACTAGCAGTTGAACACCAAAACACTAATTAAGAAATTCATCCAAAAATGGCGAATTCATATTAGAAGTTTTAAATGACTGTAATCATCAGAATCAAACATCAAACGATCGTGAAAGATTAATTCTTATGATGATATGATATCTAAAACTCAGATCATTCAAGGCTACACAAAAAACTTCGTTGCATAATGGGACTCTATTTACAACCAAGACTTCGAGCAAAATTCCACACTAAACATTAAGTTGAGTTGCTCCTGTGAGTCCTTGAAACAAATGGAACAGTTCTGTAAAGCCTAAATCCATTTCTTACATACTCGATTTACAACCAAAACATCGAGCAAAATTTCATCGTAAACACTAAGGTGAGTTGCTTCTATGAGTCCTTGCGAAGCAAATGGAACAGTTGTGTAAAGCCTAAGTCCATTTCTTACATACTCGATTTACAACCAAAACATCGAGCAAAATTTCATCGTAAACACTAAGGTGAGTTGCTTCTATGAGTCCTTGCGAAGCAAATGGAACAGTTGTGTAAAGCCTAAGTCCATTTCTTACATACTCGATTTACAACCAAAACATCGAGCAAAATTTCATCGTAAACACTAAGGTGAGTTGCTTCTATGAGTCCTTGCGAAGCAAATGGAACAGTAGTTCTGTAAAGCCTAAGTCCATTTGTTTCTATGAGTAAATATGGAGTAAATGTTAACCAGACAATCTTCCACCAGTGCGGCCGCTTCACATTTCAAACACGTACACGCTGGTCGACGGGCGTCCTGTCTTCTTAGTGTTTTTGTTGCGGTTTTGAACGATTTATGGATAGTGTGACCTAGAAAAAAACGCACAGGCGGATATAAAATTTTACTGAAATATTAGGCACGAGATCGAAAAAATAAAAAATTGGCTGAATTTGATATTAGTTCACAATTAAAAATTCGCTGAAATTTTTCGGATTGACAATCGGCTTAATGTATTTTTGTACTATTTTGTGCCTAATTTTAGAGCTCAAGGAACACGTCCTGCTCGATCTATTATTTCATAGATCTCATATATAAACCTAACAGTTATTGTATGCATGCTGAGATAACCCTCAAGTCAAGTATTGTGAAAGACTTGTTTAAATAATTTCACCTATTAATTAATACACTAATTTGTGATTGAAAAGAACAGATTCTCTTTATAACTAAATTACCATCCATAGGATCAAAAACTGAATTAACTTATATTTGATATCTGGAGGTGAGATGCCATTCCCATTATTACATTTATTTCGAAGACAGCCCTCTGTACGGAAAATTCAACTGAATTTTCCACAGATTTTCGATCAATGAAACATTCGTCATTCCAAATGAACATTTTGACAAACAATCAACAAACGATTGTTCTGAAGTTTTTGCCATAATTTAATTAAACGTTTTGAGAAGCTTTGAAAAACCACCATTATCTTTATTTTTTATATATAATTCTTATCACGTTCTAGCAGCCGACGAAACAGAGCAGCGTTCAACTAATACAAGGCTGTATAGGACAAACCTGTTGGTGATTCTTCGAGGCGTAACTAAATGTCACCATTCCTGTGTATCACAATTATCATTAGTTAAACTTTTATACAAAGCTCCGTTGTGGAGTTTATTTTTAAATGGATATTCTATGGAAAAATTGCTTCAATTTTATTACTTTACATTCATTAACATCTATTTACGCCCTACTAGTGCAATATTGGGAGCCTGTAAATCAATAGTAATGAAATGGAAACAAAACAGTTTATTTCGAAGCCCAGGAACAGGTATTGGGAGACAATAGAGATAATGCCCCAAGTGAAAAACCTAACGAACACAAACTTTTTTCCGTTGTTTAAATTGATTTTTTAAGAAATATAAAATTATTGATTGAATGAAATGTTCGTCACAAGTAACTGGATATCATTTTTGGAACCGCGAGAAAACTCTACAAGGTTTCAGCAACTTTATCGAGAACGTATAATTTTATTTAATTCATGGAACCAACTACTTAAGAATACAGGCAATTTGCAAAACAAAAAATGCATAGTTCGCTTCATCGAGAGCTGATACCGAGAACCCACACCAGGACCTGTTCTTCAGCTACTCCATCCAGGGGGTTGGAAGGAGCGACGAAGGTATAGCCTGAGGCTCGGTCTCTTGGTCCCGCTCCGCTTTGTTGGGCTACAAAATAAGTAAGAATATGAGAACAAAAAGCCGTGAAAAAAAGGTTCTGCTTGAGATAATAAAAGGCTAGGAGCCTCAAGGATCTAGTCAATCGAGATCCCGACGTGAGCAAGGATGGCGGCTTTCAAGGTAAGTTGTGCATAAAATGTTAATTATTTCGATATGCGCTAAGATCTGAAAACAAAATTACAAGATATGAAGCATTATAAGTACCCAAGAGTTGTTGATATGAATAAATATTATATTTAGAGTTTTTCGTCAGAAAGTACCATAGCGAAGGCTATTCTAACGATTTTAATGAGTGGCTTCTGCCAAATCTCGGTCCTTATGCGGATTTATTGATTTATTTTCTCCAACCAATCATTTTCGAAAAACTTATAATATATTACATTGATCTCAGGTGTTGGGATGGATTTCGAGACTATATAAGTGTTGACTATAGTTGTTATTCACCGCGTAACGTAATATTTACAAGGTTGTCTTGAGATTTTCAGCCAAATTGAGCACTTTTCGAATCATTATACCTTAAACATTATAGAGGAAATTCATGGAATTAGCAGATACTGGATATAGTTCGATGAAGAAGTAATGACATTTAGTCGAATTTTCTTTGTTTTACAATACGTAGCTAAACCATAATCCAGCTGCAGTATTTAGAATAAGGACCCCTATATAGTGTTGGGTACCGTACTCGCTTATAACTCATTTAAAGTCACCTAAAAATTTCATTTCCGCGCAGGCTTTGTTTGTGGCGTGCGTGCTGGTGGTGAGCGCCCAGGGCCAACAAGAGGCCAAAAAGACTCAGACTCGTGGAAACTTTGGAGGTGGTGGATTCGGCGGAGGATTCGGTGGCGGTGGAGTATTCCCAGGTGGTGGATTCCCTGGAGCAGGTATCGGTGGTGGATTTCCAGGAGGCCCAGGAGGTTTCGTTCAACCGACCGGGTTTCCTGGAGGATCAGTGGGAGGACCTTCAATAGGACTCGGAAGTAGTGGATGTCGTTACTGGTGCAAAACTCCTGAAGGACAAGCGTACTGCTGCGAGTCCGCGAACCAGCCTCCTTCCCATCCCGTGGCTGCCATCGTCGACAAGCCTGGCCTCTGCCCGCCAGTGCGCGCTGTCTGTCCTCTTCGGTCCAACTTCGGGCCGCCACAACCGTGCTCCAAACACGGCGATTGTTTCAACGCGGACAGGTGTTGCTTCGACAGGTGCCTCGGTGAACACGTGTGCAAGCCGCCGGTGTACCAATAAGTACACAACATGAAGATATTCCGATCAGCAATTGGATGGGAAAAAGTGAATAAATTTTTTGAATAATTAATTAATAGCACTTCGAATTCGGGTGCCATGTTTGAGGCATTATCATTATAACAATTTTGAAATTCTTACCTCTTCAAGCAAAACTGTTGGAAAATTTTCACGCTTGTTGCGACCTTGATGAAAGAATAACAATAAAATTGTTAGCCGTCCTATAATGTCCCCAAGATGCAATGTTATTGTTACCATTTCTTCATTATGCAGAAAATTTAAGTATTTTGAATGTCGAGAAGAAAATTCATCTCAATTATGAGTACATGTATGTCTTTTTACGTATTTATTCTCTGCATGACAATATCTTATAAAAGTCAATTTGTATTATTCCAGCCCTTATATAATGTTGAATTTTAGTGTGAAATCCCATAATTTGGAAAAGATTTGGAAGTTACAAAAAAAACTATTACCTGTGAAGTTCCAATAAGAAAATTATTGTTTTATTAATGATTCGTTTTTAGTTTTTGATGGTATGGAATAGCGCACATTAATTGAAAACCTGACTGTATTACTTTAATTCGCGTGCTGCTAAAATATTGTGGTGAGCTCTGACGTTTCGTGGTAACGAAGCATATTTTCATTTGACCAATAGAGTCATATCTATTAATTGACGAGTTCTATTGAAAAATAAACGATCATGTTAATGCAGATCTGGGTGTTGGAAAATAGGAAACAAAATCATTGGTTCTATCAATGAAAACTATCGCTTCGAATCAAGCAACAATAAATAAATTAGGAATGATCAACAAGTGAACCTTCGCACTGAGATTTTGCACTGAAATAAATCCCAATAAAATGAATAAAACTGCGAATTGAAATAAAAATCCTCTCATTCAACAAACAAAACAAAACAATTCGCTGCCAAATTAAGAACAGTCTGCCAATAATGTTATCTGACAGACAACCAATAAAAGTTTTAAATTTCACCCACTAGGACGAAAAACGTCTATATATAGCTTGAGTAAAATCGATCATTAACAAACACTCAATGAACAAGTGAATGTTGATATTCAATACAGGAACATAATGACGATAACTAGATCATTACGAACTAATTCATATATATGAAGAATAAGCTAGTGCTTACATAACATTTATTTTTTTTAGAATTATCAAACACTCTGTCTAAAACCTGAAAGTTATTTGACAAATACAATCGCCATCAAATTACGTAAGACTATAATAATGAAACAAAAATTTTATGCATTACTTCAACAATATTCCATAGAATGCTGTCAAAAGAACATAAGGTGTTGTTTTAGCATATTTTTATCTAGAAATTTCCAGTTCTGATAAGTGCTCAGAAGTGGATAGTTGGCCAGTTTTTTCGTTAAACAAAGAAACCAACGTCGAACCCTTTGGCATTTTGTATCGTCACCGGATAGTATAAACTCGTTCTAGAAAAATAAGAAAAATGGAAAAAAGAGACAAATAAAGAAAAACGAGTACAGAAGATTTGGCTGCTGGAAGAAGGCTGCCCCGATTCATAAATATTTGACGACTTTCGAATTTAAATTGACGATAACGAATAATTAGAGTTTGTCTTCAAGGCATGTTTCTTGTTTCGTTTAAAAACCTGGAGAAAAGTCTCTTAATTGTAATAGGTGAGTGAATTTCTCAGCGTCTTCTTAAGGTGTCAAAATGTGCGTGGAGCTAAGCGATTATATTAACAGTATGTTAATATTCTATCTCTATTATTATATTATCAGAAAATAGTATATTAGTATATGTGATGTTATGAATAGGCTTTAATGAGTTTCAACTGGATTATCTATTCCTCTAATGACTCCAGGGAACAAAATTTTTTCAGCAAGAAGTAAAGAAAACGTAAATAATTCTATTGCAACTGAGATGGATAGAAGAAATCTATATATTATTATACATTAACTTTTCACAGCTGAACAATTAAAACTGAATTTGAATTTGAAACATGGATGTGACGCTATGTAAAGAAGCTTATGAGTGCCATGCTATACGGTATAGCTGATGTCGATCGTGGTATTCTATAATGCGGCTTTACTTCACTCCCTCGAGGCCACAAGAAAATTGTCTGGAAAAATCCCGGGGCAGATTTTTTCACCAAAAAGCTTCAATTCGAGACTTCAAATGACATCCATAGAGTACCTTGATGAGGAAATGTACATCTAGGTTGTGCAGCCTCAATGAGTTTCATAGCGATTATTATTAATTAAAATGTCAGATCCAAATCTTCTTAATTCAAAAGATTTTTCCACTCATTGATAACTTGACGTAAATTCTTGATAGGTGCTCGAAAATTTTCTGTAAAAGTGAGAGGGCATTTAATGAACAGCTTTACAAGCAGTACAATAAATTATCTCGAAATTTTTTTATTTTGAAGTCATTTTTTTCCACTGTCTTCTTTCCATTTATTTGTATTTTATTGTTAGGTCAGGTCGGTTCAGTTTCGTAGTCGAGGTATGTCGGGATTGTGTACAATTCGTGTTTACCAGGTAATAGTGGTAGAGGTTATTAATAGTACAACAAAGGAAATATTTTCATTTGAGGGAAAAAAGTAATTCATCAGGAAATGAATTCCGATTTCATTTCTGCGCACACCCAATTTGTTTGAAAACTTGAGTTGTGATTGGAATAGCATATATATATATATATATATATATATGTATATATATAGAAACGTTCTCGTTACGGAACACTTATACGTACAAGGGATTAATAAGAGACACCTATGCATAGTTCGTTTGTCATATATATGTAATTGAAATGATTATAAAAAGATTTTTTTAATGTCTTTTAAACATTTTCATCCTATTTCTTTCTATTCCAAAACAATTTCTATTGTAAACACGAACTTGTCCTGTAACGAAGATTGATTTTCTTCGTTCATCAATGATAGAAATAACTTCGAGAATTATTCAAAATTATGAGCGATATTTGGTTCTTCGTGCCTACGGAACAGGATCAATTACATCAAAATAAAGTTACTTATCAGTAATTCAGCACAAACCCCTGTAGCGTCCTCTCCACGCAGTACGTACAACTGACAGGTTTTGCTATCGGATCAGGACTCCTACAAGCATATTTATCTAAATCTGGGTCGCCATAACGGACATAGAAAGATACGAAGAAGCTAGACCGGGCCTCTATCTCATAGAGGCCCGGATTTGCAGTATCAGGCGACAGATGAATGTGTGTTGTTGTATCAAGCTACTCATCAGGTTTGAAAGAGCGTATTGGAGAAAAGGCGTTTGGATAGCGTCAAATGATTTCAGAACTTTAGATAATTAATATGCGCCTCAAACGTAAGTTTGAGGCTTTTTAGCGCCTTTTCTCATTATGGAAAAAAATGCACTATTGTGCTCGTCATGTCCGTCTGTCTGTCCGTCTGTCCGTGACTTCACGTTTTCGTTGACGAGAAAATGCGCTCTCTGTCACTCACTACAGTGAGTACAGAGTTATATTTTTTAAGTTATTACAAAGTTCTTCATGGAATTAGCAGATACTATATTCAATAAGAATCGTATACCGTTAATCGTACACCGTTAATAAGAATCGTGATCAACTCTTTTAGGTTAAGAATATTCCCTATATACTTTACTGAAACCTTTGGTGAATAAGGATTGTTTCGTTAAATTTAGGGAAAACTGACGAAAATATCTGCGTGCTGTTTTGCTCGCTTCGGCGCTGGACTTGCAGAGCCGCGCTCAGGGCGATCGTGTCTCCAAGGTCAAAGGTACGACAAAAATAAAGACTAAGATGCAGCGCTCGCGATGCGCATCAGAGGCTCTGGAACGGCGCTTTGTCCGGCTCGTACAACTGCAGTCCAACACAACTGAACTGCAGTCCAACACAACTGAACTGCATGCAGTCCAACACAACTGAACTGCAGTCCAACACAACTGAACTGCAGTCCAACACAACTGAACTGCATGCAGTCCAACCCAACTGAACTGCAGTCCAACACAACTGAGCCGATTTGTCTGCTTATGTTTATGCCTGAAAGTTGAAGTTTTGGCTATACTTATGACTTGAAATTACAAATGTTCTTATCATGATTAATAATGTATAATTAAAATTAAATTAATTATTAAAAGCAATTTCTATTAAAAAATGGAACTTTTTTATCGACAATTAAGAGGACATGATGGAGTGGAGTATATTTAATTTGGTCTTAAAATGTGATAATAATATTTTTAATAATAAAAGTTTAAATAATATTTTATTACAACGTGAGGTATAGGTTTCAAATATGCACGATTACTGTTAAGCAGCTTTGTCTATGGGGACAGGATAGTACCATTGTACCAACAATATAAAATCTTGGTTAGGGAATTTCCCTAACTTCCATAGGCCCAACAAGGATTTCAGGATTTAAAAAAACCCATCGCCGTTCATGAGACTTCAGCTATTTAAGGTTTGAATGCAAATCTGGAATTACGTTGTCTCACATAGCAAAGAAAGTGCATGACGATGGCATGTGCCAAGGAATGAACAGAACACAAAAGAAACGTTATAAATTTCATACAAATCATAACAATCGAAAGTAAGAATTGTTGGTAAATGGATGTGAAAAAATATTTTAAAATGTTCTATAAATTTGAAATCAGTTTGTATAACTAACGCAGCAGATTAGATAAGAGTATCCAATTTAATGCGTAGTAGTTGTGTACGCGAACTTTCAATAATTAGAGTTATGGCTACTTATTACGGTAAAAGTTTGTGGACTTTCGATTAGGATCACGAATAAAAAATGTCAGATAATTTGTTGGAAAAAATGCTGTAGAAGATGTGATAGATATGCGAGTAATGCAACACTGTGATAGGTCATAGATGTGAGTTCCAGCTTTGTAAAGATTTAGAAAATCTGTTTAACGCAGTCACTGGTTAACCGAACAGTTTCTACCTCTAGTGTATAAAAAACGGAATTCGAAGTAAGACTTCAACATATTCAAAGCAGCATCTTAAGAATAAAAGACGCGCTCTTATAATATTAGCATATTTCATCCTTGCAAGTTCCATACAAATCCCAACATTCCAAAATAAAATATGATGGCAAATTATTAAATATTCTAAAATATCTGATTGCAATTCAAAAAAATGAAAGTCAAACGTTCATAGAGAGCAAAGGCCGTAATGTTAACTTTTCAAGCACTTTAGTTTTCTGTCCGTATTGAAAAGTAATTTTAATCATTGTACATGCAATTTGAAGTATTTCAAGTCACGTGTTTAATAATATTACAGAAGTTAAGAATTTAAAAGCAAAGAATACGACACGTAAATTCACCAATCTTTACAGAAGCGATGGCGATTTACTTCGCGTTTTAAATTATTTTTTAATTTTATGAAATAAACTACAATTTTATAATTTATTTATCTTGAAAAATATATGCGAGTATATAAATATTCTAGGTAAGTGTCATGAGCAAGCGCAGTAAGCAAAAACAGTGCGCGTTGAATTTACAAACAAAAAAACTACTATTCTTGTGCATTCGGTCAAATCCAATGAAAATATATCCCTCTTAATCGAAAAATAGCCAATAGGATAATCGAAAAACAGGTTAATTAATTTACGAAAAGGTTAAAATTTTGAACTACAATTTCACGAAGACGTAACGATTTGATCTGTGGAGCTGCACGATAAAAACGTCTTCTTAATTTGCTATTTTTGCCGCAGGTTTATGCGGATATCAAAGGCCAGACAAGAGGGCAAAGCAACTGCCGCAAGCGATGGCTGGGCCACTTTTGCGATGGGCCACTTGATCGATGAATCTCACTCACGTAGAGTGATGGTAGATATCAAGATATCTTTAAGATATCTTTACGATAAGATATCTTAATGGTAAGATATCTTAATGATAAGATATCTTAACGATAAGATATCTTAGCGATAAGATATCTTAATGATAAGATATCTTAATGATAAGATATCTTAACGACAAGATATCTTAACGATAAGATATCTTAACGATAAGATATCTTAACGATAAGATATCTTAACGATAAGATATCTTAACGATAAGACATCTTAACGATAAGACATCTTAACGATTATCGCATGAGTCAAAAAGAAAGATTTTATGAGGGCTGTTCTTTCGATATGATTTGCGGGAATACTCGCGATTATGAACATAGTTTCAATGTGTTGGTTCTAGAAATTGTAGAATGTCGATAAATCAGGGAAGGATTTCGTAACACAGGGGATTATGATATAGAATTATTTAATAATACTTAATAGTTTAATTTGTTTTTATAATATTTAACAAATAATATAGCCATTTAATAACATTAACTGTTTCGAACCTGAATATTGCATCTAGGTCTCAAATGTTTTCACCAGAATGATTTACTACAGAGAGATGATCATTTTAACGGAAACATTACTTGATCAATTTAATAAAAATTATTTTTAGCATTTTTCCTCATATCTTATCGGAATGGGCACTGAGTTCAATAGATATCACACAGTTATCTTCCTGAAAATCTTGAATGCTTGTACGAAGATGTACAAACTATTTAATACCAAAGAATAAAATATATTTGGTGTATCCTTTTGATAATCTGCAGTTAATTCTGTGCATAATAGGTAATTTCATCATACAGAAAATGCCTAACACATCAGAAGTAAATTGCAGTAACGGACTAGAACGGTGAACAACAATGACTTCATTCAATTATTTAATAATTTAATTGACTAAGGTTACGCGTATACTATCACGATAAACGGTAAAGATAAATGCCGTTCACAATGCGGAATTTTTACAATTACTCTCAATCCATTAGCATCCTCTGTACAAACAACCTGCCCTTGTTCTCGTGTTAATTGTTTGAATTGAATGAAGATTGCTGTGTGCAAATCCCAAAGACTATTAGGCAGGCTATTCGAACTGCTTTACGGTTCATCAAACTGTCGATGGGGAGCCGACGCGAGTGTTTTATTGCGTTCGATCAGTTCGATCTTAGGTGCTCGTTGTGATCATTTTGTTAATGTTCTTTGAGGTTCAGATATTGAGAATTTGACAACAGTAATCCTCAAATGGGGTAGTCGATCTCATGAGTATCGTATCGCAGTAATAACTTAAGTCATTCTGGGAAATATGAAGGGAACATTGTCCAAATGAGCGATGTACTTTCTATTCTTGTATGGATCAGATATTGAGAATTTGACAACAGTGATCCTCAACTGGGGTAGTCGATCTCATGTGTATTGCATGGCAGTAACAACTTATGTCACTCTGGGAAATATGAAGGGTTACATTGTCAAAATAGCGATGTACTTTCTATATCGCATGGCAGTAATAACTTAAGTCACTCTGGGAAATATGATGTCCAAATAGCGATGTACTTTGCTATACTTTCTATCCTTGTATGGATCATCCTTACCAAGTTTGGCCCGAAAATATAGGGCATATCAGTGCACTCTGCTTGTTTTGTGATTAAGAAAGTGTTTCATTTTTCAGAAAACTTAACCATTTTTTAATTCGACGATGCCTTCATTCATTAAGACGTAGCTTCAACGTTTTTCAACGCTTTCCATAGCTGGAAATTAAATGAGAACATTTAATTTAAAACTTCGAAGTTCGTCATTCTCAGCATGATAATTTTTTTTATTTAACTTTATAAAGAACTAAATAAATCTGGCTTAATAGCAAGGCATCAAAGGAAAAGCAATATATTTTTTGAAAACGAACGCCTGGCAAACTGTCAGCTTCGTAATAGTGACAGTGGCATAATTTCAGGGTTTCACTGCTCCATTCAGGCGTACGACTTCTAAAAGTTTTATGGAAATTCTACTCCAGATCAAGGAAAGGAAAAGGAAATTCTACACCAGATTTCAGTTCGAGTCATCCTTGGCAAACTCGGGAGAGAATATCACGCCTAATTGCTTCTCCTTATACAGAAGCTCTTCTCTGTTGAACAGACGCGGCGTTCATGAGCCGGGGACTAATTATACAGAGACGCCCAAGATGCAAGATTATCAAGAAAAACAGCTGGGAAATATCTTCCAACCTGAGATTAGCTTCAATCAGAAGCGACATACAGCAGGTACATTATGTGGGTATACGTACAGGGTTGCTCGATGCTCCTTAATTAGGAAAGCTGCAAAACAAAATCATAAGACGGTGTCCATCTTTGAATAATTATTATTGCTTAGTGTCAGTGAAGTAGAAAAAAATTAATATTGAAGCCAAGGAAGCTTCAAGTCAGGTTACTTACTGGGAATTTTTTAAATTATGGTCTCAAACATAGAAATTGCATAAAATCATTTTTAGCCACATATAAAACCCCACGCCAAAAAAGAAATAAATAAAGACATAGATTCTCAGCTTTCTAATACTCTACACCAGCTTGCATTAGCTGATATTATTCATAAGCATACTATTAACATAGTTTTTAAATAAACTTCAGTCATTTAGTAAAAAACTCAGAGGAGAAAAAATTCAGAGGGTGCAAAATTGCAAACTCGATTTTAAGTTAAGTTGAGTTTGTTACGAAGAAGCTTAACTTACATTACACGTTGAGTTACTTCCGCAGCATTAAGAGTGCGATTCACTATTGTCTCAAGAACAAATTCAGCTTCAAAATTCAGTCAGTAGTCATTCAAAATCAACTGAAAAGGATCCACTCTATTCCAAATCTATTTAAAATACCTATAAATTTCTTCAGTAAATGCAATATGCAATATAAATTTTTGTATGCAATATTCTCTCCTAATCTGCCTAGGAGTTTTGGGTTCCTCTGTTGTATTCCATCTTTTGGCTTTCCCTGCGCTTCCGTTTTTTGTTGGCAGCTACCAAGTTCTCTTCCGCTTTAGAGCGCCTGAGGGCAACTCGATGCGACTTTCAGCGGGAATCCCTCGACATTGTCGACCCTTCATTGCCAATGCCACAAGACTTGATTCTGGGACTTTCCAAGATAACTTTCACGTCTGATCAAAAATGCAATGCGTTGATTGCGGGGAACGAGTTGCCAATACAAAAATATCTTCTGAATAGAAGATTAACCCTTGTCAGACTATAATTATACAATGTTGCAATCGGACGACCGAGTTTACATGCAATTGTACCTATGCAATCCGACTAGTGTTAAGCTTCAAAGAATTTGTGTCGTAGCTATAGAATTGAAGTAGCGGCAGCAGCAGATACTAGCATAAAAAACGTTTAATCGGTTCATATTACCACTCAATAAAAAAATTAAGAACGGCAATATCTTCATGATTTTTTATAAATAACGTTGCATTTTGAAATTTTTAAAATTATAAATAATGACGCCTATTAATAATTCCTGGTCATTGTGCCCACTTGAGTCTCAATCTCACTCAATCTGGCCTCAAATTTGAGTCTAGTAGTTGAGTAAAATGTCTCAGTCGTGTGTGAATTTCCAAATAATAAAATATATAAAATAATGTAGTCGAACGAGCCCAACGTGATCCAATTTATCGTACGGGCGTTAATTACATTTCATGCTCAATTTTGGAACAGAATTGAGAGGCATTTGATCTGTAAATCAAGATGAAAGCAATGAATTCAATTCAATAATCATTGCAACATGGGCGAGTGAATTGTTGGCTGAACGCTTTAGCGAGCAAATTAATAGAAGAAAATAATCGCGGTATTGCATGCAAATGTATTGAAAGACTAACTGAAATATAAAAATAATCGTTGAAATCGAAAGACTATGATTGAATTTTCTAGCGAAATAATAGTGCAATTAGCAAACGCTACAATACACTGCATGCATATGTAATGGATCGCACAAAATTTATTTAAAAAATTTCTAAAATTGTTATCGCAGCCTGTGGCAGCCAAAGAACTTGTCATAACCTGATTATTTATGCCTGAATTTACCTTGTAAAGCATTTATATTCACACTTCACTGCCAGTAAATTGCACATCCTTGTTGCGAGAAGCAACAACCTATAGAATAACTGATTGACTTCCTATATACTTCGTTCGTTCAAGGTACTCGTTCCGAGCACCGGAAATTCCGCTCTGTATTTCCTACGAGAAAAAAGGTGGCTACGAAAGCCTGCCTTATAAAAGAGAGAATCGACGCCTGACACTTCACTTACCTCGCCTTCACGTTCGGGTCCTCACGAAGCAACATATGGTGGGTTGATCTAGGGTTTTTATTAGCGATTAATCCACAAATTTCCTTTCGTTTCAGAGAATATTTTGAGTTTCTATCATTGCAATAGTAAATAAAGTTATACAGAATGTGCTACTGGGAACAAACGTCAATTAAATCAGGGTTATTAATACGAAATATAATCACTATATGAATATTTTCAAAGTTCGGGAGCTTCTAGATCTGTGGGCCCTAATCGTTACGTGACCACATGTAGCACCTCGCTTACACGGAGGAGGATTGGATTCGGAAATAAACTATCTGCAGTTCGAGCACTGCTGCTTCTGCGTTGTGATGATTTTATCACGAAAACAACAACTATTGTGCAACAATGAGTATTTTCAATAGACGGATTTCAATTCAATTTCAATGAGTATTTTAAATTTTACATTTGGGCAATGTAAAAAATTTCAGCGCTGCGTATGTGTCTATAAATCTAAACATCAAGTAAACGTATTACTAATGACCTCAAAATAATTAAATGATACTAAAAAATCTTCAGCACTCTGCATTTAAACCCACTTTGGTGTACGACATGAATAAACTTGGAAATGTAATGAAACTTTCTACGCATAATTTGCTACCAAAATTGCTAGAATTATCCTAGTACTTATATTATCAGTCTGCTTATATCGCAAGTTCACAAGGAATTTAAAAGCAAAGAAAACGCCAAGAACATTCACCATATCGATATTGAAAACGTATCAATATCGTTTTCGTGAATTTTATTGGCGTTTTCTTTGCTTTTAAATTCCTTGTTAACAATTATCCTTCTACAGATGCAATACTCGATCAACCGCTCCCTGTTGGTGCTGCTGTTCTTAGCGGCCGTGTTGGTGGGAGCTGAAGACCACCATCATGGCGGCGGGAGCGGAGGAGCCACAGCTCGTTTCCTGTCTCCCCATCACATTGGGGCGGCCGTCAGTGGCCTCCTCTTCGGACACGGAGGACACGGAGGACATTATGGCCATGGAGGACATAATGGTCACGGTGGCTTCATTAAACCATACGGTGGATTTGGACATCATCATGGACATCATCACGGTCATCATCTTGGTTATGGGCATCATGGTGGTTTCGGACACGGAGGGTTTGGTCATGGACTTTATGGACAAGGGGGATTTGGCCACGGTGGTTTTGGCCATGGTGGTTTTGGTCATGGGGGATTTGGATATGGTGGACCTTACTTTGGATAAATTGCATGGGCTTCGTGCAGAACAGTAATAAAAATCAGTAGATAAAATAAGTATTTATTTTGCATTAGGCAATTGACTAAATAATGTTAGATATACGAAACATCAGGTACTTAACAAGTAAATTTACAAATGAATTATAAATATTGAGTTCCATAATTAGAAATTTTAACCGAAATACCTTATTTAATTTTGCTGAAGTGTCAATGTTGACTTCAGATCGCGTAATAAATTCTGCGACCTCATTTAGAATTTTACTGATAAAAGTTACGGCCGAATTACATGTTGAATTGCATTGGTATTTTCAACTATGTTAGTATAAGGCATTTGTGAACTATAAATAATTTGAAACGTAGAAAGCCAAAGCAATTTCTTACTTTATAAGCCTATTTCTTACCAATATTTATGAAATAAATAATAAATAGAGTCTTTATAATTACCCTTGAGGAAGTTAATCTTTGGACTCACAATATCACGACGCCAACAACTTTTATATTGTATGACGGAACTTCAGTCAAGAAATAATGATCATCTATTTCTACTTGTAAACTGGAAATTTTCTTCAGAAGCTGGCTGATAATGTTAATAGTGACAGAAAATAAGCATTAGTATTCAAAATGTTTCTTCGCTGTTAAGTAAGTGTAACGGTAGGTAGCCTTTTCTCAATTTATTCGAAACACATTAGAAATATTAGAATATTTCCTATAAAAGCACTTAACTCATGCTAAATTCGAGCTAATAAAAAGGTAAACATTTTTTGTACAGTTATCAAAGCGTACCGTTACTTTGCACTATAATTACTACGTTTCAATTTGATATTCTTTACAATTATTCCGAGATCATAAAATAAATAATCCATCTCTGCCAAAAGAGAAATGACAACATTCAGATGTAGTAAGCTGCCTCTATCTCAGCCATAGTACGATGGCTTTAGCACATTCATTTGCTGTGGCTTTAGCTCAGCCATCAGCACTATGGCTTAGCTCAGCCATCAGCACTATGGCTTAGCTCAGCCATCAGCACTATTGCTTAGCTCAGCCATTAGCACTATGGCTTAGCTCAGCCATCAGCACTATGGCTTAGCTCAGCCATCAGCACTATGGTTTAACTCAGCCATCAACCGTAGAGTGGATGAGGTCGGGTGTTGAGCATCTGCTTGTCGTCTTGAACAGGTCGAGAAGTTGAATGACTTGGTCGGTAGTGAGTTTTTGGATCGTCACTTGGTCTGTGATGGTTATAGTGATCATCATAAGCTGGAGGACCTGGTGGCGCATAACCGGGAGGTTTTGCCGGAGGTCCATAGTTGTCAGGCCGTGATGGATAAGGACCGGAAGGAGGAGGGTAAGGAGGATATCCCTTTGATGAAGCTGGTGGTTGGTAGTATCCACCTCCTCCATAAGGAGGACATCCAAAAGGAGGAATCAAAGAATTACCTTTCCCTAAGCCAAAGATGTCGAATTTATCCAAGAGTCCTTTTACTGGACCTAGAAAGAATCGCTGGTTGGGAGCGGCATTTCCGTAGGCATCATAATAATTATTGTAGTAATCCCTCGCTGGTGGTGGGGCGTACGAGCTCACACGATCTGCGTGCGACAACTGCACACCTCCGTGGCAGACAAGAACTGCCAGACCGATGACTATTCTATTCGTTGTCATGGTCAAGATCCTGCAAAAATAAATTTTGTGTTATGAATTGGTATTGCCTTGCAATTATAAATAGATGCATAAAATGAACATGAGGGGAAATTTTGATGTTGATGAATAAAGCGTCATAAATGATTAATAGTTTATCGCAGGACTCACGATGTAATCTTTAAGTACAAACAAAAACGGCTAATTTGATTGAAGCGAAATTTCTTTGTTTGATTAAAAGGAGTTTAAATTATCTAAAAAAATTCATAATGCATACGATATAAATCTATTTGAATATAATCTCTCTTTGCGTGGAGGATGCAATACTGGTAGGGTAACGTGGGGCAGCGCGCCCCCCACTTTTTTTAAACTAAAATTTTGACGAAGTTTTAATTGATACGAGGTGGTTCTTTGTTTTGTTTAAAGGTGCAACTAATGAGGAATGTATGATGTGAATTAGGCGCCTATAGAGTTATTCAATTTTTAAACTTAATAACGCAAACACTTAGCAAAACGTAAATCCGTACACTTCATCCCAGTGAAACTGTCGACCGGCGGTAGAGAACACGGATCAATATCTGCCATACTTAGCGAGAAACCCGCTATGGGCCCGTGACCCGCAGTGGGCTCGCTGCCCCATGTTACCCTACTGCTCGACGGTTTCACTTATAAATTACAAGCTATAGATTTTGTGTTCTTTGTAGAAAAAATATACTTTTTGATAGAAATTACGAGCTAAACGTAATATTAGGCAAATTTCTCATAGGTTGGAAGCTATTTCAATAAAAAAAATTATGAGCAAACAATTAAATGCATCACTTGTAACTTAATAGAAGTAGTCATCGTATTTATTTCATCGTCACATTTTTGAACAAGCTCAAGTATTGATTTTGACTGCGTATTTTATAAAAAAAACTATCGAAAAAACACTCAAAGAATGTGAATGCTATAGAGACAATTTGAAAAACGACTGTCAGTTCCTTCAACAAAATATGACTTTATTGTTGGCATTCCAGCATGCAACATTCTGTATTTCAGATGTTCCATGCTTTTTGTCCACGGTGCTCATTTATTTGCGCTTACTTTCGTCCTGTATTTTGTGCCGTCTATTTATTTATGCACGGTATTTTTATGCACATTTATGCACACTATTTTATTTATGCACGGTATTTTGTACGATCTTTCTTACAGTAATGACTTTTCGTATTGCATTTACATCGTACATTTTCGTATTGTATTTACAGTAATGACATTTTTCGTATTGACTTGCGAATAACTTCTCGTATTGCATTTCGTAAGATCTTTCGCATTTATGAGCATCACGTTGGGGCGGATTAATAGTAATTGCTCCGGAAATTTGTTCTCTCTGGCTGGATAATTGGGCTACTAAAGCCTATTGCAGATTATGTCGGCTGTGCACTTGTGAGCGAATGGAACGATGTTGAATGAAATATTAGTTAGCGATGTAGCACGAAGAATTAATAAACAATTTTGTATTAAGAGTTACGAAACGATGTTGCAAGAATCATTCAAATACGATGTTGCACAAACGATTCTGATACGAGGTTGCACGAATTATTCGATCAAAACGACATTGCACGAAATATTCATAGACGATGTTGCCACTAAGGATTCAGAAACAGTGTTACACGAAAGGGTTTTAAGCGAAGATTTGAGAAGGATTTCTTAAAGTTGCACGATAGACTTGGGTTCAATTATGAATGTATGCTTCATGAAGACTTATGATGCGTGTATGACGATTCAAACGAAAACTGTTGGTTAGCTGACCTATTCATCAGCGAGAAACTGTTTCAGTTAACATTGGAGATCAGCAAAACTAATGGCAAATGTGAGGAATTGGTAAGGCATATTGAAGAAAAATTCTGAGACAACAACTGGAATATAAGCCAATCAGGTAACGTAAGAGGTAATTTTTATGATATATAACTGTCGTCGTTTTAATCAATGATATTTATGATGATATTATTTCAGTGAATCTAGGTTTACAAATATTTTATTAACGATGCACTTTAAGACATAGAGTGATTTCGAACAAATGAGAAATGATCATGCATTGCGCGTTACAGGTTCGTACTACATTATAAAATTTATTTTGAAAAATTATATGTTGCATAATCGAGTATTCTAGCGCCCGAAAAGAAGTATTACCGTTTTTGGTGGTCACTGCACCACTGTATGCTTCAGGTCTCACTTGCGACAAGCTTGTGCAGCTTCACCTGCACAGCTTCTCTTAAATACGCCTGAGTAAATCGAAGCTGCGAACTCTGTTCCGGAGTTGCCCATCTCCTCAAATGGACCGGAAGAAATTAAGACTCCCACGCAGGATGCTGTAGGACACGCAAGAAAGTCAAGCCGCTGGGGTGTTTGATCGAGGAAATTAACCATTAACCTTCTGGCACACATGCGCAAAAATTTGTATGGTTTTTATATACAGAATTCCTGCTTGAAATGTTGCATCAGGCCGGAAGCTGTGAGGCACGAGTCGCGTGGGATTAAAACACACCTTGATTGCTTAATATGTTTATAATTGGCTAAAGTGAGGGTTGTGATGGCAGCATAGAAAGATATTCCTGAAATTTCAGGTGATATTGGTGATATAAAAAAATAATATAATATATAAATATATATTAGAAATTTTCAGATTATAAATTTTCAAAAAATAATATTTAACTAAAAGGAGTGCAATACGGTTTCCTGGCTAACAGGGCCATTCAATGTAGTTCAATTATGAAATCATTAACCTTCAATCATTCTTCCAAATTGGTGGGCAGTGTATTATGAGCTAGGTAACTGCAGCAATAATTTTTTACGGATCATTTCATTAATTGAAATAAAAACGTAAAACAAAAATCCACGCAATGACTGTTAAAGAACATTATTCGCAGGTAATATTCGCCGGAAAATTAATAAACAATGCGCGAACCATTACACGCAGTTTTCAATCACGTAAAAAAGGGAACAAGTAATCAAAAATTAACTAAATCTATGCTATGATCTTTTAAAAGTTTATAAAACTCATAGACGGCAATTTATTAAAGTTATCAGTACCGCAACTTGTAGATATTTTACATTATATTTACATTTCACATTAATTGTGACAGTCTTGACACACTTTATTCAGAGGTTAGTTGTGACTAAGTCTAGACACACTTTATTCATTAAGACAATCACTACCGCTACTTGTATATATTTTACATTATATTTACATTTCACATCAAGACAATAAAGATGAGGGTCTGCGTATAGCCGCGTAGGTGTCAGGAAGGTTATCGTTCCTTAGAAGGCTGTAGCAATGCAGCTAGCAAGGAGGAAGCGAGGGCCCTAACACCAAAAACTTTCGCATCTCCCGAGGATCTGAGGTTAAAGTTTTTTCCTTAGTCTTAGCACCAACGAAGTTTAGACCTTCTTAAAAATAATGATCCAGCCGTTGCGATGCTTTTCTCGGTGCTAGTCATGTATCTTCGCATAATGATATATGATGAAAACCAAAGTCAGGCCCGTGAGTCGGTAAAATCAGTTTCTAAATATTTGTCTCGGTTCTTGGTTTTAAAATTCCGATTGAAATCAATAATGTAAAGGAGTTTTCGCGTGAGTCATTACGCGATTACTTCACACGTTGAATAATTTTTTTAGCAAGTTAGGGTTCATAAACTCGTAGGATTCAGGTTTTCGTATATGAAGGTTAATAAATAAATATGGCTCACACGTGCATCGGTAATGGCTTCATGCATTGAACTCAAGAGATTATAAAAAATTTTTGTTAAAAAAAGTTAGATTCGAACTTTACTCAAAGTTGAATGAAATTTATCGAAAACTTTCTAAACTTTCTGTAACATTCGTCATTTACCTGTTTCGGATTTTCAATTGCATTAAAATTCTAAACACTTTTGATATAAATGAAAAATGGCGTAATGTTCAGCGATCTGCGTGTGAATCCCTTCACTATTATTAGTTTGTCCAGCTTGTGACGCTATAGCGTATAATAAATCAAGGCCGTACACTCTGAGAAATGCATGGATCATATTGTCCATTTAGTGGCACTGGGCCCATACTTTCAAAAAAAGTTAAGAGATCGTAAGTTCATCAGCCAATCATTGACGGCCTTTCAAGCAAAATCCACCAATCATGGACAAGAAAATAGAGCGTAAGTACTTACATTTACTTAGCGAGTTTTGAAAGTATGGCCCCAGGTATGTATCTATTTTTTGTATGTAACACTGATGCGTACAATTGCCTTGCAAAATTGGGCTCATAGCTATTCTGATTAAGTGCAGAGACAAGAAGCGCATCGTTATTTTAACATATTTAATTGGATAGAGTATCAATTAATTTGAGTGTAGGCATGACGTTGAAACACGTCTTCCTTCCGTGTCGGCGTCACAAGTTCTCGGAGATCTCATCAGGCACGGAGCCTGAAAGCATGACTAATATGCTCCTACTAACCTTGAATCCATTGAGTAATAACTATCTTTTCGTTCATTTTTAGTGCACATTCTTATGTATGGAAAAAATGCAATATTGTGCTCGCCATGTCCGTCTGTCTGTCTGTCCGTGACTTCACGTTTTCGTTGACGAGAAATGCGCTCTCTGTCACTCACTGCAGTGAGTACTGAGTTATATTTTTTAATAAATTGGATGTCGCTGGTTTTAAAGGTTGAACGGATGGGAAAACTTAAGCGCATTTTTATGGCATTGAAAGGCATAAAAAATTTGGAAAATTGGTGTATCGTCAGCTAGAACATTACAATATTGAACAGCACGAATGATGACTTAGGTCATGTTACAGATTTTCAACTCAATTTGCATTCATGATTTGCATGAGTCCCGGGTTTTCAGCGTTGCTTTAGAGACTTGTTCCATTTCTGTACCACGTAAATACCAGTGAATTTTAACGTTCTATTCTTATTTTAAGTTTTACTCAAGTCTTTCAATCGGGTGTAGGCCTAGATTTATTAATGATGCAGACTATACATATCATGGGTGTTTTCAGTTTCATCCATGCTTTATGTGCTACCATTTCCAATATTATCACATGTGCTATCACCCTATCAGTTCCGTTTTTGTCTAGTGTGTTATCAGTTCCAATATTAATACGGGTGTAATCAGTTTCATTATTGCCTCATACGTTATCAGCTTGATTATTGTCTTATGAGATATCAGTTTTCTTCTTGTGTTATGTCTTATCAGCTTCATTATTTTCAATTATTATAAAAATTCCTGATAAGGCTTGCTTGTTGCCATGGAGTCACGCCTCGTTCATAATGGAATATTTATTTCTACAGACCAAACAGAGTGCAATTACTAACCATTACAAAAATTCTGAAAAAATATTAGGACACATTGCAGTGTTTACTGTACTTCAAAAAGAAGATTAGTATGCCAAAAATTAGAATAAACTATAAAGGGTAAGAATTCACGATTAAGAATGGGCTTAAGATTAAAATAATTAAGTAAGATTAAGAATCCACGATTAAGGATTGGGCTTAAGACTATAAGTGACTAAAGTCCCGTCTAATGAACTTTGCTATCGGCCTTTAGATCGCTGGCTAAGTGATCATGTTTGTTCCTAAACAAGAGCGACTGTCTTGGTGAGGTAGCCAGGATCTTGACATCACTTATTCTGCGCTGCATTGCAATACTAGCAACGAAAAAGTAGATAACAATTATCATCATGAATAATCATGGTTATTTTAGTTCGACGTAAGCATTTCCTTGCGATCGTAGTGATTCGAGTACTAATGTAAAATTAACCTGTATTGCATTAATCAATTTCCTTACTACTGAACTCTAATGAACTACTCGTTCCATTTTTGATCAACTTATTTGTCAATTAGATGAAATCACAGTGAGATATTCTTCCACCGAAGTGGAAGGATCTTTCAACTGATTCTGACGACACTGAATGCTACAGACACTGAATCATTTCAATTTTGAAAATACCGGATGTGAAAATAAGAATTTGAACGCAAAGAAAATTGCAATTAAATTCACATAAACTTCAATTTGAACTTTGATTTAACTTTTAATTTACTTAAAATCATTCTTAATTTGAAACTGAACCAAAATAATGTTTCAAATTATTTATATTTGACGAATAAACAGTAATCAATGTTGAATCAGCACCAGAATTTATGAACTCTATATAAATCAAGAGATACGCGTGAGGAGATTTCTTCTGTACAAAGTAAAATGATTCACAATTTTAAAATCTTGTATTATTCTAAACGTTTACAATCACAAGCAAAAGTTATAAATAAATTATAATTGAGTCTAATGTAAGCATTCTTTATGAGTTCCATAATTTTAATGTATTGCATTTGTCACAACTGCACTCATCACAAAACTTTTATACCTGCAAGAATTTTATACCTCTATCTATTGGCGTTAATTGAATATGTCGTTTAGACGGCATGTGTTTGTTTGACCTACTAGCGCATTTTCAAAGCTCATGCCGTTGTCTCCGCAAAACAAAACAGAGGTCTGATTAATGTATTCTGTAGTCAACATTAATTCAGTAAGCTCTAATATCCATTCATAAGTAGCCACACTGTTAGAAAAATTACCGTTAACGGTATTACCTGCGTTTCAGTGGCCGGTCGGCACGTGAAAAGAAACACCGTGTCGCCGTTTTTATTCTAATTTAACACTAAAAATCCGTAAAACATCTGTTAAAAACGGCGAAACAGTTTATTTTCACGGGGCGACCGGCCACTAGAACGCCAGTGGGACTGTTTTTTCACCGTTTTTTTCTAACAGTGCAATAATCTGCATTAATTATGAAGGCTATCGCATCCGTTTATAAGTAGGCAATATTCTGCAGTAAATGAGTATAGGCTTCAATTTGCATTTTTAAGCAGACTATAACCTTCATTAATTATGTAGGTTTTAACCTCCATTTGCAAGTGGGCAATAATCTGCAGTACTAATTAAGTAGGTTTTAAAATTATTTTCTTAAGTAGGCTATACCCTACATTAATTAAGTAGGCTATAACCTAAGTAAACTTTAACCTTCATCAATAATGTGAGATCATATCATCAACTCGCCAAGAATACCTTTCTACTATGTACCGAAATTTTTTTTTTGTGAGTAAAAAAATTGCTGTCCTAATATAATGCGGTTACATCATATGATAATAATTGACGCTGATTACAGATCTGCCTGGTTGTTACTCTTAAATTTTCCTTGCCTGGGCCTATACTTTCAAAAAAAGTTAAGAGATCGTAAGGTCATCAGCCAATAATTGACGGCCTTTCAAGCAAAATCCACCAATCATAGATAAGAAAATAGAGCGTAAGTACTTAAGTTCACTTAGCGAGTTTTGAAAGTATGGCTCCTGGGTTGCTCTTGTAGAATTTTTTGCCGCACGGCAGAGGTATATTTTTAAGCAATTAAATGCTTCTACAACAGAGCACAGCAGCCGTTCCGTTAGGGGACGACTGACTCTTAATTAAATTCATTTAAATGTACACTTTTTTCCGATAACAAATTGAAACCTCGCCGGACGAATGATTCAGAAAAGGAAAGAGAAACATCAGAATTTATTTAGTATGAAATTAAACCTTCAAGAAGGAAATGTTTCAGAGTCTATAGAAAGACAAGTTAGAATAAATAAATAGCATATAGGCTGTACAAATAAATATGTTAGTGAAGACAAGTTTATTAACTTAATTTTAAAGCTTACGTGGACTAGTTCAATCGAAATTCGATCGTTTGGAATCTTACAACATGGATGAGGAATGTAATTTAAAAAAATCCTTGTGCTCCTGGAATTTAAATGATGCGCATAGAAAAAAAATAAAAAATGATAGTTTTTAATAAAAAAAATCATCATCGCAAACTTATTGATTGACAATCACACAAAATAATTTTTAGCAATAAGTCCAAAATATAGATTTGTGTTCGGAAACTATTTATTGAAACTTCTTCAAAACCAATTATATATAGTAATCTAAACTTTCAGAAGTAGATATATTATTTTTGTTCACAACGAACAAGCTAGAGGCTGAGAAGCCTGGTGATAAACCTTAAAATATTTTGTCTTGAAGATAAAAAATCAGTTCCTATCACGCTCGCGTAAATCCCTGAATAAATATAAATATTTCGAGTCTCGGCGTTGAATATAGTATTGACATGTTGGAGTTGAATTCATGATGACCTATGACCAGACCCATTTTTCTTTCTTGGATTTATGAGGCTTAGAAGGTATGTGCTGCTCGGCGCTGACGAAATCAGCTGAAGGAATTTGAGAAATTTTTTCGAAGATTGCAGAATTTCCATCGTCATGCGGAGCAAAATAAGTGGAGTCCGGTCTCTTTTTGAGTGGCGGGGGTTCGTAGCTGGAGACTGGCGGTGGTCGATGCTCGTAACTTGCGATCGGCTTTACGTGGCTCGGACTCTCATAAGCAGAAATGGGTTTGTGGTGAATTGGTGGTCCATACGTAGCCGCTGGTTTCGGAGGAGCTGGTGGTCCATAAATCGCCACAGGTTTTGGAGGAACTGGAGGTGCATAGCTGGCAACAGGTTGGGGATAGGTTGGAGGTGCAGAAATCGGTGGTCCGTATGCATCTACCACGGGTTTAACAGGGACCGGGGGTCCATAGCTCGCTATTGGCTTGGGTTGGTCGTAACCGAAATTCGGTGGGTGGCTGTAGGGTTGAGGACCGTACGCTGGGGCTGGCGCGGGATAAACTGGGGGAACTGGAATGGCGTTGTGGTTGGGGTATCCCACAGGAGGACCATAATCACCTGGTACTATAGCTTGATGGGATGGATATGCACCATGCGGGAATGAAGGGCCATAGGGTATTTGAGGTGGATAAATAGGCTGGGGATGAACGGGACCATAAGGAGGATACGCTCCCGGAGGTGGATGTCCTCCATAAGGAGGGTACCCACCGTGAGGTGGATATTCCCCATGAGGAGGGTATCCACCGTGTGGTGGATATACTCCATGAGGAGGATACCCTACATGGGGTGGATAACCTCCATGAGGTGGATATGGAGCATAGCTGGGAGCATAAGGCGGAATAACTCCACCGTGATATCCCCCATATGGTGGATATCTACCATGCCCGCGGTAATCATCATCGTCGAAGATGTCGTCCATGAAATCTAATATGCCTTTTACAGGCCCAAGAAAGAAACGCTGTGTAGGACTTGACGCAGGGCCAGAGTACGGCCGCTGTCTGGCTGTCACAGCGGCCGCTGTAGCTGCGGTGCCGCGGCCGTCGGCTGCGGCGAACGAGAGCTGCTGAAGCAATAAAAAACCTGTGAAGACGCTCGAGAGCAATCCAGCAACTGATGATCCGACCATTTTTGCTGAGGAGCTCCAGAATCTGCGGAAAAACGCCACTGTTAGGAGATCGCGTGAAGGAAAGAGGAGCTGCTATCAAGAAAGTGTTCGACTGTGGCAACTCAAGATCAGGTTCAATTAAAAAAAGCAGCTCGGCAAGACGGGTGCAGCGAGTGGAATAGTTTTTTAACCTAAAAAAATTTTGTTGATTAAAGAGAGCTTCAGGCTGTGGCATTACTGGCGTTATTTTTTGAGAAAAAAGTTGTGGGACTGGTAACGAAACCGCGAGTCCAAACCGTTCCTTACGTCACTATTTGGTCAGTAAATTTAATAAGGAATTAAAAAAATATATTTTTACTCGAAAAATGATGCTGGAGATCACATTTTAAAATTGTAATTATTCTGCTCGAATCTTTATGATTGTGCTTCAAAGGTGGCAAATGAATGGTTTCTTTCTAAATTTTTGTAATACACTGATTCATTTAATGCATTCAGATGGAAGAATAAAATAATAACTATAACAATCCGAATGCTGCTATATTGAGGAACTTATTTATTGTTGATAGGAAACAATCGAATTGTGTATTTTTAATCTTAATTCCAATCCAATTATGAGTGTAAGGGCAAGCAGCAATTAGCAATTCAACTAAACATTCGGCTGAATTGGGATAAACATGTCACAACCTGAAAACGCATGTAGGAAAACTGAAAAATTAAAACATTAAAAGAGTGAAAGTTTGTAACGAAAGCGCAGTAGTTAGAAGTATCATTAAGAAATATTTATCAAACCAAGACTAAAATTTTCATGCTAGTGCTTCTTTAACAAATAAAAACTAATGAATTTCGCACAGAAACAAATTAATTCTAATACGAGCGTTGTGTGACGCCACTGAAACTGAAGTATATTTTTGCTGAATAGCAAAACATAGAAATTTGAGTTCTAAAGAAGCCAGTATTCGTTAACATACTTTAAGACACTGCAGTAAGTTCAGACTCAAACTAGCCACAAGCTAGCATTCCAAGTCAGCAGCACGACAGCAAGTTCAGCAAATAAATAAGTTCAGTTTAGGAATGTCGGTTCAAACAAAACAAGCAGTAACCAACAATGTTCGTAGGCACACGTTAAGAAAGTAAGTTTAGTAAATGAGTAAGTTCATTATTTGCTGTAAGTTCAGACAAAACAAGCACGAACCAACAATATTCGTAGGCACAAGTTAAGACTGTAAGTTTAGTAAATGAACAAGTTCATTATTTGCTGTAAGTTCCGACTAAACAAGCACGAACCAACAATATTCGTAGGCACACGTTAAGACTGTAAGTTTAGTAAATGATTAAGTTTATTATTTACTGTAATTTCAGACAAAACAAGCACGAACCAACAATATTCGTAGGCACACGTTAAGACTGTAAGTTTAGTAAATGAACAAGTTCATTATTTGCTGTAAGTTCCGACTAAACAAGCACGAACCAACAATATTCGTAGGCTGTTGACTGTATTCGTTGTTAAGACTGTAAGTTTAGTAAATGAGTAAGTTCATTATTTGACTGTAAGTTCAGACTATACAAGCCACGAACCAACAATATTCGTAAGTCGACATAACGACAACACGTGCACCACGCACCTGGAAATGACTAGACCCCGAATGACCTAGACTTTGACTCCTGAAGTTTCTTATACCGAGCGATATGCCTGGCACTGTGGGTTAATTTTGCTTGCTTTCTTTACGCAATGGGCAAGCTTGCTAATCACCGGCCCATGACCGCAAAATATTTTGGAAACTTATATACTTTAATATTATGTATACTCTCAGTATTTTTTAATTAATTAATATTATTTACTAAATTAACCACTAATCCTTGACTTCTCAACGCTGAGTCAAACTGCTATATTTATTTCATGAGTTGCCACTGGGCCCGAATCTTCCTAACATCAATAAAGCGTTTCAATTTGAATGAAAATCAACCTAATTAAATTGAATTTATATCAATATTTGAGTAAAATCAAGAAGCAAACTTCACACAAACGGGATTATAAACCTCACTCTCACTAGACTCGCTCTCTTCCGGGTCTTGACGGCCAAGGTGAATGCGGCCCAGGCATGGCAGACGTGGGCTGAAAGCGCAAAAAATGCAGTCAACAACATCCTACGCTATTCCTACCGCGATAATAGTTATTAGTTGCACGCATTTTATTTGTGTGAAATTTCACTGTCTGAATACGCGTATTTAAAAAAATGGAATTCGCTAATGAAAGCAATAAGAATGCTGAATGCATTCTGAATGTTTTACTGAAAGCATAACAAACTTAGTCAATATGATCCTACGCAATTCCTACCATGATAATAGTTATTAGTTGCACGCATTTAATTTGTGTAAAATTTCATTGTCTTAATGCGCGTAGTTAAAAAACTAGAATTCGCTGATGGAAGCCAAATTCCTACCGCGATAACAGTTATTAGTTGCACGCATTTTATTTGTGTCAAATTTCACTGTCTGAATACGCTTAGTTAAAAAACTAGAATTCGCTGATGGAAGCAAAATTCCTACCGCGATAATAGTTATTAGTTGCACGCATTTTATTCCTGTGAAATTTCACCGTCTTAATACGCGTAGTTAAAAAACTAGAATTCGCTAATGGAAGCAATAAGAAGGTGGTTTTACTGAATGCATAATAAACTTAGCCAATATGATCCTATGCAATACATAACTAAATAAATGTTATTAATTGTTGTCTAATGTACTGTATATTTGTGTGAACTTTCACTTACGCTTATTTCGAGAAGAGAGAATTGATTATGGAAGCAATATGGAGGTGGTTTTACTGAATGCATAATAAACTTAGCCAATATGACCCTACGCAATACATAACTATAAATAAATGTCATTATTTGTTGTCTAATGTATATTTGTGTGAACTTTCACTGCATTAATACGCTTATTTCGCGAAGAGAGAATCGATTATGGGAGCAATAAGGAGATGATTATGATGAATTCATAATAAAATGATGCCAGTAACAAAACTTTTTTTTGTGATATTTCACTGAATTAATACGCACCTATGGAGACGATAAAAATTTTTCGTAGGGTAAAAAGAAGTTGATTTAGAGTTGAACGCGTAAAAAAATGTTATCAATTATAGATCTAATGCAATTTCTACTTAAATAAGGGTTTTTATTTGTTACTCACATTACCATTCGTTCGAAACTATGCTTCATTAATACACATAATGCATTATTCGAAAGTGAATAGCATCTTGAGTTGGTAATAGAAGCAATAACAAGATAATTAACGGATTTGGTCGCGTATTTTTTTCTGATATTCTGATGATAACAGAAAAAAATAACTCAGTACTCACTGCAGTGAGTGACAGAGAGCGCATTTTCTCGTCAACGAAAACGTGAAGTCACGGACGGACAGACAGACGGACAGACGGACAGACGGACAGACGGACAGACGGACAGACGGACAGACGGACAGACGGACAGACGGACAGACAGACAGACGGACAGACGGACAGACAGACGGACGGACATGGCAAGCATAATAGTGCATTTTTTCCATAAATGAGAAAATGCGCTAAAAATGGCTTATCAGGACTACCATAACGGGATTTACTGGGTTAATGGCATCAAGAATTGAATCATGTGCACTCCAATCGTTATTAATGCTACTCAAGTGATATATCTTGAATCGTTGAGAGCTTTACACCTAAACTAAGGTAATATTAGTGACACAATTGTCCTTTTGTCCATTCAGAGAAATTTAATGGATTTCTACAGACTTATTCTTAGTTTTAAAGCACCTATTTTAGCTCAATCGTCCAAAAATGCAGCATCAAATAACATATCCAGCCGTCGTTGGCCATGACATTGTCTCCACTATGGAAGAACTCGTGGGTGGAGACGCCTCCAGTGAGTGCTGCATCAGGAGCCTTGCGGTAATCCCGATTACTTCTTAATGAATTACTTCTTAACTAGTTACTTCTTAACGAATTACTTCTTAACGAATTACTTCTTAACGCATTACTTCTTAACGAATTACTTCTTAACGAATTACTTCTTAACGAATTACTATATATTATATTATAATAATTTCAATAATAAACAATAATACACTATACAACACTATATTATATTATTATCCAATTAAAATGTTTGAAATGCCTATTCATTTCAGTGGTTAAAAGGGAAAATATACATAATTTTTACTTGATCACAAGTTAAGGATATAACGAAGTTGTTCACTGTGTTTATATATACTGTTTTCTGTGCAGGAAATATTCTCTAATAAAATCTAAGTGGATAGGATTCTCCCTGTAAATCTGACGAGATTTCTAAATGAACAAGTGATTTATCAAAAAACTTTTTCTGATACCCGCGTTTGAGCGGCTCGTAGCTTTGAATAAATGGTTTGCTTAAATATATTGGAGGAGTTAATTTAATTAACTTTGGGTATTGTTGTTGCAATAAATGAGGGAAGTTATTGTTCATTTGGCTGTCTGTTTTTCAGCAAGATCATTAATTTTTTGGTTATACCAAAATACAAGGATTTATTACACGGAAACTAGGTTCATTTCCTCGGAAAATTGATCCCAATTATGACAGTAACACAAAATATTATCCACATATCACTGCCGGAATGTTAAAGAAACAAATTTGCAGGTCATTTTCTGCCTCAAAAATTATTTGTTCAACACATTAATTTTCATTTAAATTTATCGTTTTTCGCATTGGTTTAATTTTTATTGAGAAACACGAAGAGATTTCCTCTGGTGTGACCCTCGAGATCAGGCATTATGAATCATAATCTCGCGAAGGCTGTTTTTCCATCGCGCCAGATCAAAAGCTCGGAATTGAAATGAAGGCTGCTGATGGAGGTAAAAATCCCGGGAGGACGGACATTATTAGAAAATTTCATTTGACAGAAAATCACAGAATAAATCACAAAATACATGCATTTTCATTTTATTTAATAATTCACATGCTGAATTTTCAATAGATGTATCTTCAGTTAGTAAAACCTTCGAGAAATCCAAATTCAGCTTCATTCAACTTCTAAACAAAGTAGAGTTTGAAATAGAATGTAACTTTTGGCGCTGTCACACAATGCAACACGAGTTTTAGTTACGCTGCTGGAACTCCGGAACGTTCGACGTGGCATCCGCGCACCAAAGTTTAATGAACGCGACCTGCATGAGCGACGTTGACAGCAGCCGGCGGCGGTTTAGCGTTCGTCATTTACACTATAACAAATAATACAATATAAAATATCATATAAAAAACTCCACAGTCCCCGAGTCATGAATTTGATGAGAAGTTCGTGTGGTATGTAATGTATGCCAGAACTCTGTGACTCTAACGATAATCTTAAATTATAATAATGATCTTAATAAATTTATTAAATTGGGTACGGTGAAGTGGAACGAAATTCGACACTACAAGTTCGAGAGACTTGATATCGGCTTAGAACTTCCTTAGTCTATTTGCTTTCCAGGAATTTAAATTGTGAACAATCGGAGATTGTATCCAACAAATTCTCTATTTCAATGTTAAATTACTTGAAAAATTTGCGACTGCACAAATTTTACAAGCTATTTATTGATTGTTGTACCCGTAATAAGAAAATTTGACGTGTATTACTTTTCCATTAATCGGGGCTTTTCTAAATGATGGACCCAATTTCACAAATTCGTATTTATCCAAGTTGAAAATCAAAATGAGAAATTCATTCATCAATGGAAAGAAAAAGATTCAAAGTTTTGTTTTGCTTATTTACAAATGTTCATGCATTTTGTGCCGCACGGCGAACATCTAAATTAATGGTAGCCAAACACGTCCCATACACAAGAAAGCATATCTTCTATTACTGAGTGTACCGTAGCAGTGATACGGTTCTTCAGATCTTCCAGAGTATAAAATAAAATAAAATAAAATAAAATGAATAATTTTAAAATAATATATATAAAAAATTATTAAATTGGGTTCATCTTATAGAATAACCACGGTAGTGTAAAAACTTTATGCCGATTTACTACACCTTACATCATTTATGTATTTATTAGAAAAGGCATTTATATATTTATTGTGTATGATGAATACATTAGTAAATTTATTGTTTGCTGTATTCATTGAATTTAATTAGTATGGAAAGGAATTCAAACAAAATGATACCCATGAAGTCGACGTTAATTCGTTCATGGGAGACCATCGATTACTATACGGTGGACTTTCGAATCTAATTGTTTCAAAACGTGCCAAGTTTAAACAATACGCAGTTCTTTCAAGGTACTCAAATATACACAAAATATATAACTCAGTACTCACTGCAGTGAGCGACAGAGTGCGCATTTTCTCGTCGACGAAAACGTGAAGTCACGGACGGACAGACAGACGGACAGACAGACGGACAGACAGACGGACGGATGGACGGACGGACAGACGGACATGGCGAGCACAATAGTGCATTTTTATCATAAATGAGAAAATGCGCTAAAAATTAGCAGAGGCTAAATTAGTTTTTTACCAACTCAATACCGCTGCTGACTGTCATGGCGCACACACTGCCGCTGTTCTCATGTGGCAACCTCATCACTAAAGTCGATTGTGATCGAAAAATGTTGGTAGTGCCCGTCTCTTGGAGGATA